AAGCGCACAATTAGCTGCGACCGTTGAGATCACCGGAATTCAAAAATTAAGGGTAAAAAAATGCCAGGTTAAAAGAAAACAAAGAAATTAAATCACGACGTTTCGGAGGCAACACAAGCTTCCGTCTTCAGGTGGAACCGTCACAGCAAAATTACTCCTCCAGCTGTTCATCCGCTACGAGTCGACCTTTAGTACAGAGTATCCGTGCTGTGTGATTTGTGTGTGTGTGTGGGTAGAATATCGGCGTGGTGTTGGTTATTTGAGTGTTTGTGCGTGTCGGGCGCCCGTGTATTACAAACATACACGGCCGCGGACGCTCACGCATCCATGCAGCCGTGCCGTGCGAGTATTCGGGCCGTCTTCTTGGTTCTTTCGGTAAAGTCACGTAGAAGGGAAGTAATAAAGTAATGAAGTAATAATGAAGTAATAAATATTATGTTTTATTTTTATTATTTTATTACTTCCCTTCTACGTGACTTTACCGAAAGAACCAAGAAGATGAATCCCTGCAGTCACGAAAGCTTTAAATCGAAATTTATTCGGGCCGTGTTTACACGTGTGTGTGTGTGTGAGCGAAACCAGCGATGACTGGTACCAAGCGGTGTCAAGATCGGCCTCTGTGGAGGAGGCTCGTGAAGGACGCTGCTACTGGGCAGGTGGAGACATTCGCCCTCCAACAACAACGGAGGGCGGAGGAGCGACGCTCACAACAACGAGCGGAGCGCCGGGTGGCTAAAGCACAGCAAGTTGGCACAGTAGGGGGCACAGGTGGTGCATCAGCCACTCATCTCGGTCATCTCGGTCAGTCGACCCGTGGCACCTGCTGCGTCTGCCCCGTGACCTCCTGCCAGCGGGCGTTCGACACTTCACGTGGCTTCAAGGTGCACATGGCCTGGCACAAGCGTCGTGGTGGCGAATGGCTGTTTTTGATGTTGAAACAAGCGCCTGCAGGGGCAGCGCGCGTTCACGCCACCGCGTTCGCTATTGAGGCGGTGTGCACGCGGGAGTGTGCGGGTAACCCTGGGTGGTGGCGAGGCAGCCAGGGAGCCGTGTCCCCCCTCAGAGTGGGCCCTGAGTGGCCCATCACCCGATCGGCGGGGGCCCGGCAAGAGGCGGCCGACTAGGGGGGAGGAGGGAGTGGAGGGGGCGGGCGTAGACCCCCACACATACGTACGCAAACATCACATTTACTCGCTTTGGGTCTCGTTATCCCTTTACGATGAAATATGCCACTCTTGTCAGTTTCTCAGCTCAACGAGGGCAGTGCACGCATGGTCACGCTGCGTATCGCCATTTTATAGTTATCGCTAAAAAAAGTAATGGAACGATTTGGATTTACACTTAATGCTTGCGAGAGTTTTGTGTTTAAAATCGGCGCATGTGTACCGTATGTTTAGAGCCAGGGGCTAAGCCGGCTACACAGCTGCGGCAGATTACCAGAATGGCAGTCGTTAATACTCATTGTAAAGGATACTTTTCTGCAAAACTTTTTTTTTGTAATACTGTACGACTATAAAATCCGGATTCATTCTCTCCAGTGCCAATGGGTCTCTGTGCGCTGTCACGCATGACTTAATCAATGCCAAGGGCCTGGTTTATGTATAAGAATGCCTCAATGCATTTGCTCACGAGTTTGTGTGTGCAATTGAGCTCATGTAAGCTGCGATATTTATATATTATCTCGCTTCGCCATGTACACTATTAGTTCCCACCCTCTTTTACAATATAAAGATTATGCATTTAAAAGTACATAGTCTGATGGTCGCCAAGACCTCCATCACACGGAGTATTATATATCGGCTCATTTTAAAGTGCTCACCGGTCATTGCTAATAGGGCATCGGAAAATTCAGTCATCGCAAATGTGGCACAACACCTGGTATTCATCATTTCATCGGTTTTAAAGTACTCAACCCTTACCAACTGATGTATATGCAGTTGATAATTAAAATGTTAGTAATTTTCACTGAAAGCCTATAGCCTCTAGTATATGTCCAAAGGGAACACACATTTAGAGAATATAGTCGAATGGAACCAGCTCCAAGGGTGCGATAAACTAGGGTTGTTGGTTAATTATTTCAGGAGTAGGCTATCAACATCTGTTTCTTATGCACCTGATCTTCTTTACGTACCTCCGATTAGCACGTTTGGCTACGTACGGTGCGAAAGAAGTTCACCATACATACGTTCATACACACTGATGTATACGGTGGCGACACGGAGCAGCGGCAGCGCATTCGCCGTTTGTTGTAGAAGTTCATGGGTCAAATCCAGCGGCCGCCCCAATTAATACTGTGGTGTGTATTGTAAAAAAGAAATCGCACCTTCGGCATTACAGTGGACGTGAAAGGTTCAGTGACGTTATTCTCAAGAGTAGGGCACTGTGTGCCGGCGTCATGGCCCATACCTGCCAAATAAAAAAAATTGCCCGCTAATTACTCAATTAATATTCTACGTTGCAATCATTGCGCCCCTGCTGCGAAAACTTAGCAAAAACCTCCGGGAGTAGTTGAGGCCTGCCTGGGTAAACAAGCGTAATAATGTATTTCATGAAATTTTTGGACGTTTACTGCAAAGGATGTCGGGGGAAACGTAGACCTACCCACTTTCAGGGATAATATTTTTTTTCAGAAATTCAAGTGCAGCCACACAAGGATAAAGATTTACATTTATTAAGCACTGAAGTGTAACTGACTCTCGACGCCAATGCAAGTGGACGCTTGTCCTTTTCATATACGATAGTCTACACACCCACATCTATAAAATCGTATATGAAACGTGCAGAGCTTCTCATTAGCGCATAGAGCGAGTGAGCTCGGGCCACTGCAAGTCAGGCTGCGAGAAAAGGTGGCTGTCATGCAACGCATCTCAACATTTAAATACAAAATTGGCAATGACAGGGGATCTCTGACCAGTCTTTTTTTAGACCTAGCGATTCCAGTTTCAATAAACCCCATTCAACCGTTATGTTCGCAATGGGGAAACATTTCACAGCATTGCAGTCACATTAACATTGTTGCACGACTTTCTTGTAGTGACTTTAATCACACTTTGTGCCCAGCCCCATTGTTATACAATTATCATGCCATTCGATAGCAATGTTCTTTATTGCAAGGCCCATGGGCCACTGGCAGGCCCCTGACAATACACAAATGTGAAAAAACCCTCATCGTGCTTTCACACTTCAATGGGTTCAAATGTGGCAGGCTCTCACCTGCTGTCTTATTGTGGAAAAGTGGACCCCCCTCAGAAACTTAGTCAAGAACAGTGCGACAGCAGTTTCTCATCAGGCACTTCTTCATATACTCAGACCCAGGGTCTCTTTCCACAACACATAACTCACTAAGACTCATTTCAAGGTTTGCTCAAAGCCAAGACCATCCCATCACGTGGCTCTCGGTGCCTGGGTTACTGACCCCTGAATGCGACTCCAACGCCCGGTTCAGTAACCTGCCCTTCTCCATCCTACGCACATCCTACCCATGCAACCTCGTTTGATGCCATGTTGCTAAACCCATCCTCCCATTAAGTTCCTAGCATCTTCGACATCCACCTGCATTCAAATGCCTATAAATTTAGTTTAAAGCTGCATTGTGTAAGTCATCTCCGATATTCATACTCTAAATGTCCTGCCTCAAATATCTATGTTGACGTTAACATTTACACTCTTCCAAAGTAGTTTGTCGAGTCCATCAAAACCTACCCTGCTCATGTCCTTTGATTTCCTTCGCACAACCGTTTGTATTCTTAACATTGCTAAAGGCGCAAAGTTCTCCACTACCAGAATAAAGATGTCAATGCATCCTCACGGATTTCTTGACGCCTGTAATACAGGTGGACAGGATGCAATCACGAACTACTGCCATCAACTTTGTTTCGGGGAAGCTCACATTAAAACCCCAGTGTCCAGCCGCAGTGCCTAAAACTACACGAAGCTGTCATACCTCAGCCAAGGTGCTTACTAACAGATCAGCATTACCCACATACTCACATCTCACAGTTGAACGTTATCCGTTTCCCCCACTGGGTGTTTTTACTATCTCGACACCAGAGCATGGAGTTATTTACATCATTGTACTGCTCGGTGGACGCCTCTAACGTTTGAGTCCATCTTTGCATGAACCAAATGAAAGTCAAGCAAAACGTGCTTTGTGAAGGCGGATTGTGAACTACAACATCGATTATGAAAATCACAGCTACCTTGAGATACGGCGAAGGCATGAGGAGACCTTCACGCAGCAGTGGAAATAAAACAGCTGCTCTTGTTGTCATCCCGCCAGCACATTGAGACCCCTTATTGATCTAAAAAAAAGTTTGCTGTCTGCAGGGAAGAACGGATGGACACGTCCGAGGGACGTGCCGCCTGCAGGTTTATATATACATAAACAAAACAAGTGGTGTAATACTCATGTATTCAAATGGTTATATTTTTTTATTTAGTCTTGACGTGTGTATATAGCCTGCCTACATTTAGCTACATTGCACAAAACGTGCATTTAAAAAAGGGGGGTAATCTCCCTACCATTCCCAAAGTTCCCTCGCCATTCGTACATATAGATGAGGTTTGCCAACACGATTTTGTCCAAGCCTAGATATAGGAGGCTGTACAAAGCGGAGGTTTCTTAAAATGTCACAAATGAACCACCTTCGTTTCAAGCTTCGTTATTTTATCGGTCCGCAAGTATTTGTAAACCAGCAACTTTGAACACCGAAACTATGTGCCAGTGTTGCTCTTCTGGTCTTCGTCAATAGTTCGGCGTGTTAAATACTGGACTGCGGATTTCCCAGATATTATACTGCATTGAAGTGCCTTCTCTACTCCTTACACCTTCACTGTCGCCCAGGTTCTCGGAATCTCATTTGTGTAACGTGCCATGCATTGCACGCGCCACCTAGTGGGACACTTGATTTAAAGGACATTTCATAAGTTTGTTGCCTTTTTGTATTTGGCATGTGTCCAAAGAGCCCTTCCAGATAGAGGTTCAAATCGGCACCAATGAATTTTGAGAAATAACATTTTATTGAGTTCAATCTGTATGGAATATGCATTTTATGACTTATCACTGTACCTTAACTATTGTTGCATCCAATATGCTTTTCATCGATGTGTCATAAATACAAGTCTTAAAAACATTAAAATTGTTTATTGCAAAAAGTAAATTTTATATAGTTTGAAAGATATGATTTTTTTTCAATGTATTGATATGCTGATTCGTATTCGTGGCTCAATCTTTTAACTGAACCACAAAAATATCACCTGTACCCTTACAGCATGTAGGAAGAAAGTTACATCACAACTCATGTACGATCTGGAGAGCTTATATAATGAACAATTAATGGTAACGTGTTTGTAAATTGTGTATGTGTGAATATACTGTGTATATACTATAACTGAAGGTAATAAATAAAATATCGGAGCAAACTTAAAACGTTGACAAAATTGTCTTCCGGGGCAATAAAGAAGAACACAGACACCGTGTGGTTTAGTATGATTTTTTTAACTTATTACAATGTTAAAGGACGTTCATTGCAAATCCATTTGGCTAAATTAAAATGAAGTTTATTTTAAAACTTTTTTTTTCATTCTCCCAAGCTCTTTTGAAACCCCCAACAAAACCCGGTACACATCACCACTTTCCAACCGCCAGCCACGCACCTGTGCAGTAAATCAACACCGCTTTCTCGTCGCATTCAAATTTGATCATCTCTAGGAAAAAAAAAATTTGTAAACATTTTCAACAATACATTATGTTCATGTCTGCTTTAACAAAAATATGATGTACATTTACATGATTATAATTTTTATATATATAAAACTACCGTAACTGAAGACATGCAGTGCACTGCATACATGTAAAATGTAAGGCAGTGCCCTCAGCACTCAGCAGCCGATATTAAGAATGCAATTTGATGCTCTGTGTTAAAAGATTGATTTCACGAAGCAGCAAAGTGGGGAAAAAAGAAACACAAGCTTGCATTTATATTGTACATCTGAATAATGCTTTGTTCAGGGGCACGTCTTCTGTAGTTACACATGTACAGAATGTGTTTACATACAGTTACATAAAATGTATTTAAAAACTATTACTATTCCAAGCTATAAATATACTTTCAAACCCGAAAGGCTACTAAATTAATTCAACTTTTGGCAAACGTGGAACTTAAACTTGAATCGTATATGATCCTATATTTTACTTATGCAGCAGCATGGCAGTTTATGTACTGATATTTTTTTCTTTACTGTGAATGTAGAAACTTGCAAGCTCTATCTTCTTGACGTTTATCCGAAGCAAAACTCAAAATAGAACAAAACGATGGAATGATTGCAATAATACAGAGCAGCCTTAAAAAATAAAAACGTGTATGTAAATCTAAAATTCAATATGATTCATCGTACCTTTAAAAGTACTATAGTAAGTACAATAAGCAATAATGTTAAATTTCCATAATTTTAGCAGGATATTTAGCTTAAAATTCATTGCAAGCCTTAACATATAATTGAGTAAAATATTTCCTTTTCCATGTATTTCCAACGTATGCATTTTATCTGGTGTGTGCATGTTTAATGTTTTTTTGTTATATTTCTAAGCATCGTGTACAATAAAATATCCCTTTTGGCTACTTACCTCAAAAATAGTACATCCAAGTAAAATGACATTCAATTGGTTTCCTAAGCTTCTGGCTATGCAACATATCCTTCAGTGACTTGCTGTATCCAAATAAACCTCACCACAGCCCCATCTGAAAACAGGTGTGAAATCACACATCGCCTACTGTGTTCCCCTATCCTAACCGTAACACTGCCTGTACAAAAGGGTCAGCCAAAATAATAACTAACCAAAAAAAAGCATAGAGAGGTAGTGCCAATAAAACAAAATAATAAAACAAAAGTAAAACCTCATCATCGTCATCATGATCATTTCAGCATCTTCATAATACTGCATTCACATACAAAAGTAGTTCTGGCTTTGTACATTTTGTACAGTGTAGTAGAAAACAATTGTGTCGTGGCCCAGCGGGGGTTTGCTGTGGCTGGCAGGCATGTGGGCTATGCCAGGGCCTCTGCAAGCTCTTCCTCGGGACTCTTGGAAAGCAATTCCTTCTTCTCATCCGTGCTTCCCAGCGAATTGCGGCTGCTGGGCCCATCCAGGTATAGAGAAGCGTAAACCGGGTTTGTGAAGTTTGTCGGCTGTGGCCAAGGAATAGACATCACCGTAGAAACATGGTTAACGTTTCACATGAAAGGTAAAGAAAGGTGCAGCCATGCAATTGTTTGCTCAAGACACTTATGGTCAGAGGGCCTCCACAAGACTTAGCTCTAGGGAGTCCCTCCAGAGGATATTTTGGCCCACTCTTTAATCTTAGGACATGTGGGAATACCCACATTTTAACCCCACCCATACAACCTGCCGATCAACAGGTTGTATGGGTGCTGGGTGAACAGAGGTGGGTAGTTTTAAGAGCCTTGCCTATTGTTTTAACTTCTGCACCAGAAGATCAAATCAGCAACATCTGGATTGCAAGTCAAGTGTGTCAACCGATTACACCACTGCAACATCCCTATGTGTAGGCCATTTGATATTACATTTTTCTCCAGTGGCATCAAATTACAAAGTCATCTCTAAAAGCTCTACATTATTGACAGAGTAATACATCACCAGAGGTAAGGGATATGCTAGATTTAACTAAAACACACACACCAATATAAACCAATGACGCTGACTACATGCATTGGGATTGCAGGAGAACCGCCTCGATTTTGTTTTCGAATCAAACAACAATCCAGTGCGGCGCTTTTCCAGGGAAGGATGGTCCAAGCGCTCACCTTGTCAGGATCGAGGGTAAAGTCAGCATCGAGCAGTTCACCAACGTCATCCTCGGCTTCGCCCTCAAACATGTTGTAGGTAGGATTACCGATCTCCACATTCATCGCTCCATTCGTCATGCGCTGGTGCTGGAACCCTTTGGCTCTGCCGCATGCGCAACAAGCAGTGGATTAGCACGGCAGAGTGAACGGTCCTTTTCCGTGACACCACGAGTGAGGCGAGTGCACTTAATAATTGAACGTATTAATTTGTGATTGTCTTATGCGGCCGCTTGCTGATCTCGGAGCCATTAAAGAAAAACAAACGTCAATAAATCGACGCTTTTGTTTCTAACATTGGCAATGTCGGAAATGAGCTTGGAAGATGATTGTGTTAATGCTGAACAATTAACGATGGAAGATCCGAAACAGAGTTCAGTATATGATGTGGTTTAAGGTAGGTGAGCAACAGTGAAACTTGGAATGCACTTTAAAACATGTGATTTAAAAAATACGAGTAATTTATAATTAATTTTCAACAAGCATGCTATATTGTCTACCCTTTGATTATGATTAGCATCGTAATAATTGCTTGCATTAGTTTAAATATTCTCTATCATACATTGTCCTTCAGTGTCTGTGACATATCTCTTTATAAAGCACAACCAGAGATACACGGAGAGATTAGAATTTTGGATATTTGGCTTTTAGTGCCACAATTGTATTTTTCCTCCCCAATTGTATTCCAACAGTGGATCGACCTTGGCTGATTTTTATTTAAATCGTTCTATCAATGTGATGTCATTGAACAGAATTTCTTGCAGTGAGCGGCACACCACGTCGTCCCGCAGAATAGCTCAAGAATATTATACCGCGGAAGTACTTCTGACGTCACTTCAGTAGGCCTGCTAATCCACACTCGTTGCACACCTTTTATATCCGTCAGGGCAGTGCACACGCTGAGACCATCATCAAAGGATATCTTAAACAAATTGTAAATGACTATCTGGACAATCAAGCCCAAAAAAATCTAGCACTATCACGGTCGCCTCACTTTGTGAAAATTACAGAGAACCAACTTCGTACCCTTTTACTCTTCTCCTGTAGCAGAAGAACGCAACGACACTGACAATAATCAGGGCGAGCAGAACCAGGGGCACCACCACTGATAGCGTTTCTGTGGAAGAGAGGAAGACTTAATGCATGGCACACACTTTCAGCTTGCAAGTGCACCTTGGCTACCACCATTGATTGCGAGACACAGAAGTGACGCGATGTCCAGGACAGAACAGCACATCAATCTTGAGTTCTATCTTGCCGGCTTAAAAGTGCTGCATTAAACTTGAACACAGCGTAACAGAAAATGTGATGTAGGATAATCGATATCAATCATTAGTTGCACATTCATAGCCGGCCCTTTTTCAAGTAACACGAGTTCCTATTCATAACGGACGTGCTGTGACACAGTGCGTACACGAAGAGAAATGCAATAGCGTGACGGTAACGCAAAACACTCACTTCCTTCGTCCGGGCTCGTGGACCTATTTGGAGAATTTCGTTCACACTGGCTGCCCTCCCAGCCTGGCTGGCATCTGGAAATATGTCAGCCATGAGAATCATTCTATTAACTTAACACACACTTTCTTTTTCTTGCACAACTTAAGCTTTGTACAACACTCACTGCTGACATTTAAAAAAAAAAAATCAGATGCCAAAACACAACAGTGGTGAGAATGAACATATATATGTGTGTATATATAAAAAAATAACGTGACGAAATTGCAAGACAAACAGGATGAAGTGTGGCGGGTATTTTTCACTACATACATGAAGAATTGTCACAAAAGCAAAGCGTGCATTCATCCCAAGCATACCAAATTTTCTGTCGCTATGACATGGGGAGTCAAGTCAAAATGCAAGGGCATAAAACATGTTATTGTGTCAGTGATGCTACAGAACACATTATATTTTTTGGCCTAATACATTCTTAACCATTATACCTTTTTCTGAAATATTATCTCAACATGAGTTCGTTCATTTTTGCAAGATCACAACACAGTGGGTGGATGATTTGAAAACCACCATAATTATTGCCACTGAATAATAAAAATGTTGAGAATTGCCGCATGTCGTGGGGAACTAAAATGTATTTAAATTAAATAAGAAAACACCACTAGTAAGATACAACAAAGTCTATTATATGAACTATGCATACTATCTTTCTGAATAAGAGTTATATAAAGTCTAAACTTTATTTTGCTTATTGGGCTGATAGGTACATATTTACCAAACAATTGAATGCTGATTTATAAAGAGTCATTATTTACATATTTATTTTTAAGTACACGATGTGAACATGCATTTTCTTTTTACAAGATACTGTAATTTGAAAAAATATATTGTCTTATCGCCTCCTTCATTGGATACTTATTATATTTATAAAAACATGGAGCTCACAGTAAACTTTACCACAAACATTACTTTACAACTGGCATCTCATTTTGATTGCATAAAAGTAAGTATAATAATTAACATTTTGCACATTTATCATGCTCTGCCTATGTCGTAAATCAACGAAGACAACCTATGACGACAATTTGACTCCAAGCTCCAGTACGGTTTCGTTCTCATCCAATTACGTACGGGGAAAAAAAACCACGTTAGTCGACTGCCGTGCGTTCACGGGCGGCAAAACCACTGAGCTGCTTTGTGGCCCAAATGAATACCACATTGAAGCAAGGTGAGCGGGGTTTTCCGTTTCAAGCTCGTCAGCCCATCGTGGGAGACACAGCCGCTGTGCTCAAGCATGTCTTCAATGGGGGGGGGGGGGGGGGTATACCAACAACATGCTCGTCTATATTTACACACGCATTATTGGGTCCCTGAATCATTTCTTGTAAGTGCGAATCAAGCTGTTTGCTTAGTTCACGGGCACGTTAAAAACACGTGACAAGACCCATCAGCTCTAACGTCCGATCCCCCCCCCCCCAACATCTTTTAACGCAGTGGTGCTATTTTCGCAGCGACTGTGTCACCACGGAGTAATGTGCTCACTCGCCCCAAACGGAAGAACACTCAATCACTAAGCAGGGGGTTTAAAAATTCAACCCGTCATTAAAAAGGGCTTGGCCACCACCCAGGCTGCACGGCACCGTACGTGCTTTTCACTCCGCGCAGAAAGACCAAACGGCGGTGAACAATTTCGTCTTTTTCCATCAGCTTCCACGAACGCATTCCTCGACTCGTCAACCACATCACTGACACAAGGGGACATATTTCACCCGGCCACTGATGCTGCACATGCGGGACACAAAGAGGCCACAAAGCACCGGACAAGACGGCGCCACGCATGGGACATGTATACGGAAAGTAGGGGGTATAACAAAGGAGTGCTCTTTGTGGCAGCATCCTGGACCTACTTGCACATGGGCTCGTTAAGGGCACTTAGCACGCAAGCCCCGCGATTTTGGCAGAAGAAATCACAGGGGTTCACTTTCTGGTCACATCGCTGACCTTTGAACCCCGCCGCACATCTGCGGAGCCGCACCACAAGGCACTCGGATCAATGGATGGGGCCCATATTATAATTTTCTCTTCTTCTTACTATCTATCTTTCCCTGTCTCAACCGCATCCCCAGTCTGTTCAGTATGCATTGGATATATTGGCCAACAGCTAATTGTGAACAGTGGCATATTAATGGACGTGCTTCCATAATATGGGGGTGCTTTCCCATGTCCATTAAATTAGTAGTCGCAAACTGAGATAGAACTTTAGCATATCCATGATTACAATCGTGATCAAACCCATACCTTTCAAGTGACACAACTAGGACTGTGAAAAGCACTAATGGGGAACTACATTTTAATTTATAGTGCCAAATAAATGTAACCCAAGGCTGCCATTCCAGAATAGTCTTCTGCATGAAAATCAAGTGGCCCTTCCTCCTGTGCCCACCCAATGTATCGATCTCTGGATATGCCACTGTTGGGAAAGTGTTGCGTGAGGAAAGTTTGAATATACAAAGTGATGCTTCATAATCTATTTTCAAATGAATGCACAAATGTCAATATCCTTGTCCCATTGCAGACCTTGGCAAAGTGTAATGATGCTAAGGGTCTGCAGAGGAGAGGACTGGCATGCATATGTGCAGCCGTCCTTGTGAAACTGCATGCAACAGGTGCACTTTGCTAGCAGCGCCATATTCTGATGCCTATGTACTCTGAATATTTATTACCTACTTAGGGTTACCAAACATGGTGCAATGTGCATTAGACAAAATGAAAGGTGACGTATTCAAATAGAAGTGTGTCCTGGTAGTCCTTGAGGATAAAATTGGTCATGGATGACAATGAATGCTGCATTTTGCTGTACACGAATGAAAATATATCGCTTTCAATTTAAGTAACACATACTTCCGAATGTACATTCATTCTGCTGTGATGGGTTTCCCTGACGGTAAAATATCCATGTTCTATTTAATACCATCAAGGACGTCCAGTCATCCTTCGCGTGTGTGCATGTGAATACGATGATGTCATCATCATTGAGTAGCAAATTATGAAATTATGTATGCACAAAAGTCTCATGGTGTATCCATAATGTACGAGTAGGATATGTGCATATTGCAATCGAGTGTATTTATTTCTAAATACATGTGTTAAAAGGCTGCTAGCAAAATGAATAAACCAATTAGATACAATGAAGAAAAAAATACATTAACCCTAATGAGTTCAACTTCATCTGCGTTGTGAGTTATACACAAGACTGCTCTGTTTGGGCAACAAATTGCACATTTTTCTTTGTTAGTATGAGAAGGAATTGGTGATCGTTAAGCATGACAATGTTACGTCAGTGAATATAGAGTTTAAAGCATGCAGGATGCTTTATGGAAGAGTTTTAGTCCACAAATATAAAATATGAAATGGGAGAAAAAAATGCTGGATGGCAGTATTTCACATCCATATCATGAGAATATGATGAAAGATAAAAAAATATGACCAAAGTAATTCAGGCAGCATATATATTAATGCATTATCGTGGTGATTTAAAGCTGATAAATAAGTAATTTTGAATGATAATGAGCTATGCTATCGTGCCTCATGACTCAAGTATAATGTATATATAACTCAAGCTGTAATATTATCCATTGGCATTGCATTACACTTAATCATACAGTTAATATGTCGTAACCGAAACAAATTGTAATGCCTTCTCAACCTGGAGTCATAAGCCACTGATGGAGCCCAAGTGGATCTGCGGAGTTGCATGCACGATGGGAGAGGGGGAATTCTCATTTGGAAGTGTATTATTTTTATGGGATGAATTTCCAAGATCAAAATCAGGAAATAAATGTTTTCAATTAATCTGCTATATGTTAAAAAATGTGGTATAGAGGGCACAGGGCACGCAAAAAGAACTGGCATGTGTTCCGTGTTTCACGTAAACTTTTTTTAAGTATTGTTCATTTTCATTGCTCAGACCATTGGCTTGATCGAAATAGTTCACACCCATGTTTTGTCTGTGTATGGAATGGACAAAGACATATGCCAGATGTTATCCACATTTAAATTAAATGGCACCTAAGATGTGTGATAACATTAGGCAAAAGGATTTTCAATCCACTATCTAGCAAATAACAAAATAAATCATCCAACTCTATGAACCCGATGTAATATTTCAATTGTGATAAGTTGGATGGAAGACTATAACAACAATTTAAAATTATTCGCAACCTTCCACTGATAGATTTCTGCCACGAAAATAATTAACGGTTCCGGTTAATCCGCGATCTGTTTTTGATCTTTCAAATTGTCGGGGACATGTTTGAGCGTGCATCAACCACCACAAGAATCTGCACGTCACGCGTGTCTGCGGTGGTGCTGCAGGAGGGGTGACAAAACTCACTGGCATGCAGGGCGTCCTGCGACAGAGTCCCAGAAGCACAGACCTCCGTTATAGCAGAACTCCAGGCACCTGCTGCAGGCTGGTCCTGTGCAGCTGCACACACCGGGAAAGAATAAGCTCGCAGAGGATCGACATAAAATAATGTACGTATGTACGTCGATCTTCTTTCGCACCGTGCGTAGTCAACCGTGCTAATTGAAGGTGCTAATAATGCCTACGACCAAATGCGCCTGAAAGCACCTGATCTTGTCAGATCTCAGAAGCCAAGCAGGACTAAGTCCGATTCCTATTTGTATTGGAACGCCAGGCATTTAAAGCTCTGCCATGTGTTTTCGGGTTGTACCGCGCGCGTTGTTCGGCACTGTCCGACGTTTTGCCCCGTGTGCTGGGCGCTCTCCAAAGCATGTGCAGTGAAACGTCGGACATCAGGCCAACGTGTGGTACAATGAACACACGGGAGAGCTATGCAGGACAACCGCAAACTCCTACGTAGTAGGAATACTAGGTGTTGTAGACCTGGGCTGTTAGTTGACCAAGCGATGGCAGTACAGCAAGTAGGCTTGTGAACAAAATTGTGTGCACCCATTAAGTGTTATCGCCTCATATGAAGAGCTTTCTCCAGGTACTTCGAATTTCTCCCAGATGCAATACAATAAACGTAAGGCAAATATAATGAAAACAGTTTCACCAAATAATGATAACACTGTAATAATGATTTTAATCTATCTGTAAAAGCCTCAGGCAGTCACACGGCTTCTTTAAGAGGTTTGTTCATTTCTATTTTTTTAAACGAGTGTTCCATCTGGGAGGAAACTGGAAACGCCAAGCACGAGAAGATAACACAAAGGCGCTCACAGACAGGTTCACAAACCCATTAGCCATATTAGGAGTTAAGACACATCTGTGATTTACAAAACCTTGCCTCGACAAAGCACTCGATGATAGGTGTGCTCCACCAACCTCACATTAATTTCCAAGTCCCATTTTCCCACAAACTAATGTGGATGAAGATAAATCGCATCGTAATGAATGATTATATTGTGGTGAAAAATAAATAATAATGCGAGCGTCATTTCAAAACGCCATGATGAAAAGTTTTTACTGCTCCAACATGCCTATTAAAATGCCCAATCTGAGCAAAATAGATTGCACAAAGAACGTGTATGTCGTATATCTCTTGGGGAATAGTAATTTGTTTTCTGCCAAAGAGGGCAGGCTTCACTTGTCATTTGCGGTTATGTGAAGCCGCAAATGTCGAGGCATGCACATCACCGTGAGCTGCAATGCTGCTCATAATAAAATGACTCGCTCTATTTGTCCACTTGTGCCGAGACGAGTTTGTGGCAGGTAAAAGATAGTCAAGATTTACATTGTCGTTATGCGCACTTACGCATTAAGTGTAATTTTATTGCTCACTAAGTGCACATGAATTAGTGAGTCACAAAACTGGTGCATCTGGCAGGATGTTTTACAGGATAATTTGATTAAATGTTTAGTGTAAAAAAAATGTAAAAAATGAGGCTGAATAAGAGGGTGTTATGATGATCACTGTTAATGTACAATCATAATATTGTCATTGTAACGATAAGCGTGGCCCATAAATGAGTGTTTATACTGCATTTGAATTCTTAAGAAAAGCTATTCTGAAGGCTTTACACACAGGCAACATACTGGGATGGCAGCCAGCTTCATGGATTCCCATGCAAGGATATGTAAGGGGTCGACTTGGATGCTCTAAGCCATGCAAGAAGAGAGTGGGGTATTTCTCCCTGGCACAAGTATAACTTGTTTTTGATTAGCTATCAAGTTCTACTGCACTGCAACGTGTTGTACGTTTACACGAATATTCTTTGAATTGCAAGCCGTGTTACCCAGTTTACCCCATAGCAGGGCAAAACGGAGGTCCTGAACTCACAACCATCCCAATGGTGATTAATATATGCACCCTAGATTGTCAGCTCTGTGCCAATCACCATAAAAAAGACAAAATGTCACAAATTACCATGTCCTCCTGAATATTGAAATGATGGTTATGCTGACAATGATAATCGTGGGCAAAGACAAATGTGATTATGTAAACAGGACAACGATAACTGACAATTGTGAAAACGACGATGCAACAAAACATCCAACATATATATGCGATGAAATTACCGAGTCCGCTAGTTCGACTTTGTGACAAACAACACAATAACGGCATGGCTCGACCTCGGAAACATCAACCTTGTGATCGCAGAGAGGTGATAAATAGCTGGAGAACACCGTGGCCCATGCCACCTGACAGCTCTGTGAGACCAAGTGGCAATTGGAAGTGTCCAGCGAGGCGGACCCCGTCACTACTGGCCCCGACGCACCCGGACCCCGTCGCACCCTGACCCCCGTCACACCCTGACCCCGTCGCACCCTGACCCCGTCGCACCCTGACCCCGTCGCACCCTGACCCCGTCGCACCCTGACCCCGTCTCACCCTGACCCCGTCTCACCCTGACCCCGTCGCACCCTGACCCCGTCTCACCCTGACCCCGTCGCACCCTGACCCCGTCGCACCTCACTGCATCAGATTGCGATGGACATGGGCCTCTGTTTCAAGAGGCATCGACTGTTGCGAGTGACTGACTCGGAAGGAGGGTGCTACGAACCTTTTTCGTTCAAGTGCAAAAGTAGTAGTAGCAATTACCAAATTATATATATAATGTATGAATGGCAATGGTTGAGAAAGTGCCATTTTTTAGAGTATGCAGCTGGCCTGTATCCTGTTCACTCACTTGCACCGGACATCCCCGGCCCCTGGACCCAGCTCGCACTGCCCTCCGGGACAGTGCCCACAGCGGTCGGTGTCGCAGCGCGTGCCCAGGAAGCGCGGGTGGCAGGCACATAGCGGCGAGCCATCCTTGGCGAAGGAGCACACGCCACCGTTCATGCAGTAGCTGTCGCACAGCGCTGCAAACACGCACAGGAGGGTATAATCGGGTCACAGCTCTCCAACCCGGGTCGGTACACGGGAGGAGTTGTGTGCCAGCCGGTAGCAGCCACGACAGCAGGGGTCGCTACTACAGGCTGGGTTGTGCACTACAGATGAGATGTTGGGTGTTTAAAAGTTAATTTGCCAAATTAGAATACACACATTATTTAATTGTGTAAAACCACATGGCGAGATTTCCTCCCCTACTCTGGAAAACATTGCCTTCTGCTCTTAGAATGGCGTGAATTCCAAATGTTCGACATTTTATTCAGATTTTCATGACATCTGGTACAAGTGTGCGGGATTTATGCAGTGCGTGCCACATCAGAGAGGGCATTATATCATAAGCAATGTGACGCCGATAAATTGCATAAGGTCTATTAGGTGAGCCCATTTCCCCTGCATACCGCTGAAGTCACACGGCTCAACCCACCACCGAATTCTAACCTCCAAAGCACTCCATTTACACACACGCGCGCACGTGCGATCACACCTGGGCCAGCAGAAAAAACAGCAACAGTCACAACAACCCACAATCAAATGCTGCTCGCACGGCTAATTAGGCAAGCAAAATAGAACGATGGCAAGCAAAGTCTTTGGCCGGGTGCAATTACAGAACAGTGCCCGACTCACTGCTCTGGCATCTGTCTCCCTTGTAGGCATCAGTGCAGCGGCAGACGGGCTGGTTCCCAGCGTTGACACTGCAGGCGCCGCCGTTGAGGCAGTAGCCGTCGCACACCTTGCGCTCGCACTGCGCCCCCGTGAAGCGGTTGGGGCAACGGCAGGTGGGCATTCCTGGTGGCAGATGGAGGAATGAGTACACACGTGGAGGCAAAGGGTCTCCCTATCACATTCTCTTGAGGTTATAAAGTTAAGTCACTGAAGAGAGAGAGAGCGACGTTGTCATGTTGTTTTACGTTTGAGTTTTCAAACGCCAATGTGCAACGGGCACGGACTGCGGGAAACGTCAGCATTTTAATAAAGAGATGGCTGCAAAAGATGGGCTCATGATAAATGACAAGCTAAACAAAAGGTCAGGTACAACAGGTTCGTTAAACAATTGGAGATATATTGTCAGAGGAATACAGCTGGAATACACAGCAGTGTCTGTGTACTTGGCACAGCTATTGAATGTGCAATGGATTATAAATATACAATCAAGGAAAGAGAGCAGGTGGGAGTGCTTCTGAAAAGCTGAACTTGATAATGAAACATAGCTATGCCATTGTGCCTAGAGAATAACGTGTTTAATCAGTGTGCACTACCTGCTGTGGATATATGGTTTAGAAACATGCCCATTGACGAAACGTCGCGTAAAAACTGAAAAGTGTGCAAAGATACGTGGAAGTACTTTGAGGGACAGAAAAGGGTTACGAACCACAGTTATTATGGATTGTTAGCACAATGCACTGACTGGCACTCTGTGCTGGCAAGATATTTTCTCGTGAGTGCACGTGCTCCCACACAGGAACAGTGACACCCAGATTTACACGTTCCCCTTTCACGTCGTTTTACAAACACGTCGTGGCTCCATTAACACCGTGACCCGATTTGCGTCGCCTCGACCCCACACGCACGTCGTTGACGGCATCGCCTCTCGGCCTTTGCCCCCACCCACCTATCTCTGTAAATCGCTTTGATTGACGTCGTTTCGGTCGTTGTCGCCACGCCTCTCAGGAGCGTATCCCCCTCCCCCCAAACCACCGGACATACACCGGGGTAAAGAACGTACCCGATGGAGACGCCATGCAGGTGCCCCCATTCTGGCAGTATTCCTTGCACTGGTCAAGCTCGCAGCGTTCGCCAGAGAAGCGCGGTTGACACTTGCACTTGGCGAGCCCACGCTCGTTCAAGAAGCAGCTGCCCCCATTGAGACATGGCAGGGTGCATGGGCCTGGGGTGGATCCTGTTGTGTATAAAAAAAAAAACACACACGCAATGTTTAAATTAAAATTTAAGTTAGTTGTTAATTAAATGTATCCATTTACATCCGCAGAAGCAGTGTGCAGACGCTGTTAATTTCTGTGACAAGACTCGTGTACTGGGTAAGCGATTTTATTAGGCAACAGAAGGTCCCCTCTCTTACCATTATCTCTGCACAGAAGCAAAAAAAATTATAATTAAAGGAATTTCTGCTGATAACAAATATATGGCTTTCAGTGTAAGATGCAATCTCCTGCTTTATTGTCCCATTAAGAAATTGCAGACATTGACCCAAGTTTCAACACGTCAATATTCCTCTAAACAAAAAAAAATCCATACAATGCTCCGAGAGGCCTAATAGTAAATCACTGTGAGATGTTGTGCATATGAATGTGTTCTCCGAAAAGCACTGCGGTACACTAATTGAATTTCTCACAATTTGAGCACGCGCACACACACAGCCACACTAATGCAATGCGAATGGTCATGGCTTTAGGAGATAATTAATGCAAAACATCGACAATCCTTGTGAGATCTTATCAACTTCCACAATGTAAGTATTTTAACCAAACCCATCGCAAACATAATTTAATTTCACAATTTTTAATATACATACATTCATATGTATTTATACGAATGCTCTATTACCCCAAAAATAAGTATCATTGCCTTATAATATTTACAGGCAAAAGAAGCCAAGCACATCATAAGTATGACATTTCTTTGTAAAAGGAGAATTCAGTGAGGCGTGAGAGCAGTAGGTATGGTTAGGTGAAGGGTGATGTTTGCAATTGTGGTTGAGCAAAGGTTTCGGGCCCTAGCACGTATCAAGAGATAAACACCCTACACCAGAGGTCGCTAACGGGTTTTGATTCCTTACCCGTACCCGTGCCCGGCCGCACCAGGGTCGCAAACGGGTACCCGTACCCGTACCCGGCCGTACCCTACCCGTACCCTGCCAGGTACCCGTACCCGGCCGGGTACGGGTACGGGTACCTGATTCCGATCTCTGGGATGAAGCCATGTTGCAGGCGTGGGTGGGTTGATTGTAGGAACTTGAATTGTGAGAAGAGACAAGACGTTGGGAAATGAGTGACAAACAGTTACTCACCAGTGACTCACGGCCTACCCGTACCCGTACCCGGCCGCACCAGGGTCACAAACGGGTACCCGTACCCGTACCCGGCCGGGTACGGGTACGGGTACCCAGTTGCAACCTCTGCCCTACACTCGGATACGAAACATGTATACTTCACAATTAAATGTTCAATTGTCTCTTCATGCCAATGCAGACTTTACAGGGAGCATCACAGTTGCGGGGGCATTCATTCACTGCGGATTTTTCCACATCTTAAAAGGGCGATTTGGATTTTACTCTTGCCCTGGCTATGACACTACGTTCGGGCAAGGAGCCAAGCTCACGTTCAAGATTTAAACCGACTGCTGTTCACAAGGATTCTCCGAAGGATGAGGGATTGCGATTTACCGTCCGGCTGACTTGTGGGTGTTGGTACTTCCAGGCATGTGCCGTTCACAAGTGCCCAGCCATTGGGGCAGCTGCAGGTCGCCCCGTTGGGGTTGAGCAGACACAGCCACTCACACTTCCTCTGCTCACACGGATTTATCACTGGAAAAACACACGCACGCGCGTGCGTGCGCGCACACACACCGTCAATGCCAAACACAATCGCTGGGCATGTTGCTGCCCCCTGTCCAAACAAACAATAGGGGTGGAACTCATTGTCATTTACCACCTACAGCCAGTGGTGGTCACTCCACATTCCCATGGCAAGGGCTGATCTCTGCACCGGAAAGCCACAGCTTGCTTTCCATGAAGTGAACCTCGTCTAAATGGCCCTCAGATGAGGTCATAGGGCAACTGGGATTTGAAGTTGTAACCTTCCAAATGTGAGTCCAGTGGTCCTGACGTGCCACCCGGCTTGAAAAAAAACCCCTACAGGAGAATGGCTTCATCTGCGGTAATTATCTGTGTTTATTCAGAAGACACGAGTGCTTATGAAGCGCCAGTGAGTTTATAAATTAACTGTGGGTAAATGTATTTTGTTATTGTCATGTAATTGGTTATTAAGTGTTTAGTCTACCATCTAGCTCTGCCAGAGTCAAGGCCAGCTCATTATCACTTTCCTTTATATAACACAACAGATAACCTCAGCAAAAAAAAAGTGATGTACAAACAAGGCATGGAGCACTTAGTCTGCATTAACAACTATTCACCGTCTACTCAGCAATGTAAAAAAGAGTGTGTATGAAAATGTGAAATTCTAACAAAAGTATATAAGCTGATCACAGCAGAACAAATGGACTTGGTGCTCTTCAGAAGGCAATTTAACATCGCCATCGCCCTACTGCACCTCTCTTTAAAATGAAGGTGACTTTTGGGTGAATTGTATCTGTTTGTAGGGCTGGCTGCCCTCATGTGTGATTAAACAAACACTACTACTGTGAACTGGTCTAGAGTAATAAGCAAGTTAAACGTTGATATCCAATGACCTCTCATGGTCTTCCAATGTCAGCCTCGGATGTAGTGATTCATCGTGAATGCAACGGCAGCGTGGTAGAAGAGAGTCAATTGACAGAAATTATAGTCGTCTATGAGCAGAAATTTGGCCCATGTGCAGCTTATTCTGAAGAGAGAAAAAACCGACATGGCAGAAGAGTTGACTCAGAAGTGAACTATTCAATGCCTTTCTAAGTTTAAAAATTGTGCCGGTTCATAAAACAAACTGAAAAACAGCAATGTGCAGCAGAGGCACATTGCTGAGTTCGCTGTCCTTTAGATAAAATTCCAAGTCACTTGTCCTCTGCAGTTTGGGACACGATTAACAACGTATTGGCACTCCTGGTGACAGACTACCACTGTGTGCTGGCATTACATAATGGCTGAAGGCCATACATGATCGACTGCTGAAAGGGTGTTGTTGTGACATTCGAATCAAACTGCATCAACGGACGGAGTCATATATTAGTGTGGTTGGTGAAAAGTGGTTATGTGCAAAGAGAAAACAAATAGGTTTATCAACAAAGTACTCTAATACATAAAATTAAACCATTCACACACGAATACCACTTCATTTGTATCTAACAATTCAAGGCTATATGTGAAATGGAATATATTAAAAAAGGTTTCAGTTTTGTTGCCAGAAAAAAGGGAAAAACCTATTCTTATATACTGTACGGTGTTGCTAAGCCTCGTTCATAAATGTTGTCATTCTGCCCCCTACTGATAAAACTGCAGTTAAACAACAATACATTTTTAGACTGCACAATTGCATAGCCTTACAACAAAACTGTCCAACCTTGCTTCGTTTAATATCCAAGCATATAATAAATTCACAAACGATTAATAATTTAAATTAAAACGTTATAGAGACAAAAAGAAATAAAACTAATAAGTGATAACTACAATAGTTTATCATCTCTCGAAGTTCCTCAAAACCTATTTAGTCATGAATAGCACTCATGTTTCGCTAAAGTGTTGTAAATTGCCAAGAGGGCCTCAGTTGTAAATGCAGTCTATCTTAGCGGCAGGACCTCAAAGCCTAATGTGCTTGGTTGCATGTGTGAATGTTATCCATCTGACCCCAACTTTGAGCCTACCGATATAACAAGCTACAAGAACATTAGCAAATACTTTTGTTATCATCTACGAGCGATTCTCCGCCTGCAATTTTGTTGATGCGGTCTCCAGGAGCTAAAGATTTACGACGATGATGACGAATCTCCTCTTAGCCGCAGCACCTTGCGGCAATGCATTGAGTCTATATCAACAAGTGAAAGCATGAGGCTGGGCGGGTCGGGGATGGAGGCCTACCTTCCGGCTGCTTGAGCGGGTGGAAGACGACGATATCAGTGGCGTGGCTCATTCCTGCGGTGATGTTGACCACCGTGCCGCTGCCGAACTTGTGAATGCGGAACACGCGGTTGTTTACGTACGTCACGCCGTATATGTAATCCTCAAAAATTTCGATGCTGAACGGATGTAATAACCCTGTAGAGGAACACGTAGGTTAGAGTGGACTCAGGGCTGCTTCTTAATTAGCAGAGCCATCGTGAATCTGCAATGTATAAGCTTAAAGACACTGAACAAATATGATGGCAAAATGATAGGCAACTTGCAGTGATTGAATAAGGAATGACTCTTTGGTTCTTTCGGTAAAGTCACGTAGAAAGAAAATAAATTAAATAATAAAATACGACGTTTCGATTGCAACACAAGCAATCATCATCGGGTAGAAAACAAACCTAGTAAACTTAGAAATATAATGCAATACAACACAGAGGGTTTATTTTCTTTCTACGTGACTTTACCAAAAGAACCAAAGAGTAATTTCTGCAGTCACTAAAGCTTAAAATCAAGTTTGAAAAAGCAATGTTAAGTTCCATGGAGGTAAGGGGTTCGTACCTTGCTTGCTGTCAACAGCCACCACCCGGTCAGTGCCATCCAGACGAATGCTGCCAATCACCGAGAGCTTGGCATCAGCCCAGTACAACCGCTGGTTCATGAAGTCAATTGCCAAGCCTGTCCGCATTCAAGGGCAGTGAAGTGCACAACTGACTTAACAACAACATTAATGTATTTAGAGCCACATTTTGTAGCTAAATAATCCACTGCATTTTTAATGCATACATTATAAATATATAAAAAGAAGAGGCCAATTTAAAAAAGAAAATAACTTTTTTAGGTTTCTTTAAAATGGATAAAAAAATTGGAATATAGTTAGTTGGAAACTGAGAATATTTAACACAATTTAATTACCCCTGAATTATCCCTCTCCAAAAAGTAAAGCACAGCCAGGGGAACACATGTGCGAGCTATTTTTTTGTTGGGCATAATTAAAAGTGAATTTGGCAACAACAATGAGACTCTCCTGAATATATACCTTGTCTATAAACCAAAGGAAGAAAACTTGGATACACGAACATTTAGAAATATGCAGACTGTTAAACTGGTGGGGAACTCATTTTAAAAGCAGTTTCGCAAAGCCCAATCTAACATTAGTAAAACAAACCGTCTCCTGTGAATATTCAATAAAGTTCAGCTCAGTGTCAGAGATGTTTATTCAGCTCTACTGGGAGCAGTTTCGCCTCACGTGCAAGTCAGATTTTCCCATACATCACAGAGCTGAATTATAGACAATGCAAAAACATATGGTTGGGTGGAACTTAAGCCTTGTCTTAAAAAGAGCAACGTGTGAAACATACGGTGACAGGGCACAATATATTGTTCCACCATATGAATAGGGGTACGATAATACTGCGATGGAGTGCAGCCTCCTGCCGCTGAAGATCACTCGCATCTTCACACACATTGTGCCACTGTGGGGTAATAGTATCGTGGATTGCACATCTGCTCCTCACCCGTAGGCCACTGCAGGTCCTTCTCCACAAAGTTGTGCCGCCTTGTGCCATCCATGGATGCCTGCTCAATCTTAGCATTATTGCCCCAGTCCGACCAATACATCTGGCTGTGATATTAGTAACACGCGGACACACACACACACACATGCCCAGGTACACGTGATACAAAATGATGTCAATGACAGTATGTGCAAGTTGTTTTTTGTTGGCATTTCGAAAAGACACCTATAAACCTATTTGATTATATACAGTCGACTGTTACAGCAAATATTGTTAGCGAGCACCTTGAATTCTAGCATAACATATGACAGGATGTTATGGCCAACGCCACATGAAGCTGCCTTTTATCTTCTCCAGTGCCAACTTCGGCACTGGGGTTTATGCTGAAATCATTAAACCTCGTGGAGTACCTGCCCAGATTTAAACAACCAATTTGTAGAATGTATGGTCTGTAATTGAACTATGTCATTGAGACCATAAACCGGTATGCTTGTCACCAATCCATCACACTTTAGTAGGGCACACATGCACAAGCGTTTTATTGCAACGGAATCTGTTAGGTTTTGGCAATTACTTTACCGTGATGGGCTTCGTAAAGCTACCAACTATAAACGTAACATATTAATACACTAAAAGCCATGGCAGATAAATAAATGCTTAATTTGTCATTTTTAAATCCAGGACACAGGTGTGTAAAAATCAAGATACATTGCGTGGGTTCCAGTGTCCGGTTGCGGAAAAACATCTTCAGGTTAATATTTATTAACCATTGTCCACTTCACAGTGGGCGTTAAATATCCCATGCAGGTTATTCACGAAAGAGTTGGCCATCATGGTACAAATTATCATAACATTTGAAAAAGTACCCGCATATTTACACACTTGGGTGAAACCACCAAGGAACATCGCCCCCCTCTGCGCGCAGACGACACTCATCCGTGAAACGCAAGGATGCCTACGAGAGCGGCGAGAACGCCCCAACGGTCCCGTCGATTCGATAAGACGCAAACGGCCGCGGGAATTGGGCACTCGTGCCCCGTGCTCTGTGCTCTCACCCGCGGATGGGGTCGAGCACGATGGCGTGTGGCTCGTCGATCATGCCAGAGACGAGCGTCTTGCGGTAGCGGCCGCGAAGCTGCGCCACCTCGATGACGTCGCGGCCAGAGTCGGTCCAGTACAGGTTGTCGGCCACCCAATCCACGGCCACTCCGCGTGGCATCTTTAGGCCCGAGATCTGGGTGCCAAAAAAATCACTGTGCACGCATGTCCCAAATGTCTATCGCGCAAACATGCGTCTGCGTGTTTGTTGTGCCAATGTTGTTTTTTTTTATTCGGGGGGTTATTGCTTTTAACGTCAGGTGCTTAGAATAATAAATGCAAGCATGTAAAATCGGACTTGCATTATTCTCAGATTTTTGCTGCTTACACAATAGGTTATATTTTAAAGCTCACATTTCTCCACCATTCTGCCAATTGTATAACTAATAAATTGGACCTGCCCTGGAATAAAATACCCACTGTCACTGTCGGATTCGAGTATGGAGTTTTTCAAAAACAAATCCACACAGTCAAACGACAAATGTCAAGAGACTTACCCCACTGAAACACAGGTCCTCATGCATGCACAACCCTCGAGGTACAGTCCTCAAATACCTTGTTCATGCCACTCCTGACAGAGGGGCCTCTATTGGGGGAAGCACTAGAGGGCTTTTCGATTTAAAGCTTTCGTGACTGCAGGGATTCATCTTCTTGGTTCTTTCGGTAAAGTCACGTAGAAGGGAAATAATAAAATAATAAACATAAAACATAATAAAATAATTTAGCATATGCTAAATTCCTCTTGATATGCAAATTATTTTGTCAAGGCACCCTTTCCCCCCTTCCAACCCAGCTTAAATATACGCTCCAAGCGTGGTGGTGTTTCATTCAGATGCTGTCTCCCCAACAGACCTGGTGAGAATTATTTTATTACGTTTTATTTTTATTATTTTATTATTTCCTTTCTACGTGACTTTACCGAAAGAACCAAGAAGAAGACTAGAGGGCTTCTCCAGGGTGAATTTTGACCTACTCTTCCACGCTCACCAGAAATCTTGAGACTGCCCGCACTTTAACCCGTACCATGTGCAACCTGCTGATCGGCAAACTGCGGTGAACCCATTTGTACCGCTGGGTGGACGAAGGCAGTGAGAGATTTTAAGAAGCGAGCCCATTGTTTCGAGTGCTGGTGCCCGGTAATCAAATCAAACCGGCAACCTTTGGATTGTAAGTCTGCTGCGTGAACCATTACACCACGGACGCATCCCATATCCCTTGACTATATACTTTTGGCTAGCCAGAGTAGAGATGGTCACTGCATCGCATGCTTTTCAGATGCACCTCTGCAGCTGCTCTTCGTTCCGATATTTGGAACCCACTGGGAGCTAAGCAGTTGCGAATCGAGATTCTTTACAACTGCGCTTTCTGTTTAGTTTGTTTTCCTTCCCGTGCACCTCCGATTAGCACGGTTTTGCTACGGATGCTGCGAAAGAAGACCAACAACATACATACATAATACGTACGTACAGATACGGGATTCTGGGCACTCACGTCGAGGTCGACAACAGTCCCGGACGCCTGACGGCGGTGCCTGTGCTCCCCGGCCGGGTACAGCTCAAGCATTGAGATGCGGCCCATGTGCCAGTTGGTCCAGAAGATGCGATTGGACTTGACGTGGGCGTCCATGGCGTCAATGCGGACGGTCGCGTCTCCCTGGTAGGCCTGCTCGTATGCCATGTTGGGGTTGTTTGGCGCCAGGCTGCGGATCTCGTTGTTGTCGGCGATGTACAACACCATCTGCTCCGAGCCTGAATTCCGTGGAGGTGGAAACGGCACGAGTGGAGTGCTGTTAATGCACCGTACTCGTACGGCATATCCAGAAAACTATACCGGTCATTAACATAATCAAAACCCATCGCAGTTACGCGTATGTTTAGTGGTGCCCAGCTCAGAAAATGACAGTACTCCTACAGTATTCAATTGTAGATAATTCACTGAATTTGGCGATGACATAGGCTCTCTCTTACCAGCACTCACATTGCATTTTGTAGGAACACACACACACTGATGCGAGCCGGGTGAAATGACAGACGCCTGGAATCCAGTGCGTTGGATTATTTGCCCCTCATTTGCGTGAGCATTTTCCCCATGCATTTCGGTTTACTCCAAAGTGCACAACACTACACACCAACTTGCCACGCATACGTATTCAGGACCCTTCTGAAAAAAATATTCTTGAGCCCCAGACATTATTTTCTGGAATAATTAACGATATCATTATTATTTTGGGACGCGTTTAGCGGCATCCAAACATGCAATTTTGGAGGGATGAGACAACTGAAAGTTATGGTGGATGGACACGGAGGTTATGAGATATATGTACCAGATACCACAAGTATAAAATACACATTTATATAGAGCTAAAGTACATATTCATGCACTCACAATGACAGCAGTGTAAACTCACTTGTTCTGTCAAGCAAGCACTTCATATGGATGTCTAATATTGTTATAGAACACAACATATAATTCAAATCATGCCTCAAATATTTGGGCAGGATGAGATTAATGATCCCTTCAGCTTAATTCCAACATCAATCACTTTAATGCTTTCATATTAAATGATGGATTAAGCATGCCCCACAAACCTTCTGCCTTGCAGCTGTGATGGAGCCCCTTGATGTAGTTCTTGGAACAGTTACACTTGTAGGAGCCTTTCGTGTTGTTGCAGAGCTGTGTGCACACTCCAAACTGTGCGCACTCATTCACATCTGTGTTGACAGCAGACACGGCAAGCAGGGGGTTTCGTTGCAATTAGAGATGTTGCCATTTGATGCAGTACACAGTGCATGGAAGTCATGCAAAGGTTAACGTGTATAGATGCATACATTGTGTTCCGCGTTCAACTTTACTTGAATTATCTCTGATGTTGTGCAATGGATGTTCCTGGAAAATTAACCAAATTGTGTGTTGTTTATGTTTCAACATTATGTCAATCCAAAGCGACTTGATGAATGATAGGACATTTTCCATTAAGTTCCAATGTAATTTGTGTAATGCGGTGCCATTAATGTTCCCTTCGCAGTTTATAATACAAACTGCTAATCCAAAAATGAGGATTGGTCAGCATGACCTGGCAAGTTTTTTATTATTATTCCTATGACGACAGGATAACACTAAAGGATTACTGCATTAATGGACATGCTGGAGTAAAGGCATAAAATGGCATTTACATCCATACATACATGTACATAAGTGACTCAATGCTCACACGAGCGAGGAGTAGCATTCGTATCAGATGACAGTCCTGACTTCAGAGTGGAAGTGTCACATTCCTGTGACAGGCACCAGTCTTACTCTAACAAGCAGAGCTCATTTCATGCACACCACATGAATGATGGGTAGCGTCTGCCCCCGGTGGGGATCGAATTTACAATCTTGCCATTCTTGAGTGACAATTATATCATCGTTTGGCCAGATATGTAGAGTATGCAATGTTTACGGAATGCAGCAATCATTGCCCAAATCACCATAAATATGCCCGATCTCATCAGAAATTGGAAGATAAGCGGGACTGGTTAGTGCTTGTATGGGTGGTCACCAGCGAGTGCCGATTTACAGTAGGTCATGGGGCTACAAGGTGGCCAGGAGATGATAATACTGAGCCGCCTGTTCACATGTGCAGGTTATCTCTGGGTACTGTCTTCCTCGCGTACGTCAAACACTCATTAAACAAGCGATTGGTCAATCATCCCAAAGCGGGACCCTCTTAAAAAAGTGTCTCGAGACTCGGGCTTCGTACCTTCACATATGGAGGTGGTGGCCTTGCGCTGGAAGCCAGGTTTACACTCGCAGTAGTATCCTCGTAAGGTGTCGTGACAGATCGCATCATCGCCGCACGGGTTCAATGGACGATGGCACTCGTTGACAAATTGGTCTAACACGGCACACACGCCACGAGCCAGCAACACACATACACAGTCACGTCAATGCTCTCATCCCTGTGCTTATTTCATTACCGACTGCCTGCGGTTAAAACAATAAAACGTACTGCCACGATAAGCACATACACACTGTACTTTACAAAATAGAGGGTGGAAAAAACTTCGCAAAAAAATAGTAAGCTTTTAAATTATTGCCAACACAAGTGAGGAATTTATTTATTCTGCAATGTTAAATTGGTTAACATATGCTAAGCCAGGTTCCAAGACCCACTGCTACAAAATAAAAAAGAGCATTGCTGGAGTAAAACTTGTTTTTATTTATAAACATAGCAGGGAATTACTTGAAAGCAAATTGCACTTTCATTCTCTATTACCATTGGTCACATACCATAACCCTGTACTGGTTATACATCTGAACAACTGCCGTTCTAAAGGATATGCTTTCCATTACTGCAGTCAAATATTGTACAAGGACAACTTGAATAATTTTACGTCGGTTAAATAAATATTCGCAGAACGGTGTTATTGCAATCGTCCTTTGCAGTGCAGATATCCAATCTGAAGGTGTTCCAATATAATATAAATACATTATTTCATGATACTGCATTGGCAGTGGTGCACAAGCACAGATAACAACATTTCCACACTGTGGCCTTAAAAGGGAACATATATAATAGACAATAGTTGTGCCTTTTGGGTTTTTCGGTAAAGTCACGTCGGTAAAAAAAAAGATTTCATTTTTTTACACGTGACTTTACCGAAAAAACCAAAGAGTATGAATCCATGCAGTCACGAAAACTTCAAATCTAGAAATAGCTGTGCCCTTCTGCATGTGCTATGAAAAAGGGCCATTACCCAAAATGTAGCCTATTTCAGATGTTTAGTTGTAAGGCCACAGTGTTATTGACAAATGTTTTCAATTGTTTTCTTCATCCCACATGGCCGATTGCTCCTTAGGTTAACATGACCAATGGATCCCAACAAAGGCAATACAAATCACCACTACCCAGATAAATATAAAAAAAACAACGAGTTATGAACCCCAAGTGCCATAAACAACTGAAAGGTACAGAGGTTAAGAGCAACATCCTCTAAAAACAGATGATTTGTGCCAATATCCTTCCCACAAAACACATGCAATGTCACATGCTGGTGAATGTTAAACTTTTGTCTGTTACCCTTTTTAAATCATGTCATGCTCAATGTAAAGCATTTGAAGCCTTGTGAAAATTGCACAATACAGAAAACAAAGTTTATTATTTTCATTATTATTGAAATGAACCTCATGGCAAAGTTAATCTGCTGTACATCATTACGCTTCAGCAGCAACACAGAGACACACAGAGAGAGACACACAACATAGACACACAGAGACCCAATGCCTCTGTGTCGTGGCCTTAAAGAGAGAGAGGGGGGGCAGAGAGAGAGGTGGGTCTGCTGGAGCAGAGATATTAGCATGTCAATGAGAGAGCTGTGTGGAAATCCACCTCTCTCTCTGCCCCACCCCTCTCTCTATTTAAGGCCACGACACAGAGGCACTGGGTCTCTGTGTGTCTATGTTGTGTGTCTGTGTGTCTGTGTTGTCTCTCTCTGCTTGTGTGTCTGTCTGTGTGTCTCCGTGTCTGTGTTTTGTCTCTCTCTGCTTGTGTGTCTGTCTGTGTGTCTCCGTGTCTGTGTTTTGTCTCTCTCTCAAATTTAGTTCTGCCTGATGACGACTGCTTGTGTTGCAATCGAAACGTCGTATTCTATTATTTAATTTATTTTCATTCTACGTGACTTTACCGATTGAACCAAAGCGTAATTCCTGCAGTCACGAAAGCTTCAAATCAAGTTTTAGCACTATAATACTCAACTTTAAATTAATGTGAAGGTGCTGTACCAATGGGGGATGCTGTGACTCGCCATTCTACATGCACATCTTCCAAATTCACCCCATGCGAGCACATATTGCCAATAACTCAAATGAAACGCAGTTTGAAGGGTAAGATTTTTTTCTGAATGTCAAAAAATTGCAAAAATTGTCCTATTTTGTTACAAAATCATTATTGCACAGCCTTGGCAGATGTTGGTGATAAAATTACAATTGAACAAAAAGTGGGACTTTCCATGTGATACACTTAATTTATTTATTACAAAGACTTTTGAGTTGTTCAGCTGAAAGTTTGCATAGTTAGGTATTTAGGGGTGGCTGCTTGTGACCAAAGATTAGTTCTCAACTCTGATAAAGATTCTGCAAATGCCACATCACGGTACTGATAAGGCCACAGCGTTATCTATATTGTTTATTTTGTAAGGGTGTAAAATAATTGTTCAAACAGTGGGCTATCACGTGTGTGGAGTGCCCCTACATGTCGGAACGGTTCTCAGTTTTTCCACATGAGAGCAGCATTACTGTCTTTTGAAACTACCCATCCACAATAATGTTGTTGCTATTAATGTTTAGCATTCAATAAACAAAGTGAATTAATAATATGCAACAGAAACTAAACATTTGACAAATCATGAATAAAAAATCCATCTTTTATCACTTCCATTGCAATTTTATGAAGTTATTTTCTCACCGTAGGTAAAAAAAAAAACCCATAACAAAACTCATTACAGAGCTGACTAGTTATTATAACATGTCATGCTTGAATTCAGGGAGCTAGATGTGAAAATGATAAGGCTCAGTAGTAGTAGGGATGAAAACTGTAATGTTTCAATGCTTGAAAGCTTCAGCTAATGGAATGGAACACCCTTGCAGGAGTGAGATGCAACATACTGGCACGCGACGGAGTGGCCTACAAACACCCGACGACAAAAGGTGGCGGCTCAAAAGCTTTACGCGACGACTCGCTCACCTCCTCCACAGGCCACCTCATCGGAGCCACCATCGCCACAGTCGTCAAAACGGTTGCACACGAGCTGAGTGCTGATGCACTTCCTCTCCGTGCCGCCGCACTTAAACTCACTGCTGTTGCAAATGCGTGGCTTTGGGCTCGGCTTCTCTGCAAGCCAAAGAACAATATTAGCGCGGTGGCCCAAATGCACCAAACCGATGCTCATGCAACATGCGCAGCCCCGTTGTGAATCCACCACTAGACGAGGGCCTCTCCGTGACTGGCAGGCCATGAGATAATTCATCGTACTTCGAATTGCTGCTCAGTGTGGGTTTTAAGGTGGGTGGAGCACAGAGCAACATTGGGGTTTTTGCTTCACTGCCCTCTACTGCCCACAATGATTATTACACATGTAGTTGTGCACGGTCGTCACCAATCCAAACATTTTAAGATCGGTGATAATACTCATGGTGACACAGGAATTTGCAGAAGCAGTATTATCATATGCTGCTTTTGAAAATACCATTGTAAAATCAAATGGACTTTCATGTATTAAAATGTATGTAATTTAGCATGAATTCAATGTGCAGATATGATCAAATACATGTCTATGTCTGGCTCATTTATAACTTTGAATCCAGGGGATCCACCAGTAATGAAATCTGATTCTTAAATGTACTGTGTTTGTTTCATTTCTAGTCACCCATAATTCATGTTTTACTTAACTAATAATTTCCACTTGTTTAATGTGCAACGAACATTGTTGCAGGCAATATGAAACAATAGCCTTTGTGAGGCTAAAGAGACTTACGAAAGGGACTTCAAAAAGAGTGCGATGCTGGCTATGACATTTATGAATTAAACATTCCATCTCATGAGATAATGCAATTAATATACAAAAAAAATTTGCAGTTAAAACGAAGTTATTAAATATATAAATAGCTAATGAAACCTGATAAAAGTGTACCATTTATACAATAAATATTTATATTCATTTATTTAATAACATTATAAACATTTAGGATACGTGATATATATATACTCTTTAAAACAATAACAAAAAAAAACTCCTCAATTATTTCAATAGCATATGAACTTTCCATGATGCACGAAAAATTAAGGTAAATTTAAATGCCAGGTTGGAATATTCAATTGGGCTCATCAGAGGCATTAGGTGTTTCTCATGCATTTTTTTCCAAAGCGATTGTGTGTGTTTGTGTGTTGCCAGCGATCTATTTATTCAGTTTGCTTTACCGCAGTTCTCTTCATCCGAACCGTCCCCACAGTTGTCAACGCCATCGCATTGCCGTCCGGCCCAGAAGCACACTCTGTTGTTCCTGCATCGAAACTGTCTTCCTGGTGGACACTGGAACTTCACTGGAGCAGACATTTCACATCAACGTGTCAACAGTTTTATCTAGTTTTTTTTAAAAACAATACATGCATATATATAACCAAACAAACAACCCAGACTCATACACGTGCGTGGCAAAACACCATCTGTGTGCCCGCCAACGAGCATGTGCAATGCACATGAACCGACATCATTTAAAAAAAAACATTTGGAATTGGGAGCGAATGTCTGAAGTTGATTTGATTTCACATCTGTTTTATGAAGGATGCCCAATTTTGGATACATGTGGAAAAACACGAACGCATTCTATCCAGCAGAGATCGTGCGTGTATCGTAACGCTAGTGAATGCAACCAACCCTAGTTTATATTACAGATCATCATGAAAGATGGTACAGTATAGCAAACATTTACACCACTAAACCAGCTAGGTGGCGCTGTGGTGAAAGGGTGCAACTCGGTTCAACTGCAGGTAATTTGCAAAAATTAAATCCTGATCACAACAGTTACACGTCTTATGTAAAGGGATGCCTCAAAAACATTAATCACTCCAGAATACAATACGAATCGCAATGTTGTGAGGTGAGAAGAGATTCTCCTGTGGAGTGATTGGCCCCTGCCACAGAAATGTAACAATTGTATATCACTGCCAGTGGGCCATGAATGATGATGACGATGTGAATGATGATGACGATGTGAATGATGATGACGGTGTGCACTCTGCCCACGTGCATGTGCGAGTGACCCAGAGAACACTTCCCACTTTGACTCGCGAACAACAAAGGTCGCCGATTGAAAACGCGCGTGCATCTGGTGCCCTCTCAAGTCGTGGGGGTAGACACTCACAGCACATCTCCGGGGTCTCATCCGAATTGTCACCACAGTCGTCCTCGCCATCGCATTTCCAGGACAAAGGCTTGCACAGTGTGTTGTTGCACTGGAACTCGTGGTGAGGACAGGTCCGCACGACTGGGACAAAGAAAGATCCACACAACTAAGAGCACAGAACCGCTTTAACCGGTGCTTGCGTACAGCGGCATCTCCGATTTGCACGGTTGGCTACGTATGGTGCGAAAGAAGTTCAAAATACATACATACAGCCAGTGGTCATTCGATGAATTAATTACTTATAATGATAAACAGTCAATAATAAACATGTACAAGAGAGGTGGTCTTATGTAAAGAGTGGCATCTGCAAAAGGAATGTGGAATTTCCACCTCTGATTTAGGGCTGCCAACAAAATGTTGCACCAGCTAATTCCGATGTTTCATGCATTAAGCCGGGGAGTGTGTGCCGACTGTGAAGAAGTTTTCCTTTATTTAAAGTGAAATGTGTAACATGTCAAAAGGAGCAGATTAGATATCAACTACTGCAGTGTTAACAGGTGGTCATGTCCCATAATATACATTCAGCCTTGACTCTAATCCTATACATCTCTCCTCTAGCGGACTCCGATGTTCACATGTACTTACTTGTGGTTACTGAAATGTTGTAACCTATTTGTCTCCCTATGTTGTGAAATCTGTTCATCAATTGACATCATATGAGTTGATAAACAACGTCATTTACCTTAATTTCCTTTACTCTTTATCAAAAGGTCTCAAAGCAATCAAAACAAGACACCAATAATGGGGCAACACTTTTGTATTAACGTGTTTATACAACTATACAAATGTGAACGTGTTATGCTAGTTGGTATTATATACACAGCACTGTGATTGTGCATTAATACATTTTTAGTTGGAGTATTTATAACGTAACATTTATGTTTAATTACACTTCTTTACTGGGCATTGCTTCTGTTGAAAAATTTGGGTTTCAATGTGTTTGGAATATTGCATTTCTGGACACGAGTCAAAAATGTCCTGTTTTGAAAAAGTTTGAGGTTGAGTGGCATTCCCCAGTGGCAGAGACACATTCCTTCCTTGATTGGACACCCATGACAGTCGTAAGTTATCTAAAATCAGAGCCCAAGATGGGCAATCCTCCATTAAACTCAAGCAGATCCATGAGTGGAGAGACATTATGTAGGGTAAAATTTGTTGTGGCATGCTCTGAATACTACGGGGGGTGTGATGTGTCCATAGTAACATGCAAAAACAATAATTAAAGAGAGTCTTTTTTTAAAGCAGAAAAGCCTCAATGAGCCACCATATGTATTTTGGAATAATTGTCAATTCTTTTCCAGATATTTTGTGTGTAAGGAGAAAATTTCAAAGCCTGGCGTAAACCTCCACAGAGGACTAAGATATTCGAACCAACAAAAATATTCACAGACAGGTCGGCGACCTACTCGATATCCTGTCTTCAACGTGCCATCTCACCGATCCGTAGGTTGTGCCGTCAGTGGCTCACGACGCTCTCTGCTACGATCCACTAATCCCACCTACAGAGCTGGACTACAGCAGCATGTGTTCGGTCTGCCACCGCACCCGTGGCGCGACGCCTGCCATGCGATGTGGCCCACGTGCTGCGTTTTGCAGCAAAGACCACGAGTGCAGGGGAAGGGGTCTGTGCAACGCAGCGTGTCAGATGCGAGTGCCGTGGAGTGCCGTGCAGCGCCGTCCACAATTACTTGCGGCGCAGTTATCCTCGTCGCTGCCATCGATGCAGTCGATGTCGGCATCGCAGCGCCAGCGCTGAGGGATGCAGTGGCCATTACGGCACTGGAATTGATCGTGGTCGCAACGGGGAGAGCAGTCCTTCTGCAGAGCCAACAGGGACAGAAAAAGCCTGTCAGTGGTATCCAACAAAGACAGCGGTATCCATGTGTGCGCATGCTGGGCATGTGTACAAGTGTGGTATATGCACGCAGATGCGCGTGTGTGTGTATATATTAAAGTGCAACTCGCCTGGCACAGGCGCCGTGGTGACGTCACCATCACTTCGTGGCGAATGGCGGGTTTTGGTATTGGTATATATTAAGCATGTGTGTGGGGTTTTGTATGTTATTCATATCACAGTTGCTGAGGACAGGCCTTAAGGGCCATGAATGCCCAGTGACAAGCAACAAACAGCACTATTTAAGGTATAATGCATGAGTGAGCCGGTTTCTTGAATTGAGCATGTTTTAAGAACTCAGGAAAGAGATGATGGGAGGGGAATTTCAAAGTTAAGCAGTACCTAGGATTGAAGCAGAAGTGTTTAACCCTGCAGTATAGTGTTTGAAAAAAATCGTGGATGAGATCAAATGGTAAATTGCACATATACGCACAAATGCAAGCATATTGGTGTGTGCATTGCACACGTACATACGTGCATGTATATATGCACACCGTTGTAATCAACACAAGTTAATTTATCGCTGTCTTATTCTTTCATACGGCTGATATAGATGCGGAGCCACAACTACAATTTCATATTCCGGTGGTCAAGCCAGATAGCCGCATCAGGAGCAGCGCAGTGTATCGCTGTCATGTCTCCTTCGTACTTGTCAATCGAACATTGCGTCGTTATATTCTTTGTTGCCGTGATCAGTTATGATCCGCGAGACACATTCACAAACCTCGTCGGAGCCATCGGAGCAGTCGTGGTCACCATCGCAACGCCAGCGGCCAGCGATGCAGCGTCCGTTCGCGCACGAGAACTCGCTCTCAGAGCACGGCCGCGGAGCTGTGTAGGCAGGACACAGAAAACCCATGAGGCTTCGACTTTAGCCCAACAACTGAGAAATACAAGCTCCGTTAACCCGTGTGCACTACATAGACTACATACTCGCCATTCATTGAAGTGAAGCATTATGGGTAATGCTTACGTATACTTTTACCCATAATTCTCCACCTTACCAATAATGCTCCACAGCAATGTATAGTGAGTTTTTATACGAAATTATTTTTTTTGCATTGAACCGGACTCCATAGTTTAGACAGAGTGGTCGTGGTCACCCAGCGGCTCTTGATTAACATTTCTGACTCTGCTGATGAGACCCACAAGGTTGAAACCAGTCCAGTGTTTTCTTGCTAAAAAACAAATGCTACCGAATAAATATTGGTCTGGAAAGCCAAGAGGTGTTCTGCTTAAATAAGTATATATGTATATGCACTGCAGGTGTTCAAACTAGCAAGTTCCAGATTGTTTCTGGGTTGTTATTTTTACTGAAGGCTTGACCATATTGACTACTCAGTTGAGATATACCATTAGAATTTATTTTACTATTAGTGTTGGTGGCTAACCTAAGTATTTTTTGGAAAGCAATGTTTGGAAATATAACAGGCCTCAAACTAAGCACAATACAGGGACTCCTCTACTTACAAACAAGTTATGTTCCAGGTCTGTTCGTAAGTCCAACTTTACTCCTGTCGATTCCAAACATGTTGTACAGCATTTACACTAAACGGGAAATGGCTTTAAAAGTTGTATAATCTCCTGAAGATGTTGTTGCCACTAGTTCTTCATGTTCTGCAGATGTAGATGTCACCACCGCCATTTATTGCGTGGCGGTTGAACTTACAACTCTTGGTCCGAAAGGGTAACTGGACATACGGACAGGTTTGTTCGTATGTTTGATAGTTCGTAAGTCGAATTTTGTAAGTTGAGGAGTCCCTGCGCATTAATTTACTCATAATGAAGATTCATTATAAATTTACTTACAAACAGAGAACAATTACATCACATGAGTGTAATCTAATAGCCAATATTAAGAGGAATACATCGATGTGAAGAAAAACATTTTTGAAACACAAATATCATCAACATTACATGCCTTATTTTAATATTTAAAACAATTCCACCTCATTAGAGTAGAGCTCTGGCCTCGAATCTCGGCTATACAAATCTACAAGGATTAAAACAGGGCTTCATCTTTCTGTCTGCACCGAGGACCCTTAACAGCTGCCATGAAATAAAACGTTAAGATCCAGCCCCTTGATTGTGATCAGTGTAGCGTAGGTTTTAATGTAGAAGTAACAGACAAATTACTATAGCACTTACTCCCAGATGAAGAAATGGATAAGGAATGAGTTCTGGTGTACGGGTCATATTGTACATCCTCCATTGCCTTTGCAAACCCTATGGTACATTTTAGGATCCATTGAGACTTAAGAGTAATCAACCCCTAATGATACTTGTACTCCCATAAAATGGCACAGTCCTGAAATTGTTTGCCTCTGCTGGCAGAATGATCTGTACTAGACGAAGCTCTAGAGCTTCCCTAAATAATGTTTTTGCCTGCTCTTCCACACCAACCAGACATCTTGGAAGATGGAGTACCCACACTTTACCTCACCATACACAACCCTGCTGATTGTGGTGTACCCATTTATACAACTGGGTAGACAGAGGCGGGGGAGATTTAAGAAACTTGCCCATATTTCAGCTGTCGTGCCGAGAGATCTAACTGGTGACGTCTGGATGACAAGTCCAATGTGTCCTAACAATGATACCATGGCAGCATACCTCAGTCCCCTAGGGACTATGCAAATTACTCAATTGATAATCCTGGATTTTGGAGACATATTCTATAAGAAGGTGGCACTTGATGGTCATGGCAGGCAAGTGCAAATGGAAGTTTGAAAGCATATTACATGCACAGTCACCTACCTTTGAAAATGTGTCACCCATCACTAGGGCAGTGTGATGCAAGAAGCAAAATAAAACAAAGCGAAAAAAAGTAAAATGGGACATGGAGACATGGGATAACGTGAGACATGTTGAATACTGGACAACAATGGTAACGTGATTGAATATTTCCAAACGATGATTAAAACTGGTAATGTTGTGACCATGGCAAAAGAGAACAGGACTGAATGACAATGAGATGCCTTGAATAAGAGTTGATTACAATGAAAGATATTAATCAATAGAAGTTTAATTAATGTCAGGCGCACAATGGAGATGGCACAAGACATCTTACAAGGCGGCAAGAAATTCATAAATAAGTATATTCAGCTCAACTAGTGTAATGATGCATGCAGGTTAATGACCCATTCAACATTTCAAAGCAACTGCATATTTTGCTCGAATATATCACCCCTCCCTCAAATAACACGCCATGCAGGGGTTGTTTCCAAAAATAATTATGTTCCATCTGCTTTTCCCACCTAAATATTGCAAACAAATCCCGATTTATTTTGAGTGAGGATGATCAAATTCACCTGGAATGCACCCAATCCATCAGCTAACTGAAGCCAAGCAGGATCGAGCCTCCACAGAGACTTATATGGGGTGACCACAAAGCACACAAAACAGATATGCAGTTGGCGGTGGGTTTGGAATAGTGGGCAGTGCAGAAAAACCCACTGCTGTTCTGCACTCCACTAACTTTCACCAACCCACACCGACCAGCGTAGTGAAGCCTGGTCAAATATCCCTCGCGCGCCCCTGGCAAGGCATCGGGAGGCCCTAATCCACTAGTGGATTGACACAACTGGCTACACACATGCAGCAACAACAACAGCAGCAGCCGCCACTAAGTGGCGGTGGAGTCACCAGTTGCCCTTGTGCCAATCTCGGCGCGCTGTGACGCCACGTGAAGTGTTGAAAGGCTCGCTTGGCAGCAGTTCACGGGGCAGACCCGGGTGCTGTGGGCTGACCGACTGATGTACACGTGCATACGTCCGGACCATAGGGTATATCGCAGCGGTGTTCCGCTCTATACTAATAGGGTTTTTCCCCTTTTTCTGGCAACAAAACTGACACCTTTTGCAAGGAATCATGCTTACATTAACCACAATACTTGCAGTCAAATGCAATCTAATGTAAGCATGATTCCTTGCAAAAGGTGTCAGTTTTGTTGCCAGAAAAAAGGGGAAAAATCCTATTAGTATATTTTGGTACTGGCAAAGGAGGTCCCATGATGGTGTTCCGCTCGTTTAACAAAATGTGCCGCGGAAAACTTGGGGAGTTTTCCCGAGTCTGCGGTGGGGGAATGGCACCGTCCATGATACTTACTACAGCCCTCCTCGTCAGAGTTGTCTCCACAGTCGTTGTCGTAGTCACACTGCCAGCGCCCCGGCACACAACGGTTGTTCTTGCAGCGGAACTGGTACGGCTCACAGGTTCTGTCCTCTGCACGCGACCAAGGGAACACGGAAATATGAGTTCCACCACTGGGTTGCCGAATTGCAAGTTCCTCTTTCGCACACGTTGGCTACCGATCCACGTCCTTCGCATCCTCTCCATGTCTGTCTGTCACCTTTGTTATCGGCAACACCAACGTCATTTATAAAGCAAGGATAAACTTTACAGGGGTACGAATATGGAACAGAGCAGGCATCATACACAAGGGAAAAGGCATCGAATATGAAAGCATTGAAAGAAAACTAGTCAATGCAATACACACTAGATATGAAACTAAAACAGAAAATACTAAAACAGTCCTGTTGGATTGAATACAGAATCTACATTTGTTATTGCCTAAGTGGCTGTCCTTAAACCTTTCAAACTATTTCACAAAAAAATCGAAATAGTTTGAAAAACAACCCCCAAGCAGACAGCTTTTTTCAATTCCACAGGTGGAGCATCCCACGAGAGTGGGCCTACAAAACGAAAGCGTCCGTCCCAAGTGTGACGTGCGCACGTGCCCACAGGGTGTTGAAGCGCTCTTCCGCTCGTGAGCGCAGAGTCTTGTCTGTCGCTCTCTCGCGTGCCGACACTCACCGCACTCCTCCTTGGGCTCGTCCGACGTGTCGCCGCAATCGTCGTCCCCGTCGCACTTCCACCGGGACGGGATGCAGCGTCCTGTGCCCTTGCAGCGGAACTCCTCCTGGCCGCACGTCATCTGGGCTGTTGGCATGCGGCGCACGGCATGGGCGAGATGGGAGGACGGCAGGTGAGAGCATGGAAAATAAAAACATGGTATTTGCAGAGGAGCAATACCATACGAAAATTTATATTACACATACACACCCTTCTTGGTTCTTTCGGTAAACATAATTAAATAATTTTCACTATTTTATTATGTTTTTTTTCTTTTCCTTCTACGTGACTTTACCGAAAGAACCAAGAAGACGAATCCCTGCAGTCACGAAAGCTTTAAATCGAAATACACACCCGTTCCGAATAATGACCATGATTCCTTGGTTTAAATGGATACGAAAGAAATGTGGCTCAGGCTATCAATTGCCCACGTTGACATACTGAGCCAACATCTCAAAGATAATATTTTCAGATGGGGCAGGTTTGATTTGCTATTACCCACTCAAGTGACCAGCAAACTTGAATCCCATCCATTACTAGCTTGTCATCTCTCTCAGCAGAAATTGATCATTCCAAGGCAATACACTTCAAAACATTGTTAAATTACAATGGATTCATCCGTCCTCAATTCCAGGAATACAAACATCTGAGGTTTGGTTCAAAGAGCTAGAAAAATGTATTTAAAATCAAAAGCTACTCCAGAGGCTGAGCTCCCTCTGCAGTAACTCATGGGAAGGAGGTCCCAGGGGAGATACGCGTTTGGTGGGGGCACATCGTGCCTGTATAAAAGCTCATCTCTGCACGACTGTCCCCCTACACGCAAGGGATTGCTGATGTAAACAATAAGAAGAGTCAACACAGATGTATAAAAACGACAATATTAATGAGCAAAAACACTGTTTGTGTTGGTCAAAAGAGCTATGTTGACCAAGACAGTGGAAGGCATTTGAGGGCATCCCAGTCTGTTCTCTGTCGGTTACACAGCAGCTGAGCAACACATTGCGCTTACTGCAGTTGGCAGGCTCATCAGAGCCATCCCCGCAGTCGTTGTCACGGTCGCACACCCACACGCGCGGGATGCATCGCTTGGTCGACGAACACTGGAACTGGTTAGGGGCGCACGTGACCTCTGCTAAACAGACAAAGACATCCGAAACCAAAATCAAACAGTGCTGTTGCACTCAACTCTTTGATCTGCACGACGGAGTCCGTGCCAAGCCCGGTCAGCCTCGTCTTATTCAACAGCACAACTTGGTAGCTCGCATTTTGTCAATGAGGCTGTTATTTAGAAGGTTTCCAAGCGGTCTACTCCTAGAGCTGGAGGCAGCCACTGCCAGATAATGTTGCAGGACATTGACATGAAGTTTGCTTTGTAGAAAGTGTTAATGGGCAAGCGTACAAAATAGTGCTCTAAATTCAAAACTTGAATTCTCCTCAAATTGATCATTACTCCAGAGGTCCCTTTCATGTGCCCTCGTCAGGGTCAGGGAGCCCATGTATTGAACCTGCAGAGTTTCCTGATTGGTAAATGACAAGTGACAAACAGGGTATATCATGAGATTATTAAGTTATTGTATTTGGCTTCTGGACATATTAAAATTGTAGATTAGGCTTTGCATACCGACTGTGCCAGAGTGATTGAAAGGAAAACGTGTCATTAAACAGCATTGTTGGTACATCTCACAAAGCATTAGTGTTCCTCTGAAATAGGATGACCCTCAATTCACGAGCTGAATTTGACGTATATTTAATGAAAGCCCAAGACCTCGTGTTATTGTGTGCGCTCAGCGGGTGCGGCAATACATACGGCAATCCTTCTCATCCTCGCCGTCTCCGCAATTATCCTGGCCATTACAGCGGAAGATGCCTGGGATGCAGCGATGGGTGGTGCGACACTTGAATTGGCTTGGCAGGCAGACGTGAACATCTGCACAATCGCACGCGCGCACACGCGCAAGTGCATGTTATCAAGCAACCACTTGGCATTCTAACGTGTACAATTCTCGTGCGGTGTAACTTACGAGCGATATGCAGCGTAATACTTCAGAACAACGTGAAGCCGCCTACCACAGTTGGCTTCATCAGAGCCGTCCCCGCAGTCATTGTCCCCGTCGCAGATGAAGGCTGGATTGGTGCAGATGCCGTTCTTGCACTGGAATTGGCCAGGACGGCACTTAAAATCAGCTGTAAGGGAAGTCACAGAAGTGCACACAAAAGGCACACAAGCAGCAACTACAATCAATCCCACCGTTTTTATTGCACCATGAACACAGAAATGCCGGGCTTAGAAATGAGCTCAACTTTGAGTTTATACGATTTTATTTAAGTATTTCATTCTCAATAAGCTTTGGCTGCCTCTTTTCAGGAACAGCCCCAATGCGATCAAAGTAATTCCGGCAAGACCTTGTCAGCCCGAAAGGCCGCACTTACGGCAGTCAGCTGGCTCATCCGAGCGGTCTCCGCAGTCATCCTCCGTGTCGCACTTCCACCAGAAGGGGATGCACTTGTCATTCTTGCACACGAACTACGTGAGAAAGGCCAAGCAGGTATCACGTGACACTCTTTTACAGTGATAGTAAATAGCCGGGACACTCTGTGGCTGTCCAGAACTTCATGTACAAATGTACTAGGATGTACAAGTTAACGTGAATGCATCGTAGGGTTTACAGCGCCGAGCATGGCGAGTACGAGATTATTTTTTCAACCAAAGAAAAATATTTCTTTGAAACTAGAAAAGGACATGAATGAAATACGGCAGCTTTTCTAAGGTTATTTATAATCTTGCAATAAGCTACAGTTATATAATTATTTATGTTCTCATTTCGAGTATAGAAAGTGTGATTATAGGCTGTGATACATATTAAGTGTCATATTCCAACAGTTTTATTATGTGATATAAACGTATTTTATGACCAGCACCAGTTCTGGCAATGCATCTTTCCTGGTACACAAGTTACACATTTTTGCCAAGTCACCCTAAGGCTGAATCAAGCCATGTTTGCATATCAATTAAACAAGGTGATGCATGGTCTGTAATTAAACCCAGATCATTTATTTCATAACAAGGTATGCTATCCACCATGCTACCAATCCCCAAAGATATACTTACTACACACCTGTAAACAAATAAATACACCCACAGGGCACTCAAAGATCCCCTGTATAGCCTCAACAGACTGTCGGGGCAAGTGTTGTTAGCGAAAACCTATGAAGGCCGGCACGGCACAAGAGGGGGTGGGTGGCGAGGACCATGTCCAGTCAACTTTGTCTCCCTCGTGATGATGTTTACACATGACATCAGGTACTCATTCGAGGATGAGTCGACTTAGGGGAGGCCCAAGAATAATTGTCACTGTTGTTGACCGTGAGCGGGTATCAAATCCGGGTCGCCGCGTTCGTAGTGCAGTGCTGCTAACTGCTATACCTCCCAACACCACACACACACACGGACACACAAGCATAAAACAACACTTATAAACACACCTGACTTGCAGTGCAGTTCGAAAGGCAGGTACGCCCATCACTGGCCAGGTAGAAATTGGTGGGGCAGGCACACTTGTACTGACCGCCCGGTGAGATCAGGCACAGGTTGCTGCAGCCTCCGTTGTTCACTTTGCACGGATGATTGGGAACTGGAGTACAAACAGTGGGCGTGTTAATAAAACAGAGTAAAAGCAACCAAACGGGCTTGGAATCAATGTGGAAGTGATCCAAACACGTTAAAGCATGCGGCACTGATTTGGCGCTTCAACAATAAGCTGGAAATAGCTGCAGTGAACACCGATTGTGTGATGGGCATTTTCGAATACTCCAGATAAAAAACGTAGTTTTTCAAAACATGCAGTGTTTGTTGTACTATTTTTACTATGATTAATATATATCAGCAGTTATTCATATGAATTTCCACAGTCACAAAAGTTAAGTCATATATCAGCAGCTTCTCTGATGTCAACTTTTTTTTCCAGTCTCTTCACAATAAATATCACATTGATTAAAATCTGCTATACGCATATCCAATCTCAACATTATCCTTCTTGAATAAAGGATAGATTGCAGCTGAAACACACTGTGAATATACACATTGTGTTAAGAATACAGGTTTCCTCAGTCAATATTATGATTCGTAATTGGGGTTTGGGGATAGGCCACAACACAGCCAAACAAATTATAATTTCCTGGATGTTTTATTCTGCCTTTCTGGTTCTTGTCCTGATGGCGTTCGACACAAATTAAAGTGAAATGTCGTATCCAATTGCTACATTTTTAGTCAGAATTCGGTGAGCCGAAGCAACAATTTGCACGTTAAAAATGTGGAGGTTTTAGCAATGCAAATTTGGCCAAATCATTACATAGTCCAACTGAAAATTGTATTATTAATATATAAATTATGTTGCGGTGACCCAAAGGCACAATGATGACATGATGGTGCAAGTGCCCTGGCCAATATAACACCCGCAACATAAACTAACGGGCAACGTGGAGATGGCTCTAGCATTGACCGCTGCTCGTTGGCGATTGTTGATGACCGCCGTGGGCATTATAATCAGCGGCAGTGCAAGCTGATACCGTCAGGCTGCCGGAAGGGGTGGTACACATGCAGGTCCATGGGCCTGTGCAGCGTGCTGATGAGCGTCGTCCGGTCTGCGCCCGTGCTCTTGTGCGCTCGGTTCACCGTCTTCGTCTCCCAGTCGGTCCAGTAGACGTGGTCCTCGAAGAGGGACAGCGCGAAGATATGCGGAATGTCCTCGCTCACAACTGCAGGTGCCAAACGCGATGGGGAAAGGGCACAGGCCACACAGATCGCACCCAGAGACACGCAGATCAGGATCCTCGCCCCCCCTGTAGCCAAATAGTCTGGTAACGAGAACCTATGAGGGCCAACTCGGCACATGAACGGGTGGTGTGGCTAGCACCACCATCATACCAGGTACTCATTTAAGGCTGTGTCATGCTAGGGGAGGCAAAAGACTGGTGCAGATTGGAATGGTCCCTGATTTTAGCCATGGCCAGGAACCAAACTCATGTTGCGGGATTCATAGCACAGGCCGCTCACCAATGTACTGCTCCACACCAGAAAATACACTTGCATATACTTTTAAAAAAAAAAAACAGTCACTAATTAAGTATATTTTTAAAAATCGAAAACCATGCATGATTTTCAATAGTTCTACATTCATGCATGTTGAACAAGTCCTTTATGCTTCCACATTTGGCACAATGAAATCATATTTCATTTAACTTGGTCATTCTAAACGTATGCATGGGGGAGACATAGGATAAGAAGATCATAAAACACCTTTAGGTACTGCTAATTAATAAATTTCACAATTAAATTAATGAGGAACCGTAATCATTTAAAGGATAAAAACAGTATTTTCAATGTTCTCTGACAAGATGAGATAAATAAGATCGATGGTGAGGTACAGAAAATATGATTTGCATTCGCCTTGCATGGTGTTGATATTATTTAATTCTTGACAAGAGTAGAGAGTACTACGAATAAATAAATGTCTTCTTTATATATGCACACACGTACATATATAACGTACTTTCTAAAAGCCGTTCATCGTAACATGGTGGCTTGACTTAAAACAGCAGCAAATGTGAATTAACCGTGACTGCTTGCACTCATAACTGAATCCCTTAAGTGAAGTAATAAAATAATAAAAATAAAACATAATAAAATAATTCTCACGACGTTTCGGCCGCAACGCAAGCAGCCGTCCTCTTCACCTGAGGATGGCTGCTTGCGTCGTGGCCGAAACGTCGTGAGAATTATTTTATTATGTTTTATTTTTATTATTTTATTACTTCCCTTCTACGTGACTTTACCGAAAGAACCAAGAAGATGAATCCCTGCAGTCACGAAAGCTTTAAATCGAAATTGAATCCCTTAAGGTTACACTGCCGTTCGCTCCGTGTTAAATCGTGGTGCGCGCCATCAACCTGTGTGCCTGTTGGCTCCGTCCATGTCCGCAAACTGGATGTAGTCCTCGCGCGCGTCCGCCCAGTAGATGCGGTTGTTGACGTAGTCCAGCGACAGCCCGTTGGGCCACGTGATCTTGGTGTCAATGACCACGCTGCGGTTGCTGCCGTCCATGCCCATGCGTCCAATGTGCGGGTGCTCACCCCAGTCCGACCAGTACAGGTACCTGCCAACGGACGCGTTCAACGGGGTCACCCTTGCGCCACCGACGTCCTTCCACGCTCGCCTCGGCATTGTGGTGAAGATGCAGCCCCCCCCCCCCCCCGCAATTGCTCGCTCACGCCACTGGTTTTTTTTACGCGAGAGAGCTCTAGAGAGCGCCTCCAGCAGATCGTTTGTGCCAACTCTTCCACGCTGGACAGACACCTTGGAGGAGGTGGAAGTAAGATGACTGTAACCCACTGCTCATGAGCATGTCGATCCACTGCGGGGTAGCGTTTGAAACTGCTCGGGGGACTAGAGGGAGGTAGGAACGAAGAAACCTGCCGCCACCTTTGTTTCGCTCGCCACACTGGGAGATCGAATGGAAGCGATTGCCGCGTCCAGCGTGCTAACCGTTACGGCGCGGCAGCATCCTGCGTGTCGCAGTGCATGCCTGAAATGCAGCAACATGAGAGGCGTGGGTTCGCTGAGCATGAATGTGAATGAGCACTCGCATGCAAGAGCAGCACGGTGCCTGAATGAGGCAGCACATCAACTCGGTTGTTTCCTCTATCTGTGCAGAATTTTAGTATTCCTCTCTCACATGCGTAGGTTTTTTTCATTCTGTGGCCACTGTGAGTTTCTCCCTCATGCCATAAAACCTCAAATTGTAATTGGCCAAATATTCCAAAGCATGACCTTTGAGTATATTACCACTGAGGCTCACAAAGCACATCCGGGAAAATTAAAACAAAATGTCTATTGCTTTCATGAATACTACTTGTGCGCTGAAATGAGTAGACTGCTGTGAATGGCTCGAAGGGTAAATAAGATACGAGTTTCGCTTGAGTGTTATGCGTTTCATTTAGGTGATTTCACAGTTATTAAAGGTATAGTCAAATCTCACTTTCGAGTCCATGGCCTTACACAGTTATTGTATTTTGGCAAAAGCACACACGCCCTGCTAAATCTGCCACACACCACCTCGTGCAAGCCCACGCACGCCCACTAGGCCCCCCCCATGTTCACTCACCCTCCACGGACATCCACAGCGAGGGCCCGGGGCTCCTTGAGGCCATTATTAAGCAGCACGGTGCGATAGAGCCCATTCAGTTTGGACACCTCGATGGTGTCCCGCCCCTTGTCGCACCAGTAGAGATTGCCACCGATCCAGTCGACCGCGAGTCCGTCTGGGTTGCTGAGGCTGGTGCGGTGCAGGACCTACAATGCAATGATCATTGAAGAGCCGAATGTATTACCATTTCATTTTCTTCTTGATGAAAAGTGGAATTAACAGTTCTCCTTGGTTTAGTTTTCACTTTAGTTTAGCTAAAGTTCCTAGAAGCACGATATTAACGACTAAAACGAATGGCTTTTGCTGCCCCTAAAATTGCAGTGGTACAATGTGTGAGCAGGCTCGTCACAGGGGGTGAATATAAATTACTTTGGTAATTTTTCTAAATGTACAATACGTTTAAAGGGGATCCAATTTCGATTAGATTTTTTTATGTTCATGACTAGTTAACTAAAATTCTGATTCTGTTTACAAAATCAACATATGATTTAACTTTTCAATCAACACTGGCAAAATTCTACAATTATGAATGTGGTTAAATATTAACAGGTAAAACAACGTGCTTTGTGTGCCAATGTTGTACGCTTAGACACACTTGCACGGGTATGTAAGAAAATGCACAGGTCACATTGCACATTACATAAACAAAGACACCCACCCCATGTTCGTCCTCAGAGTTTATACTCTGATGCAATATCTACCGCAAGTAGATTGGTAGGCAGTAGGAAAAAGCAGAGACATATACATATTAGTAGTGAAAGGTTAATCAGCGGTAACATTAACGGCTATATCTATGTAATGATATGAAGCCACATTCAGGCAAAGTCCAAGATAAGTTATAGTTTTTTTATTAGGGGTGTTAGTATCACTCAAGAGATAGTTATTTTGAGGAAACGAAACATGTTGAAATAAGACGTATAATTATTCAACTAAAGTGATCAGAATTTAAAAGTATGAAATTCGTGAAAATGGAATTTAACTTGCAAACTACATATTGCATGTAATTTAAGCAATTAAAAAACTAGTTTTTCAAGATATTCATCTTTAGAGCTTAAGGAACGAGATACAATGGTTGGCGTTCAATGCAATTTGTAAAAAGGGTAATTTTAATAATCATATTTTTGGACTGAGCAACGGTGAATGCAGTTGTAACGTTTGCTCATTGTGCGTTTACTTATAAACACGCGGTGAATTTAGTAATTAGCATGTAATTAGCATTCAGCCGTGGTCCGGAATTTAACCCGGATTACTGCGATCACAGTGCAGTACTCAGCCTCCGATACAAACACAGATTATCGAGGATTCTAATAAACAATTCCAACAATACTTTCACTTGGGCAGTGAGCTACAGTTTAAATCACATACCACAGTATGTATTAAAGAAGAAACTTACAACAAATTGCATTATTGATGGTTTATCTTAAATGCTTCAACCATAAAACATATATACATTTCAAATTGATTTACTCAACAACAAAATAATAATATAAAACTCGTATAATAATGTCAATATCAACAACAATAAAAACCGTAAAATGCGCCATTTGCTTGAGGCTTCCTAGGAGGCCCTGATAAAGGGCACCGCTAATTGCTCTGTGCCTATATTGAGCATCTCCTCCACGAAATGGTATTTCCTGCGCTTGAATGACCGAAATTGTGTTTGTCATTCGGGTCAATGCGAAGGCTATCTTGTGCCAGACACCACAGCTTTGATGTAGTTTAAATTAAAATGTACTCCCGTACAAGAACTTCCTTTGATGTGTTAGGCTTATTTATTGAATAAACGTCACAACACGTAACGATTAAAACACCTATTGCAGACATTGATGGATATACATATACAAACATCCACCACTTACTCACAATTAAATACTAACAAGACTGAGGTGTGTCACTAAGTATTGTATAGCTTTGAAGCTGGAAGGATTTAATAGGACTGAATTTGTTGAGTTAGTTTTACAAATGTGTTGGTATATATTTTTGCAATGCAGGGATTATACAAAATCAGACTATAATTGCAGTACTACTATCTATGAATACATTATCATTCGATAATTTGTGCACCATTATATAGCTTCTAGGCGAAGTGGACCATCTGCTTTCTCCGAATTTGTACTAAAATAACACGAGACTGGTTATTCTTCATCTCATGTGATGAACAATAAAAACTAAATTTACACAATCTGGTTGCACTGCAATCACAGGACACAGATGCCTAATGCACAAGTCGAGGACAAAAGACTCGGTACGTATGCATCTGCAGCTATGCACATGAAACCGTAGACCACGAAAATCCGCACTGCCCCAAACAGAAATTTAAAGCCAGTGGGTGGGTGTATCTGCAAATTCACAAACTCTCGCGCAAAGCAATTACACAGGTACATCACGTACAACGGACTTCACGAGCCACACGAAATCATCATCATCAGGCACCGAGGAGGAAGAGGGGAGGGTTCGCCCGAGCCTTTTATTCACCTGTGTGTCGGATCCGTTCATGTGCATCCGTCGGATCATACTTCCTTGCGTGGTCACATCCGTCCAGTAAACCCATTGCTCGCTCCACTCAAAATCCAGAGCCACTGCATTGTTGAGCCCCTGCATTAAAAAAAAAACACAGCTCCGTGGATGTCCACACGCAGTAGATCACAGTAAATGGGTTTTAATGCGATGTTGTAATACCATTCTGTAATATCACTGAAATCTAATTCTATGCTATATATGTTCCTGTACACATCACAACTAAATGTTTTGACGTGTGTGTGTCGTAATACTGCAATCATGTGTTCATGCAGGATGGCATTTAAACATGTGTTGAATTTATATCAAATAAAGATTACTGCATCGTCATTTTCTGAGTCCATAACATTGCTGCATAGATAAATTCAATTAATTAGTCTTGAATATTTGATATAAAGCAGTATACACATTATACAAACTGCATTGCATATGGTAGGGCATAAAATGAAAAGCCGTTACTCTAAGAATTTGCAGAAGACTAGGTAACAATTTATCCAATTTCCAAGTATGTATGTATATTTAATTTTTCACACCGAACACAGTGAACTGTGCTAATCGGAAGTGCGGGGGAAGGACAACAAACGAAGCACAAAAAATCAGTTCTAAGGAAATGAGTTATCAACTTAGCCCAACGTTTAAATGCATCTCATTGAATGAAAATGTTAATGAAAAGCACCAATGTCTTCACTCCTCACGGCTTCCTTCTGATATTAGGAAGCCACTGGAGCTATGCACGTTTAAATATAGATTGAAAACGAATTTCCCCCGCACCACCTATTAGCACGGTTGGCTACGTACGGTGCGAAATAAGTTCAACGTACATTCACACACAGTATGCCTTATCGCCTTTTTCCACGAAGCCACTTCACTTTTTTTTAAGATGATCATGAGGGCAAACATTTCATCACAGTTTCCTCAGAAAGTCCATACCTGCTTGAGTAGCGTGTAGTTTGAGCCATCCAGGTTAACCTTTCGCAAGTAGTAGCGGTTGGCAAATATGAGAATGGCTTCCTCGTCTGTATTGAGAGAAGAACATTTACATGTCCATGCGTGACAAAACAGATGGTGGTCTATAACAGAACCTTTGCGACGCTATGACTTCTCACGAATACGAATTTCACAACTTCATCCCCGTACTTCATAGAAACTCTTCTAAGCAGCGGACCATAAAGTTTACAAGAGTGCTTTGAGAATAACAGATTTAGGACAAACAATTCGAGCCGCTTGAAAGTATTAGAAATACTGTTTTCCAGATGGCTATGTCTGGACGAAAAGCAACTTGTCAACCAAATACCTCGAGCAACTGAACGGCTGGCTCACTGGAGACGCACAATGTTACTTGCCAAAATATTGCATCAAGAAGTGGCTGTATTGTGAGTTGAAACCACTTAGTCAGTGTAGGACACAGAAAGGAAAGGTTTTAATCGCAATACACGTTTGCATCGGAAGCCGTGAGCACAACACGCAAGTCCTGGGTTTTAAATCGACAAATTAAATAGATTGCAGTTATCTCTCGTTTAATGTGGTGGATGCGCTCCTGAAATGTGCCGCATGAAGCGAAAACCGCACGAAGCGAGGAATTACTGCACTGAATCGAATTTGCGCTGTAAAATCAGCCTGCAGCCATTCTCATGGTGGGACCAAGAACTGAATAAAGTAGTTCGTCGCCCACTGAAGAAAGTAGTTCGTCGCCCACTGAATAAAGTAGTTTGTCGCCCACTGAATAAAGTAGTTCGTCGCTCACTGAATAAAGTAGTTCGTCGCCCACTGAAGAAAGTAGTTCGTCGCCCACTGAATAAAGTAGTTTGTCGCCCACTGAATAAAGTAGTTCGTCGCCCACTGAATAAAGTAGTTCGTCGCCCACCACCCAGGCCCAGCTCGTATAACGGTGCGTGTTCCGCGTTGTGCGAAGTGTTCCCTAATGTAAGAACTGTGTTGTACGAAAATAAGATTTCTAAAAACGCATTAAAAGCAAGGACTTACTGTACTGCAGGCTTATATAAAAAAATTATATATTTAAGCTGACTTCTGTCAGGAAGAGATTGTGCTGCTTCGAAAGGAGTTATTTTAGGCACGATGGTAGCTTCCAACTGTGCAAATGAAGGCCTATAACAGATGTCTATAGACAAATTATGTACTTTTTTCAAAAAAGTCGTAGGGCACAGTGAAACTGTGAGTGCCAAAAAAAATACATTGATTTAAAATTCTACAATGCTCATGCACGCACAACGCCGATATAATTGCCTTGGCCAAATAGTAATTTTCCACTCGCACCCGCTGCCTATGAAATGTACTTTCCAGAGATTGTGTTTGGGCCTGGTGAAGTGATTCACTGAATGTTGGCAGCTGGACTCATTCAACTTCAGCACAATTTCACTGTTTGCTCTTAAATTCTCCCGCAATGCCGCCCCAACACAAACACACACACTAGGAAACGGTGCCCCACTCAGAAAGTGCTTCAACACTGAAGATGCAGGCTTCTTCCTGGCAGCAGGGCGCAGCCACACTTTCGAGAGGTTGGAGGTATCGTCCCTCATGGTGAATGGTTCCCAGTGGTTTATGGGTAGATTCCAGGTAGGGTACTTGGACGTCCCCTCACCCCTCCCCACCTTATCGTGGATAACAGCAATTCTCTACTCTATGACTAGTCTTTTTTGTAATATAGTTATTTTATAGATCCAATGTGCAGCCCCATTACATCACGTTGCGATTCGTGTACACAGCGTCAACATAATCCGAACCGGTTATGAAAAGCAGGAGATAGAAAGATGGAGAATGGGCTCGCTGCACCATCCGATGACTAATTTTGATCTAAGCAATTACTGGCTATCGACTCAGTACTGAGCCTCTTGTTGCTGTGTTCCTGTTTAATTAAAGGTTAAGTGAGCAGCGTTTATCAATTCTTAATGTCACCTGGTTGAAAGGGAGACAAACGCTGACTAAAATAAAACACCCATGACACTCCTGCCTGCAAGCATCGATGTCAAGTGTGCTCTTGTGCCGAGTCTAGCATGTACATACAAGAAAATGAGTTCTATTAACTTCACCGATTCGGTTATATCCTGCATTCAAACTACAAACTAAATCAATAAAGATCATTGCAAGAATGGTATAGCTTAAGAATTGTATCTTGCTCAGCAAGAAGATGCGCTTTAAGAACATTTTGAAGTGAAATTAATAAAATAAAAATGACTGACACCTGCTGTGGTAAAATAAAAAAGAAAGAAATGGGTAGCAACATCGCATGGTGCCTTAAGTAGTATGTTTTCTAGATTTGTAACTTTGATGAAACACTGCTGCGTATGTTTTCGCAGTTTGTGCTGCTGAACTGTCCAATGCATTTCAAGGCGGCATATGCGGGAAAGCCTAAAAGCACTTGGGATAACTCTAATTAAAGTAATACAAAAAAATCCTTGAAAAGGGATCCACACACTCCAAAAGGCTGGGAACTTGCTTATCAGAAGGGATTACATTAAAGGTTCTCACTTAAGAAAACAAGAGGAGGCAGCCACTCTGCACTATGGAAGTGTGACTCACCAGAAATGGCCTTGCAGCTGGTGGAATCATTAACCCGCTGCCTATAGCCATCCGTGCAGAGGCACTTGAAGCTGCCGTGGCTGTTGAGACAGGTCTGGCTGCATGGGTATGTGGTTCGGCATTCATCCCTGTCGACGCACGTCTTCCCATCGTCCTTAAGTTGAAATCCAGCACGACACTTGCACTGCACGCACACAAACACCAATGATTCAATCACAAAGCTTAGGACGGCAAGGTGTCATTCGAATTTCCAAAAATGTCGCTGCTTTGTTGTTTTAATGGTGCAACGGTTAGGCCCTGCGAAGTTATTGCTCATGCCACTGCTGGCAGAAGGAACTCCACTAGAGGCAGCTTTTCCATGCCGATCAGACGTCTTGGAAGGAGTAAGAGGACCCACAATTTACCACACAACACGCGGACCTGCCGATCGACGTTATTACGAGCAAGGACATACATCGGGAAAATAAATTCACTCATCTATTCGTCACGCATAGTCGGCGAAGGACGGTTGCGCCAAACGCGTGACCTCCTGTGACAGCATTCGCATAAACTGCTCTTGCTGCCGTACACCGATGTTTCGAGTGCTTTGTTTGATCCACGTATCATAGGGTCGCAGTGCACTTCGGGCGTCCACCGCCCCACTAAAGTGCACAATCTGCTGGGGTCTGCGCGTCGAGGCACCGAGAGCTGTGAACGTGCCAACCCGTTCGTCACGCCGCACCTTGTAGCCAATCTTGAGGTCGGTGCACTCCTGAGTGCAGCCGCTGATGCGCCGGTCGGCGCACTCATTGATGTTGCAGTTCCTTTCATCAGAGCCGTCCTCGCAGTCGTCCTGGTTGTTGCACAGCATGCTCTCGTTCACGCACCGCCCGTTGGCGCACGGGAACGAGGACGAGTCGTTACACTTGCTGTCTGTTCGGACAAATGCGGTAACGATGGATTCAGCGTGCGGCGTCGTGAAATCTGAGCATTTTGTAAAAATAATAAAGTCTGAGCTTAGGTTAAATTCAATAGACACAGACATAGATGCCCCCGTAAAGCCTTAACAGACTATCGGGGCAAGTGCTGTTAGCGAATAGCACCTTACAAAGGCCGACACAGCGCACGAGGGGTTGGCTGGCGAGCCCCACGTCCGGCCGCCTTTTTCTCCCTGGTGGCGATGTTGACACATCGCTACAGGTACTCATTTGAGGCCGAGTCGACCGAGCAGAGGCCCAGGACTGGTTCAGATAATCGTCACTGGTGTGAGCCGTGAGCGGGAATCTAGTGATAGTCACTGGCGATGTGAAATTCAGGTGTAAGCCTACCATACCACCTGTCTTCGTCTTGAAAGCTGTTATATCAATGCATTGCTGCTGTTACTGCTGAACGTTTTAGCTATTGCCCTTGGCAAGATGTTTGTGGGTCCAAACTATTATTTTCAATTATATTCAGCTCTTACTTTCCCAATGCTTATCAATCAACACTGTTTTCCTCCTGGCTAACAAACTTTGCAGGCATTTATGAACGGCCATTTATAATTATAAGCAGCATGCGTATAGAATTATTCATGAAAGTAAGTTGATGCAAATCGTAAATAACAGCGACTGGAAATTCCCTGAATCGAGTGGCTCGTAGAAACAGATGGTTGTTGCACACACAAGAGCTTCGCCGAATGTGTAAAGCGAGTGCCAACCGGTGAATTATTTAGCACGACGAGGCGGCTTTCGCGCACGGTGGAAACTTGACGGAGCGGTGACGATCTCGACACCGAAAAAGAGATCGACAACATTCGCGGAAAAAAAACCCAACAACAACCAAGGTAATGTCGGCGAGACTCTCGTTAATATTAATGGGGGCACGCGGCCGAAACGCACTGTTAGCACTGCAGTGTGGGTTGATGGGAGCCTCGTCCGATCGGTCGTGGCAGTCAAAGTCTCCGTCGCATTCCCAACTGCCTTTGAGCAGGCAGCGCCCATTTGCGCAGCGGAACTGATTAGGTCCACACATAGGGTAATCTGCGAAGAAAACGGTAAAATCGAAGAATGAGTATTCAAAATATACGTACGTAAGTGAAATGTGCACGCTCAAACGAAATGCATGCATGGGCACACACACACAGTCTACGTGTCGTACATTTAAAATTCTCATGTAGACAAGTATAATTTAAAAGTCCATTAAATGTGTAGTTCGATTTCAGAAATTAACAACGAAAAGCTATGCTATTTTTATTGTCTTTAAATGCCCAGGACATCCTTTGCTCTGTCGGGAACAAACAGCAGTGGGAAGTGGAATTCCATGGGTTGGCTACGTACGGTGTGCGCAAAGAAATGAAACATACATTCAAGCACTTGAGGAGGGGGGCACACAGAATAACAACCCCATAAACGGACGTACGAAGACAAAAGTAATGACGGGCAGCAATGGACCAATCAGGGCGTTGGGAAATGGAAGACGCGCACCGCATTCGGGAGACTCGTCAGAATTGTCCCCACAGTCGTTGTCGTGGTCGCACACCCAGCGCTGCAGGATGCAGCGTCTGTTGGCGCACTGGAACTCCTCGGGAGGGCACTTATTTCGAAAAACTGTGCGCACACGCACACACGCACACGTAGGGAACAAAAAAATATTTCTGTCAGAAACAAGGATGGCATCGTTCTCGAGCCACGGGCCGATGTAACGCAATTTGGAACAAATATTTAGCACCGTAACCAGTGGCTGTGTGGAGCAGTTAAAGTTTTGTATCGCCTAATATTTTTACTACCATGAAGGCAGCAATTTCAGCATCTGTTTCTATACCTCTGTAAATAAATCTGTGAAGTTGTATTGGACATACTGCAAGGTAGAAAGGTGTACTGGTATCATACCTATAAGCAACAATTGGCTTCTGGCATCTACTAAAATTTAAAAGAAATAGTTGCGATTAAGTAAAAAAATTATAATGCTGACAATAACCAAGTTCTTTAGTTTAATTATGGAAAAAACAGGCTTTATAGTGTTATTTACATTTTAAAGAATGGTATGTGCTAATCTAATTGGTTACTACTCTTGTTATTTGCATGCGGTTCCATCCAGCTGCATGTGGTTCAATATGGGTGTTTATGAGAACGTTTTAGCGCGCCCATATGTATAGTCGAGCACACACAGTCCTACTAACTCAGAAGCTCAGGGGCCCCAAAACTAGACGGTCAAAGTGTACCGATCTTGACACGCGAACACAGTGGAACATTCAGCACCATTTAATCATGATGGACAGCAAGCGCTGTTTGCCTTCAGTCAACCACACGCGAGGCCAAGTTGAAGTCATTGCAGGCGCCGCCCCACGTCGGCTTCCGAGCAGGAATGCATTCTGGGTGCGCGCGTGCGGCTGCGCGCGTGCGCGTGCACACGCCGCCGCAGAGGGGACTCACGGCAGCTGCTGGTGACGCTCTCGTCGGCGCCGTCAGGGCAGTCGCGATCCCCGTCGCACACCCAGAGCGGTGGGATGCACAAGCGCGAGTTGGGGCACTGGAACTTGTCGGGTCCACACGTGACCGCACCTGGGGGAGAACGGCGCAAGGGGTAATGAGCACGTAACCGTATTCTAATATTTCACGTGCAATTTTTTTCCTTCGTTTTATGATCATTGTTATTACGAGAAGCTCGCACGCACATCCTTTGGGCGTCTCACACTAACCAGGCAGCAAAACTTTGTTTTCTAATAGAGTTTGCACAAGTGTGCAAGACAGGGTAGAGGGTGGGTGGGTTAGGAGGAATGTCAGCACGACCAACGAACCCGGCCCAAGCACAATATTTATTAGATTTGATTATTCGCATTGATTTCAAATTGCCACCTATACAATTCATGTTATGCAATTTGTATGATTAATGGTCTCACATTTGGAAAACAAATGATATAGGGTTCCTCTTTGCGTATGTTAATATGGTTCAATCAAGAGATATTTTACATTGTAATTATTAGAAGTCAATGACATGCAATACCCTAGGGCTGCAAGATTGAGCTGAGTAATTCAGTTGTGAAATATTTTCAAGTTGCATATTCTTATTATTGCCACCAGAGCACCTACTTCCCCTTGTGAATGATCTCACAGGGTCAAAATGTCCACGTTACACAGCGTATGGGCAGCTTTGCTGCTATACTACAATATTGCTGAACAAATTATACAATTATAACTGCGAACGCTTGGCAAATTTGCTCAGTATGGAGCATACTGATCACCAGGCTATCCTATCATAGTGGGCAGTGTTACTTTTTCAAGCCATGCTTTTTTTTGCAAGATTTTTAGCATCAGTTTTATTGCACCGCCAACAATGAAGCAAGACCGTGCCTAACTATAACCTTTTAACGTAATGCCTAACATTTCGACTGCAGCCAAATGTTCGTGTAATATTTAGTTTATTTAGCATTTATGTTGCTTAATTTTTTTACTGCAAATGATTCAATGGATATAAACACAACGTTTGGAGCATCTGTACAACGGTAGCCTGTCCCCACACATTCCCACCATAACAGATCATAAAAAAGGATACATTTTAGTAGCTGCATTATTATAACCTATTGTAAGGTGCAGTGCTGAATAAGCTATGTTCGCACGTGCGAGAAAAGCTGTTCTGAATAACGAGTCAGAAATTAATTGGGCTCGTCCTAGCTCTGTAAGGACTACGTTGTGGCTCTCGAAATAAAATAAATGGCTCCTCCTGTTATTTTGGTCGCAGACACTCTGTTTCAGCGTATACGTACTGCAGTGGGCGTCCTTTTCATCAGAGCGGTCTCCACAGTCATCTTCCCCATCGCACATCCAACGCTTGGTAATGCATTTTCCGTTGTCACACTCAAAATGATCCACAGCGCAGAGCATATCTGCACAGCACAGGCACCAGCATTAAACAAACACTGCACACCTCATCTCCGCGAAGCGCTTCTCTGCGGGAAACTATACGAGCGTTTAAAATGCGACCCCCTAAAGAGAATTGAAAATTGCCATCTCATGTACTGTCCCCATCCTTAAATATAAAAAATTTAAGCTTCATCTACCCAGCCGAAGAAATGCCTATTGAAGTGCACACTTGAATAGAAATTATTCAACTGATCATTTATTTACTCGCTTGAAATGCTATAAATAATTTTTCGTCTCATAAATGAGGGAATTCATTTTATCGTCCCATTTTTCTTCGTCTTTAAAAATAACGGCAACAATATTAGCACATTTGACATAAATACATAGATCTCGGTTACCATTAACCCATAACATCTGTTCAAGGAAAGCCTGGCCTAAGGATCTCTCAAACCATCTAAACCCATTGAGTCATTGTGCCCTTTTACCGATTATAAAAAGGGAGAACGCATCGCCTTCAATAGTCAGCTTTCAGATTGAAAAATCCAACTGCTCAATTAAACAACGTGCAAGCGAGCAATGAGGTAGTGTGCTCACGTTTGTCGGCGGACTAGGTGTGAAGAGTGTTTTTCACTTATCGAGCTTGGACGGATGGAGAGGCTGCATCATCTTCTCAGCGGGATTTGAACACATGATCCAAACCCGAAACTTACACTCTTAAGCACGGCGTCGAGTAATAGCCTGACGGTGCACATTAGCCTCGCTGGTGGCATTGGTCAGTAATCGAACCGCGCCAGGATCAGAGGATAGTGCTCATGTAAGCGAGGGTGGGACTCAATGCATTTCGTCTAAGCTTATGTGACTCACATCTGGACCTCAAACTTTGAACGTTTTCGAGGGTCTATTTTTTACATCCCTTAACATTTCCAAAGTTCGTGCCTGGCATCGCACACACAATTTCTTGCCAAGCTTCCATCGTTAGCAGTCCACTCTAATTTGCGATCTTGGATCTCAAGTGTCCTAACGGATACGTAAGTGTATCTTGATAGCCGATGGTAGGCAGTGGCAAAATTACATTTCACCAGAAAACAAAAATGGTTCAGACGATTGCTTAGTGCGAGCACGCGTGTAACCATTGGGGTTTGACAGCACGACGACAACGGTGGAGAAGGGGGGAGTGATGTTTTCACATATGTATATTGTCAGGGGCCACACGTCACATGGCTGCACTAAAGTCCACCAAGTGGCTCCCGCGGTGGCCTTCGAATGACGAGCGCAGCCCCAGCGAGAGCGTGTGCATCAGAACTCACCACAGTTGAGCTCGTCTGCTCCGTCGTCACAGTCCGGCTCGCGGTCGCACTTCCAGGCCGTGGGGATGCAGGGGCCGCTGGGGCAGTTGAAGTAGTCCGGGCTGCAGCCAGGCGAGCCCGACTTCTCTGCGCGGCGATAGGTCAATTAAGAAAAGAGGCGTTAACTTACGAAGACCCCCGGGGCCGGCCCAGGACGCGCTGGCGGGACTATGTCGCTCGGCTGGCCTGGGAATGCCTGGGAATTCCCCAGGAAGAGCTAGGCCCTGTCGGCAGGGAAGGGGGGGTCTGGACTGCCCTACTCAACATGCTGCCGCCGAGACCCTCACCCGGACAAGCGGATTGAGAAATGAACAAACGAACGTTTTACTCTTCAATGTCGAGAATTGACTCAGCGATTCCAGTCGTTTTATATGCATATATAAAATAATATCCATCTACAAGACGGATTTGCAAAGCTGTTTTTTGTTATCAAGCTACATAATCCATTGAGCTCCAGTTGAGTCTTCGTGACACGTAGTATATATCTATTTTCTCGGGCTAACATTTTCACTAAAAGCCTAAAGCCCTGCATTTATAAGCGAGAGGAAATAAGCAATGGTAATCATCCATGCCATTGAGCGCACAGCCCCGCAGAGCATGTGAAAACTAATTTCAATGTGACACTGAAGCACTTCATGGGTTTTAATTCGCAGCCGATGGGTTTTAATTCGCAGCCGATGGGTTTTAATTCGTCGACTCAGACAATTACCTCGCTCCAATTTAGCACGTGAGTTTTCGCAGAAGCTTGTAATTCAAGCCATTGTCCTTCTGAGTCAGGCCGCGTGTTGAGAAAATCTTCTCTCAGCTTTTGCTACGCACTACCGCGGGCATCTCTTTCGGAGTTGAAGATGCCCGCAGCAGTGCATAGTGAAGACATTAAAGCAGATTTTCTCAACACATGGCCTAACCCGGACGACAACATGTTGGTTACTTCACCTCACGTGAGAACTTCTTTAACCTTCCGTGAACAGAAGAAAGAATAACTGAACAATACCAGCAGTACTCTTCAATAGTCTGGCTCAGACATTAGTAACCTCAACCATAGTGCCACAAGGATAAGGTTAGCGGAAGTCAACAAAAGTTGCTTTGATGTCGCCTTGCAAGTACTTTTGCAGTTCTTTTCATCTGCGTAGTCTCCGCAATCGTTGGCGCCGTCACAGATCCAAGCAGGAAGCACGCACAGCGACGTGGAGTTGCAGCTCACGTAGCCCGACGCCTGCACGCCCAGCCGGTGGTAATGGGTGCAGTTCATCGGGCCTGCAGAAGAAGAATAAAGAGAAGACACCACCAGCACCAACGCCGTTACGAAGCAATTGCAGCAGTGTCAACGAAGCCAACGACATTTGATCAAAATTATAATTGCACTGCCAATGGTTTTGGTAGTGTCACAATGAACGTATTACTTAAAATAATTCAACCAGATAATTATAATAAGAACAGTTCCCTGTTACAACACATGTAGAAAGAAATGCCAGGTTCATTAAACATACCAATTGGATTTTGAGAGGACACACATATCTGGGGTTTTGACAAATGGGGCTTCTTCAGGAAATACCCAGGTGTATCGAGATTTATTGACGACAGAGATGGAATTGGACCATATCTCATGATCTTTATTTCCACCGAGTAACAGTAAAAAATTTCTATATAAAACATTTTAAATGAGCCTGCTATCTTTTTGTATACGTTCGTGAAAGCGGCATCTTTATACCTGGTATTGCTTGTATGCATTCATCGTGGAGCCGGCGTGAATGGGACTCACCGCAGCCGGTCTCATCGGAGATATCGTCGCAGTCCACCACCTGGTTGCAGCGAGTGACGTTGGCAATGCAAGACCCGTCGCCGCATCGGAACTCATCCGCGCCACAGGTGGAGTCTTTTGTACCCCGAAGCATTGCGCATGTGGGAAAGCACGAAAGGAAAAACACACGCACACACACACAGAAAGACACGCGGACATGAGCACTAAAATAATAACGTAGCTGTTATGTGTGAACTTCTTTTGCACCGTACCTAGCCAACCGTGCAAGAGCTTGAGTTGCAACTATTTGATAAGTAAAAAATAAATCCGAATCAGAATATTTATGCTGGAGGAATCAGATGAGCTATAAAGCTCTTTTTCACAGATGTCCAGTATGGGCAGGTCAGAACGTTGCAATAACAAACAAAAGAAAACACGGTAGGAGTGAAAAGTATAGGAAAGGTAAATAAATCACAAAAAATATACAAACAAAACTAAACAATGCTTTATCTTACCAGGCAAAGCCCAGAGCTATTAGCTTATTTTCAAGAAGCAACCTGACCACAAATGAAAGCTCAACGAAGTGGCTCATCACGTGTAATTTTATCGCAGCAAAAATAATCTAAATAATCTACTTGATGAATGGCTGCAAAAGTTACACACAAGATATGCTGCGTGACACAGTACATGCCTAGACGCCGCACACTTTCCACATACCGGCCATACGCGTCTGCAAATTAAGTTTCTCGCCACGAACAGCATGCGTCCACGTTTAGCATTCAAACGGATGAAACACTTCTCTGTGGGAAACCTGAGTGGAGTTGACCCCCCCCCCCCACCCCACCTCAATAATAAGAATCTATGCAAGCTATGGAGCGAAGGCACTCACTGTTGCAGGCAATCTCATCCGAATTATCTCCACAGTCGTTGACACCATTGCACAGCTTGGCAGTCTCCATGCAGCGGCCGTTGAGGCAATTCACGTAGCCGTTCTTGCACTGACGGCTGGCTGTGGGACAGCAAGCACAAACGAAGTGTACAGCAAGGTGTCAAGAAGACATGAGACCTGGCTTTACGCAGTATGAAAATAGGAAGCTTTCTCTTTAAATCATCATCATCATCATCTCTGTCCATTCCAGCCTAATGGCACAAGGCTGAGATTAGAAATGCAGATCCTGACTCGCGCAATTCAAAGAATGTAGCGCGAGATTAAGAAGCAATATTAAGCGACGTATCCACGCATCATTGTGCCAATCATGTACAGGGTAATCTAAATGTAGAAAATAATACCGTTGCAAACGTGTGATTTTGACAGGTACAGTTCAAGGAAGTGTATCTTGCACAACCGTACGCAATATGTATGAAACAGGTCCACAGTATGAATATAAATAACAGGTGTCAGTAAATTGTTCGTTAAAATAAATAGAATCAGACGACAGGACACAAACAACCTGACACCATGCCCGCATTAAAGCAACGAGTGGGACATCCACAGCCTCTTCGTCAGTGTCAATGACGAAAGAGAGGACAACGCATTTACGTGCATTACGAGGCACTGCAATCAAACTTTATCCGTAACATATACATCGTGGTTGGCCATGCATTATTTATTTATCAAGCTTGTTTAACCACGAATGCACAGCTTGCAGAAGCACATGCACACACAGAATTCCGCGCACGGAACACGAGCTTATTTTGGAACATCCGACATGCGAAGCCACACTCACACGTGATGCACATATAAGCAGCGCAATGTTCGTGAAAATGCCACGGAGAGTTTGTGTAGGGCACGGGCCCAAGATTCACCCCTCATTTCCCCCAATGGCCATCCACTCAGCCTGCTGCGATGGTGTATAACACTGAAAGAGTCATGCACAAATTTTCTATTCTCACGTACTGCAATAGAAGGGCTTCTCGTCCGACTTGTCCTTGCAGTCAGCAACGCCATCACACGTCAGGTGGTAGCGAATGCAGTCACCATTGTTGCACTCGAACTCGGTCTGCAGGTCGCAGGAGTTCTTCCGCGCTGGGCAGAGGGAGCATCAACGTCTTAACAAGCACACTTTACGATAAACACATTTTATTACAGGTTTACAGCGATATATCAAACCAACATTGCCCAATGTAAATACTCGTGACTGCATCAGCATCTTAATCCTCATCACTTGTGCTCTAGGTAGAATGTTTGTCCAGATCGAATGTTTTTCCAGTGAAAGCAGTTCCAACCTCCTTGTACTTGAAAGAATTCAATGTAAATCAGTCGAGTTTATTGATATTCCAGCACTCAGTGAGTCACTTGCTCACTGGCAGTCAGTCACCACCTTATTAGTCCTCTATCGCTACAAGCATGGCTACTGTTTTCCCATAAATTTCGCTAAAATGATTCCTCCACGCACGTTGAAGACTTGGTCTTCCAGACTTGACTGTTTCATCTCATCCGCTTTGTGTTCAACTCTCATACTGCTGGTAAAAAAAAAAAAATCTTCTACTCTGCTTTTTCAGTCCAACTACTCGGCTTTTAAATTCCCTCCCACATATCTCTTTTCCCAAGGCTTATTATAGTTGCTAAATCCAAGACTCTTATTCACCATTAAACCTTCAACAGCACTGTTTGTTGATGGCCACTTTGTCATTTTGGGCTTTTGGGCCTATTGTGAGCAATTCACCTCCCTTGAAAGCAAGAGAGCTCTGTCGCAGGGTTCAGTGGCGGTGTAAATGAAAGTACGGTCACCCTTTGTTGATTTGCTTGCGGTATCTCTCCCCCAATTATGAGAACTCAGCCTGTCAACCCCTCCACCAACACCCCCCCCCCCCCCATTCCTTTTAATCTTCTTCTACCAGTATTGTTATATAGAATTATAAATCGCCTTATTCCAAAGGCACTTCACAACAATTATAAAATCAGTAAGATGACAGCGGTTGAGCTAAAGAGGGGGGTTATTCCCCCCTCCCCACATCCCCCCCCCCCTTAACCTTCAATTTCAATGTCCTAGATCGTAGCCGAGGAACGTGGAAGTTCGTCGACCATCCATTGACCGTGCACTTCGAACCCGTACCGAGAAGTCTTTAAAAACAAATACAAATTAAACGGGGGGGGGGCACTCACCAACGCACCGCGTTCCATCCACCAGCACTCGTTCTCCGCGACACTTGCAGTTGAACCGGCCATCCTCGGTGATGTGGCACAGGTCCTCGCAGCCTCCATTCATTACTTTGCAGGGAGACAGTTCGCCTGCAGTAGGGGAAAAAACAAACACCCAGAGGCTCCATACCACAACAAGCATGATCGTAAACGCAATTACGGATTCGTTTAGAATCTTAAATTCCACGATGTCATGGCTTGGCAAGGTTACGCCGTTCACCTCGTTGGTCCTAAATCGGGCGAAGTGAAATTATCCGCCGCAAAAGTTTGCACGGCACCCACAGCATTCAATGTTAATGCAAGGTTATTGTGTTAATGTGTGCGGAAACACAGTTTACTCGTATCCGATTTAAAGTAGTAAAACCTTTAAATGACAACCATTATCTCGGGTAAAAGGGAGCTTGTTTGAGTAGTGTTGTTTCCTGTAGTGAATGCCCTGATGGAAGGGCATTCAATGCCCTGATGTAAGGGCATTCACTACAGGGTGCTCAACAGGGCCCCTTTAAACTTACCTCCTTTTCATTTTACGAGGCAAAGCCCACTGAGCGATGAGCTCTTTTTCAGAGGCGACCTGGCCACACATTATAGCTCATTAAAGTGGCTCATCATCACGTGTGGAAATTTATCAGAGGGAGCACCCACACACTTTGCCCCACCACGTGATGTGTCCATTGAATAACTTTTTCCTACCCCATTTATACTGCTGGACAGGCTAAAGAAACTTGCCCCATTGTTCCAAATGCCGCTTCGGAAGACCGAATTGGTGACCTCATCTTGAACCACATGGATTGTATGCCACCGTGCTTCCCATTATAGTCAAGTTAGTTCACCATTACACCGCGATAGAGTAAACTGGTAGAGTAAACTGGTAGAGCAAACTCGACCAGGGTAATGGAGTTGTTGTCCTCCCCCCACATACGTACGGTGCGAAAGACATTCAACATACATGCACACATACAGATACAAATGCCCCTAAAAATGGCACCATCAATGGCGTGCCAACAATAGCGATAACAAAAAAGAAGTAACAACTCTCACAGCTGTTGGTGTCGTTGGCAAGCGCGATCATGCCCATGGGCTGCTGAGGGATCTCCCCGCGAAGCACTTTCACGTCGGTGCCCGTGAACTTGTTGGCACGCAGCACAGCGCGTCGCACCCAGTCCGTCCAGAACACAAAGTCTCCGTACACAGCCAGCCCGAAGGAGTGCACGGGCTCTGAGCGCAGGATAACCTGTGTGGGTGCGCAGGAGTGTGCGTGTTTGTGTGTGCGCGCACAGTGGAGAGAAGTTCGTGTAGTAGTTAGCGTGCTGCACTGTGAACCCGGAAACCCGAGTTCGATTCCCGCTCGTGGCCAACACCAGTGACGATTATCTGAAGTGATCCTGGGCCAGCCTCAAATGAGTAACTGGCACGGTGTGTAAAAAACATCACCACGGGGGAGACAAAGGCGGTCGGGCACGGTGCTGGCCACTCACCGCACTGTGTGCCTTGGCGGCCTTCATAGATGCCAGTTAACAGCACCTGCCCAATAATATTTTAAGGCTAGAAGGGGGATGTTTGTCTTTGTCTTTGCACAGTGAGAAAACGTGTAGGCGTATAACTGTGCGACAGCTGCGTAGGTGTTCGCGATTGTGCCATACAGGGCTGTTATTTTGTTTTCAGGTCAAATTGATGCTGTTTGGAATGATGTCCAAAAATATTGCTTCACGTTGATAGGAGCTTCTTCAGAAGCTGAATTCTTGAAGAATCTCCAAGTACGTGGAACGAAACCGTCTTTGCAGGCCGTGACCATGCGCCAAGCGACCAATCGGCAGTCCCGCGGTGTTGCTCGCCGACCGGGCCTCCGCTAACACCTGGCCGGTGCCAGGTGAGGCTGCTACCGGCGCTGTGGCTGCACCCGCGTGTGGCCTCATCACTCAGAGCAGGCCACCCACACCTGAGCAAGCCCATCTCCTCCTGCCTCCCCGGTCTACCGCGTTCATTTGTGTAGGGACCAAACATGTGAGGTCGGAGGGCATGCATTGATCTGTGCCCTTAACACATGGGGGGGGGGGGGGGGGGCACAACGCACGCCCGTTCGCCGGACCTCAGGACAAAACCCCATTGATTGTATAAAGAACAAAGAATAGAGGGAGGAAAAGAGCGAGACAAAAAAATGAAACAACAGCCTCTGCACAGCCAGTCAAGCGGAGAGAAAGAGAGTGAGAGATTGTCTCTTAGAGAGATAGAGGGCAGCAGTCTGCAAGAGAAGTCCCTCCCTGCACGGACTCGTGAACACCCGGAGAATATACTGATCAGCGATGAATGCGAGTACTGCCAGTTGTACGAAAACAATTAAAAAAATATTAACTATTAAGTTAGGATTTTTTTAATCAGAAAAATATATCTGCTGGTCAAGATTTCACATTCATTCCTTAATTAAATAAAAACACCTCTATTGGATTTAAATGTCGTAATTTTTCCTGTATTAAACTCACCATTAAGTATACCTTATGATTATGAGGGGTATTGCAGGGAGAGTATGTGGCTGTCTGAACCAAATCCGTCGCACACTGACGCATCCATCAAGTATGCGTACTTCAGGGAATGAATTGCTCAGGACTTCATTATTTTTCTCTGAAGAAGCTTTTCTATTTTTTGCTAAGTGCATCTACCATAACCCTTTCTTTATAAATAAAAAAAAACGTCAGGATGAAAATGCGTTTTACCGCTTCATCAGACTGTTATTTTCACAGCTCAGTGGAATCTAAAAAGAGCAGCTATTTTAGTTTTGTGCAGAAACTGTCAATTCACATTGAGTGAGCATCACGTCGGCAAGTCGTGCAAAATACTGGAATAAGTCTGGAATAAGTAACAGTGGTATGCAACGTATTATTATTAAGGCATATTCGATAAAGGCAACTGCTGAGTGAACATGCTGACACGAGTGTGCATTACTGGTTTAATTACACTGCTCTACATGATCAATTTAAATGCAATGAAAATTGTCAACAAAAAATACATTATTTTTTTAAACAATCTTAAAAGTTACCTCGCAATGATCTAGGGGGAACATCGTAAATCCGTAGAATAATTGAGGTTCATAATTCAGCATAGTAGTGAGGCAATGACAGATTGCTCTATGATTAAAAACCAGTTTCTTATCAAGAATATAAAGTTCAAATGGATTGATTTATATCATTACCATTTGCACAGTGTTTAAAGTGCATAAATTGTTGTAAGGTCTCCCTGTCCTTTTGGACAATTCCACCTGTTGCAATCAGGTGATGGTAAGGAAGATATGTTAAGGTCAAATTAACATTCAAAATGTATTCTAACAATAATGTGTACCTCGCTACATTCATTAAACAGGTAGTCCCCGAGTTACGATGGTCCGACTTACGATATTTTCGACTTACGATGGGGTCGTCGTAATGCATCTCCATCAGAAGTAGAGGACTACCTGTATATGTAGAATCCCCCTTGGGGTGTTTTTTTTCCAACTTTATTTTCAATATGACATTGGGTTTGAGTATTATAATTAGCACAATCTGCATATCAAACCATTACGGATGCAATCAAGAAAACAAGTTGGTGATCGGAGGGGCAAGTGCAGGATGAAGGAAGATGTGTTATCAAGAAAGGCATTGAATGGGCATTCCTGAATCTAGATGATGGGATATTGTCAGAGCGGACAACAGTTTCAGGATATTGCAGAGATATTAACAGTGGTTGTGAAGTGAGATAACATCAAATACAGATGCTGTGATAGCCTCCTGATCTTGACTTTGGGTCTATTATGTGACTACTTGAGTAGGGTTTTCACAGTGGTGGGGCTGCACGGCTCTCCGATGCGTTTTCTGGTTGCACGACTTCTTACTCTTAGGTTTTTTCGGTAAAGTTACGTAGGTAAAAATAATAATAAAATAATAATAAATGAAAATAACTCAATTAAATCACGACGTTTCGGAGGCAACACAAGTCTCCGTCTTCAGGTGGGACCATCACAGCTAAATTTACTGTAAATTTAGCGGTGATGGTCCCACCTGAAGACGGAGACTTGTGTTGCCTCCAAAACGTCGTGATTTAATCGAGTTATTTTCATTTATTATTATTATTCTATGTTATTATTATTTTTTACCTACGTGACTTTACCGAAAAAACCTAAGAGTATGAATCCTTGCAGTCACGAAAGCTTCAAATCTAGAAGAAATACAGCACTTCTTGTTTGTTCAGAAAGGAATCGCTCCTGAACAAGTCTCAGCAGCACGTGGAGTGAAACACCAGCGGAGGCATGCCAAGCAACACTTGGTAACAACAGGACAACACAGTGGGCAGCTGTCAGGCGACTTGGCCTAAGGGGCTGCTGCTGTAGCTGCTGTTGATGTAGCTGCTGTTGATGTCGCTGCTGTAGCTGCTGCTGATGTAGCTGCTGCTGTAGCTGTAGCTGCTGCTGATGTAGCTGCTGCTGTAGCTGTAGCTGCTGCTGATGTAGCTGCTACTTTAGTAGCTGCTGCTGATGTAGCTGCTGCTGCTGTAGCTGCTGCTGATGTAGCTGCTGCTGCTGTAGCTGCTGCTGATGTAGCTGCTGCTGATGTAGCTGATGCTGCTGATGTAGCTGCTGATGATGTAGCTGCTGCTGTAGCTGTAGCTGCTGCTGATGTAGCTGCTGCTGCTGCTGTTGCTGCTGTAGCTGCTACTTTAGCTGCTGCTGATGTAGCTGCTGCTGCTGCTGATGTAGCTGCTGCTGCTGCTGATGTAGCTGCTGCTGCTGCTGATGTAGCTGCTGCTGCTGCTGATGTAGCTGCTGCTGCTGATGTAACTACTACTACTGGAGCTGCTGATGCTGATATAGCTGCTACAGTAGCTGCTTCTACTGCGACTGTAGCTGCCGCTGATGTAGCTGCCGCTGATGTAGCTGCTGCTGATATAGCTGCTGCTGCTGCTGATATAGCTGATACAGTAGCTGCTTCTGCTGCTACTGTAGCTGCTGCTGCTGCTGATGTAGCTGCTGCTGCTGCTGATGTAGCTGCTGCTGCTGATGTAACTACTACTACTGGAGCTGCTGATGCTGATATAGCTGCTACAGTAGCTGCTTCTACTGCGACTGTAGCTGCCGCTGATGTAGCTGCCGCTGATGTAGCTGCTGCTGATATAGCTGCTGCTGCTGCTGCTGATATAGCTGATACAGTAGCTGCTTCTGCTGCTACTGTAGCTGCTGATGTAGCTAATGCTGCCGGTGTAGCTGCTGCTGTAGGACTCACGTATCGGTGGGAGCCGTCGTACTCGCACCGCTCGATCTTGTCGAGGGTGGCATCGGAGAAGTAGAGCTTCTCTGCTCGATGGTCGATGGCCAGCCCATTGGGCGTGCGGATGTTGCTGCCCACGATCACCTGCACGTTGGCTCCCGAGAGGAAGGAGCGCATGATGCTGGGGCTCAGCTCGTTCCAGTTGGTCCAGAACATCAGGCTGGGTGCACACACACACACACACAAAGACAATAACGCCCCCGTATAGCCTTAACAAACTGTTGGGGCAAGTGCTGTTCGCGAGCACCTATGAAGGCTGACACGGCACACGAGCGGGGGAGGAGAGGGGGGGCACCACCACGCCCGGCACTAGGTACTAATTTGAGGCCGAGTCGACCTATGGGAGGCCCAGGCCCAGTTCAGATCATCGTGAGTGGTATTGGCCATGAGTAGGAATCGAACTCGGGTCGCCAGGTTGATAGCGCAGCGCGCTAGCCGCTACACTACCGCTCTCCACACGAGCACCAGAGGTCGCAACCGGGTACCCGATGCCCGTACCCTACCCGATACCCGGGTACGGGTACCCGTTTGCGACCCTGGTGCGGCCGGGTACGGGTACGGGTAGGCCGTGAGTCACCGGTGAGTAACCGTTTGTCACTCATTTCGGGTAGGGTACGGGTAGCGCACGGGTACCCGTACCCGGCCGGGTACAAGTACCCGTTTGCGACCCTGGTGCGGCCGGGTACGGGTACGGGTAAGGAATCAAAACCCGTTTGCGACCTCTGACAAGGACACGCTTGCGATGAGGTGCGCTCGCAAATGAAGGCACCGGCAGCACTGTACTTGACGTGCACAGCGTGCAGAGGCACGTGTGGAAGGCGGTGCACGGAGCGTGTTCTAATATTGGAACACCCGATACACGAAGCCACGCCAACGCACAGAGCACATACGGGCACCGCGTGTCACGAAAATTTCGCGCGCAGCACGCACACCTGCACCAATTGAAAATGTTGAACATCGTAGAGGAATCAAAATAAAGTGTCCGCTGTTAATTATCAACCGTAACAAATTCTGTTTTCTGCTCATTGCAATACGAACAGTTACGGCAAAAAATATGCGTGTCAGCAAGTTTAAAGTCCCTGACTGGATTTTGCTGGGCCAAACATGCCAATGTTAACCCTCATATGTATGTGTACTCACGTACATCAACAGGAGGAAAGAAATCCACTATATCCCGAGAAAACAGAGAGCAAAACATAAATATAGATTGTCACTCGGTTTTCCATATCAAAGGGTAACATCTTCTTGGTTCTTTTGGTTATTTCCCTTCTACGTGACTTTACCGAAAGAACCAAGAAGATGAATCCCTGCAGTCACGAAAGCTTTAAATCGAAAGGGTAACATCTTTCATATGGCAGCAAACATGCTGCCAAGATGATTAAAAGCATAATTTAGAAAGATGACCAGGTGGCTCAGAAGTCAGAGAGCATGGGGAGCTTGAATCCCTGAGATGCTGGGTTCAAATCTGGGCAGCAGCCGGTGATTTTAACCAAGTGTAGCGAGATGATGGTCGTCTGAAATGTATATTTGGAATTTATTTTGATAAATTACCATTCTGAAAATGTTTAATATCATGTTTGACTTCTCACGCGATAAGACATTTCTCTCTGCAGCAGGCCAGATAGGAATGAATTCTAGATTTGAAGCTTTCGTGACTGCGAGGATTCATATTCTTAGGTTTTTTCGGTAAAGTCACGTAGGTAAAATATGTAAATTAATAAAAGTAAAATAAAATAAAAATCACGACGTTTCGGAGGCAACACAAGCTTCCGTCTTCAGGTGGAACCGTCACAGCCCGGACAGACAAAAGCTTGTGTTGCCTCCGAAACGTCGTGATTTTTATTTTATTTTACTTTTATCAATTAAATTTTTTTACCTACGTGACTTTACCGAAAAAACCTAAGAATACAGATAGGAATTGCTGACCCCTAGTGTGGATAAGACGTCGGTTTAAGATATTCCGTCAGTAGTTCTGTGATACATTCTTTCACAAACCATTCTCAAGCACAGGGTTATGCAACACTATCCTTGAGCTCCAAATGTGTTTTTGTCACCTCATGACACCGACACTGATAGCACAATCATAACAGTCAGGGAAAATACAAAAACAATACCTCAAAAGAAAAAAAAATAACATTTCAGAGCGGGCAATCATTAGGTGTTCAGTGTAAGAAAGTGCAACCCCACTCAACACAGGTTCTCAAGTGTTGCTAGCGCTGCTGGACTTGTTGATCTTGTTTGACAATGCTGCTCGACTGTCCACAGTGTTTCACTCGGGCATTCTGCTGTACACATCACAAATGAACCACACCATTGCTGATCTCGTCAAGGAACATAAACCATCACGTGAACTCCGATCATCCTCTCAGCGGCTTTGGGATCGCCATCGAACAAAGACGGTCACTGCATCGGGCGCGCCTTCAGATTTTCAGATGTGCTTCTGCAGCTGTCTGGAACGCTCTTCTTTGCGATATACGGAAGCCACTAGAGCTATGCACTTTAAATTAAACATTGAAAACTAATTTATTTAGAACTGCTTGTGTTTAGTTTTCTACATACAGTACGAAAGAAGTTCAACATACATACCTTTCTTCATGTCTATATATACCGTAGACGTACATACCCCCCTCCCCTACACCCCCCCTCCCATACTCACTTGAGGCATTCGTCCATGACAAAAGCACGTGGGTGATCGTCTGCTGACATGGTAACGACGGTTTCTCGGTCGAAGGCGCCGGGTCTGGCCTGATCGACCGTGTGGCGCGTGATGGTGGACGTGGTGTAGCTCGTCCAGTAGAGAGTGTCCCAGCCCCGGTGGTAAGCCAGCCCCTCCACAGAGCCCACGTCTGAATGCGGGAAGAAAACACACCGGTTAAGGCGCTATATAAAATCGCGTCAAGATAAGCTGTACCTGCGGAATGACTCGTACGCATAGGTGGTGGGACCCGTGGCCTCATGGGTGCTGGCACGCAAAGGAACTGCAGCAAGCAGTGACTCGTGGCACACTCACTCTCCACGATGACTCGTCGGCCAGTTCCATCATTGAAGAGCTGCTGGATGTTCCCAAAGTGGATGTCGCTGAAAAAGATCCTGCGCCGGCGGTAAGGGACGCCACCCGAGGTGGGGCGTGGTCCTGAGCCGTAGTCAAAGGCCAACGCGATGACGTTCTTCATGTGCTCCGGGTCTTCAAAGGGCCGCACCTGGCGCCAATTGGAAAATCGACGTCCGTTTGAGAAATTGACAGCAACAAAAATGTTTTTAAAATGTATTCCGGGCACCGAAGGATCAGCGAGTCGTAAGCATAACGAGTACATTCGGTTTGTTCGTGCAATTCTAACGGCGCAGGGCTATCACGGAAGGTACGAAATTTCACAAATAGAGTGTGCAGTTGTTTGACAGTAGGGGGGCGGATGTTGCCTGTGCATAATTCCAATGGAGTAATTTGCAGGTAACTTTTCAAATTTGGCAAATTTTAGACCAAGACACCACAGCCTACAATTTTCGAATTACGTAACAGGAGCCTTAAAAACTTCACTCTGAAGCAGGCATGTATTTTGCGGTTAATACACCTGCAGTATTAGCCAGGGGGGGCTGACCGATTTGAACCTCTGCGACAAGTGCCTACCTTTGGGCTATGTCATGACAAATAATAAAAAAAACTGCATACATAAGATTGCAATGAGGATTATGGTTTGCCATTCTTTTTGCATGTCAGGGAATGCATTTTCTTCAGCTGAAATAGCTTTTCTTGCATTAGGAAGCGAATGGCTGATGAAAGTAATTGCACGCACTACATGTGACCTTTGATCTTCTGAAAAAAGCAAGGTTGTTTAACACTGAAATATATATTTTTTATTCAACCATCTTTCCATTTATTATGCCAAGAATGTCATGTAAAACAATTGTTGGATATATATTTTTTTATAACAATGAAGTCTTATTTAACTACGAGAACCCACATAAACCACATTCTATCCTTTGCATAAAATCTTGGAAGCAAATAAATGATACCTGCAAAGCTTAGAAATGATGCCCATATTTGAGCCAAAGCACATGGCTTTCAAAGAGATATACAATTAATGTAAAATGTGTATTATGCTAGATATAAGCAAACATATTACACACACTTTCATAGCTAACAGTTAAGAATCTCAAACGCATTGGCTCCCAGTCAGTGAGGTGGCAGACGATCGTTCACCTTTCAAAAGAGCAATTAAAGATAAAACACCCACACATTACAACTGTGGGTGGCGGGGGAAAGTCTGCAAAGACTCACGTGAAATCCTCACCGCCGCTCCCGCCGTTATCGATTCCATTACAGAAATACCCAAGTTAATAAAAGCGTCAAACAAAAGACCCCGGGGGGGGGGGGGCTGCCGCACACGCACCGGCGCATTGAGATTGAGCTCGTCGAAGAGATGCACACTCTTGAGGATGGTTCGCTCCGAGTAGAGCAGGTAGCCGTCGTAGTCGCGGCACGAGACGCCGTCCTCCGCCAGGAGGCCGTGAGCGCACGCGCACATCCGCCGGCCCTCGCCGCGGTACAGGCACAGCTGCTCGCAGCCACCGTTCTTCCTGGCGCAAACGTTTGTGCCTGCTCGGGTGGGATGGTGGTGGGATGAAACGAGGTCAACGTTTTCGGCAATACATTGGCCAATTAGAATCCTTATCTTTGTCAACGACGTACTATGGTGACCCGACTCCCACCCCACAAAAAAAACAAATACGGATCATGTTATGCACACTAGCCAGGCGGGCTCGGATGGTCATTCTAAATATTATTGTCAAGTCAGTGATATGTTTATTGTCTCGTACTGAATGATGGGGATGCTGCTGCAGTGTAATGGTTGGCTCACTGGGATTGCAATCCAGAGGTCGCAGAATTGTTCCCCTGGTGTGGCAGTTGAAGCAATGGGCAAGGTTCTTACATACCCCATGCCTCTGTACACCCAGCAGTATAAATCGGTAGACCACAGTTAGTCCGTTGGCAGGTCGCGTGTGGTAGGGGAAAGTATTGGGCACTCCCACATCTTCAAAGAACTCTGGCCAGTGTGGAAGAGGTCAAATGCCCTATAGAGGGCCTCTCTAGCCCTCCCTATAGTGGATGCTGTTCTGCCAATCATTGGAGTGCCCAAGAAATTTCAGAGCTGCACCTTTACCTCTTATTAAAAAGTTTTTATTTTATTTCATATTGCAAAGTTTAAACTTACTGCTGGGGCAGATGGCAAAATTACTCCCGTGGCACTAAAAAGAACAAGCATATATGTTTGTACATACCGTATAGTGAATAACACATTATGCAAAGCAGTAAATGCACTATTATAAAAATAAAAAACGTAATTATTGTTGTGCAATCAAAACGAAATGATAATACATCAAGGTGGTTTCGAGAAAAGAAGGCCCAAACAGGCGTAGCACAAGGGCATTGCAATGACAGTCAGACCAAAATATACGAGTTAATTATTGTTTCCGCTGATAACCCTTCATCAAGATTGAAGACAGCAGTATTAGCATGTTCTATTAGGTATGTCCTTTAAGGCATGTTCTATCCTGCAGCCATTCTGTTGGAAGGGTAATGAGAACAGGCTATTTATTGTATTCGTGATTTAGGACTGGTACATTTTAATTCTTTGTTCAATAGTGGGAGTTCTACTGTGCAAGTCTCAGATGCAGCCTCACTGCCTCGTCACCACCGTGACATATAAAGCCTCTTTCCTTTTAATATATTCAGTCATCACCATGGATTTTCATAAATGATGCGGCTAAGTGTGCCTCATTCTCTAAAGCAATGAAGAAAATTGCACATGATATGTGGTATGCCCATCAGGCTTGTGAAATAACAATATATGGGTAAAATATTGGATATTCAGCACAAGGACTGGTATATGAATTCAGCATGGCACACATTATTTAAATAAACTCATTAAATCCATATGAAAGAGGTGATGGGAGCTCTTGCATTACTACATATCCAAATTAACAACTCGTAAAATATGCCAATTTGAGAGATGCTTCAATATATTTGAAGCTGCATAAAATGTAGCAGTGCAAATGCTTGATTTTGTAATTCAAGATTCTTAAAAAATACATATCATCCTATATATTAAAGGGCAGGAAAATCACGCAAACACAATATCAAGATTACTCTGACATTGTCCCATATTCAATTTTTAAATTATACCACCAAAATTATTGCAATTGTTACATTTACTCTTCAAAACTATCCTGATGTGGATGAGAATATGAGGAGAGTTTGCAATTGTGGATAAAAAAAAAGACTCAATTCAGCATTGAGCACAATCATGCAGCCATTCTGCTTAAAAGGTCATCTTTATAAGTCATGCAAGAAATCAAGCAGAGTATACAATCTGCCATCACAAAGCTGATATGTGGATTGAAGCTGCCGCATTCTATTTGACATTCTATAAACAGGACCCTGCGGGTTGGGCTGGTAGGAATAATACTTAGTACCGGTACAGAGATATCGACCAGGTATAGAGGAGTTAAAGAAAAAATTACTGTATTCTAGTGTAACGTTAATTAAAAGTGTTTGTTTTGACAAGAAACGCTGTGAGATTTAAAGACTCGTAGTCTTTCATTTCCAACACCACCCTCAACACCACCCCTCCCACGGACGGACGGACGGACGGACACATTAATCTATTGGTGGTCTGGTCCACTTCGTCCCTACCAGTATAACCATATACTATGTAAGCAGGTGTTTATACATATTTATGTGCATGCAATCATCAATCATATAATGTCATAACTAAGGTAACTTGAGACCTGATTGAAAATGTAATATAAAATAAATGATCATCGCGAAAAATAGGGCTTATTGCATTTCGGCCCACGTTAGTAACAAATAACGGTTGGCCAAGATGTGACGGATCTAATTTGGTAATATGATATAGAATTATGAGCAATCAAGGCATTCAGTGAGAAATATATCTATACACATACATGTATATGCATAACACTGCATGGCAATTGAGGAATTACTGCATTGTACCTGATTAGTAAGTGATAGAGTATTATGCATGATGTTTTTGTGATGTTAATCAGAATGGGATGCAGTGGGTGCGTACGCATTCAGTAATGGAGTATTCATATGCATACAGGAGCAATTGTGCTGCAGACCATACTGAAACAAATGTCAAATTAAATCAATCGTATTGTCACCTTTATAAATGATGTATTTCAGTAAGGGGTCAAATAGAGGCATGAACTGATATATAAATAGCACAATGAATGCCACAAAAATGTTTGTGATTAAAAAAAAAAGGAATATTACTGTTATTTGGTTACCTCAATCACCACTGCACGACACACAGCAAGTACCATGATTGACTCTTTTCTGTTCACAATTCAGTGCATTTACACTTGCAGCAATTTTATCATATTTTCAACTGCCATATTTTTGGTCCCATGGAGTTAACACAAAATCCAGTGGAAAGCTTGAGTAAATAAAATGTATTTTACAGTGAAGATTGTTGTTTTAAATATTAAGCAAGTGCTAATAGCACTTTGGGTACCACCCAGTAGTGTGGTATTGCTACTGGGGGTTGTGGGATTTTAAAAAAATCATTCATACGATTCCGTGGAGGAATAAAATAGATATAAGAAAATGTTTGGCGCCAAGAAATAATTTTCCTCCGCGTAAAATGTGATAAAGGTCAGGCATTACCCTTTTGTCTCTCCTTGTTGAAGACTTTCACATCCTTGAGTTGCACGCCAATACCCGTTCTCAGGGCCACCACATCTGTGGCATTTTCCTTGCTGCCTCTCTTGATGGAGCCATTAGCATGGGTCCTACAAATCAAAAGAGTATACTGAATGATCCTCATACTCTCACCGAGCTAACTTCATTTCAATGCCCCTTTTCGTGCCAGTAAAACACCGTAGCCCACACAGCGCAGCCTCTATTAGCATATCAATACAGCAGGCCAGCAATAATACAATATTAAGTGTAGACTGTACACACTTACATCGCATGGGAGATCAAAAATAATAATAAGAAAGCCTACCAAACTGTTTCAGTCACAATGAATCAATTCCATTTGTGTGTGTGTATATGTTGCGTGGATTGGCTAAGACACTGGGAAAAACGGCTGCACAAACATACCGCATAATACATTTTAGTAGTGCAGTATATTGTATGTACGTAAAATATCGAAAATACATTTCACGCGATAGCTGTACCCATGGCTCAGGTGGCCTTGACGATGCACAAAAGCCACATTTATATTGTGCAAAGACTACTTGTTGTGACAGCCATCAGTCAGTGGCCCATAACATGACTCACTGGGCTCAGCTTAGCCGCCTCGTTTTTTCAGTGTGCTTGAGAAATACTAAATGGTGTGTGTGTGATATATATGGATTTGGGGAGCGGTAATGCGGTGGTTAGCGAACCTGGCAACCCGAGTTCAATTCCCGCTCACAGCCGATGATCTGAACTCGTCCTGGGCTTCCGCGAGGTCAACTAAACGAGCACCTGGTGCGGTGTGCAAAACATGGCCACTAGGGAGACAAAGGCGGCCAGGCGTGGTGCTGGTCATCCAGCCACTCCCTGTGCCATGCCAGCCTTCATAGGTGCTACTCGCTCATAGCACGAGCCCCAACAGTCTGTCAAGGCTATACGGGAAGCTTTGTCTTGGTATTTGTTAGAAACGGATTAGCTTTAGCCCGGTTGCCTACATATGGTGTTCAACATACATGCATACATACAGGTGACATGAGACCTCGCAGCAGTCATTATTCAGAGGTTGCGCAAACTAGCCACCAAAAGGGATGGGTCTGTGCTTGAACACCCCTGTTCCATGCCTGCAATGCTACGTGTGCTCGCCTCCCCGCAGTGCTGCATTTCGCCCACCACCATAGAGAACGTCATGAAGTGATGTCTACCCATGTTTACAATGATAACAGCACTATAATGTAATTAACATTATTATTATGCTGACATTATGTAGTAAGCTTGATTTGATGTTTTGCAACGTACTTAATAGAGTCTAAGCAGCTTAATGCGAGATCCATGCGAATAATATGTATTTTATCAGATAAAAAATATCATGCAAAAGAAAAAAATCTGCATGCTAATATAATTTATGAAAATGGGCTTGACCGATGTATGCATTTGGTAAAACCAGTTTACGCACTGTGTATAATAAATAAACCCAGTAGCAAACATATCAACTACGTTGCTGATAAAAAAATCTCTGCCCGTCTTTGAAAAAGAGGTCAGGGTTTGTTTACCGATCACTCCAGTAGATGTAGTCTCCGAAGACAGACACGGAGAACATGTCCATGTTGCTGGTGGACAACACGACCTCCCGATTCTCTCCGGTCTCCAGGTCAATGCGCTCGATCTTGTCTGTGCGGGCATCGCACCAGTACAGCTTGTCCTCCTGTCCAGTGGGACGTGAGAGGAATAACACCACAGCCATTTTGGGGGACAGAACATAAGAAATCCATATCTGTAGGCAGTTACAAATTATTACAAAAGAGCCCACAACTGGCAGTATTCAAACATGCGAGTTTAAATTCGATAAATTGGTGGTCTCCAATGTTAGGGGAGGCATTTTTTTGAGGTTGACACCGCATCAAGGCTGGCATTGACCGCCACTGTGATGATGCAACCGCAAAGCAGTGAATGGTCGGTCGCTGACAATGTCGGAACTTATTTTGTCGTTCGGGAAATTCTGGTGGAGTCTGCAGGTGCTTAAAGGAGGGAACCTTTTCAACTACAGTAAAATAGATTGTCTGAATTCAAACGTACGTTCAGTGTGCTTCAATAATGAAACCTTTATGAAAGGGACAGAGTGAAAAACCAAAGGAATTATTATATTAGTATGCTTGGTTACCCAAAAAATCCTCACAGTGTCTCAAGACAATTTTTCAGGGTGGTACTGCCAAGTTTTCAAAAGAAGGGGACATGTAGCTGCGTGTTATCCTAATTCAGTAATTCACATGTAATGTTTAATCATTCGCATGTTTGGCCAATACAACTTATATTGTGTTTTTAACCAAGAAACCTAAAGGAAACCCAGGCTGAACAGGGGGAGAACATACAAACTCCACACACAGAACGACGCCCAAGCCAGCAACCAAACCAAGGGCCTTTAGCTGTGATGCACAAGTACTACCAAAACGCCACCCTGCCGTCCAATTAAAGTCGCCGCGTGCAGCTCAAAATGTAAGGGCACACTGACATTTTTTGGTTTTACTGCTTGATGCGTCCGTGCTGAAATCCCAGTCGCCAATGTCAGCAGAAAGCCCACAGTAAATTGGCAGCTACGTGCCCCCTCTAGCCTCCACCTCCATGAACATGCCACCAAGATCGTCCACTTGCGTGCATCATGCAGATTTATAAGCAGGGGCTTATTTAATTATTTAGAAACGACCATTTCAAGTGAGGATGTATAAATTATACACGCAAAATGGCCATTAGTCTATGCCGCCTGACAGGGCGCTTAATCACAGACCTGCTCAAGCATGTATCCACAGGGCAGAGCTGTCCTGACGAATTCACATTCGCAAGGCGCTAACTCTGACGCCAATGTAGCAGTCTGTAGAGCGCAAGCTCCATCCTCTAGAATACTCCGAAATTAGCGATTTTAAATGAAAATCAACGGAGGTGAAAACATTGCAAACAAAATCTACAAAATAAAGGTTTCCATGAATAAGCTCCTACTGTAACTGGGTGTTAAGGGGACATGTAATATTGATCTAGGATTGAAGAACAGCTGTTGCCTGCTGCCTGACTGGTGCCATTAACCTTAACGATGACTCAGATCGATAAATAAATAAGCCAGCAAATACACAATTAACAAGCAGACTATGAAGTTGTAACGCTCCACCAACATCACCTGAATTTCTATGCTCTTTTTTTTGGCGGATTCAATGGCGTACGTAGCCACGACATTTTGTTGAGAGATTACTGAAGAATAATAGCAATTAAAATCATTAACCTTTAAAATAAAATAATAACTCTTTGCCTCACTTGGGGAGACTGACCTCATAATCGACAGAGATGCCATTGGGCCACGCGATGCTGACATTGACCAAGACAGTGCGCTCCGTTCCATCCAAACGGGATCGCTCAATGCGAGGGTTCTGGCCCCACTCAGTCCAGAAGAGGTACCTATCAAACAGCGGATAGACACGTCAGTTCAACGTCGAGCCTTGTACTCAAACTCTCAAATAAATCACGACGTTTCGGGCGCAACACAAGCGTCCATGATTGCAGGAATCCATACCCTTTGGTTCATTCGGTAAAGTCACGAAGGTATAAAATAAAATAAATCACGTTTCGGGCGCAAAAACAAGCGTCTGTCATCAGGTGAGAAGGCACCTGATGACGGACGCTTGTGTTGACGCTTGTGTTGCGCCCGAAACGTCGTGATTTATTTTATACCTACGTGACTTTACTGAAAGAACCAAAGAGAATGGATTCCTGCAGTCACGAAAGCTTCAAATAAAGATTGATCCAGCTCTCAAGATAAACGATCATAACAATAAAACAAGATAAGGTCCAGTGGCATACACAGACACATACAGGACAAATTCTAGCGCACTGTTACATGGCACACTTTTAAAATTCTCATCGCAAATTTCTGAAGGTGTGGATAATGAGAAATTCTCATGAATACACAGAGATTAAATATTCCACTGGCAAATGACAGCTTTACAAAGTATAGATTGCTAGAGGGTACTATGAGTAGTATCTTAATATCGCAGGCTCTATTATTCACACACAAAAAAACAACATAATTAAAAAATTCATAGATCATAGATTTGTCACCAAAGGCAGTTCATATTCTCACACGGAACTAAACAATAAATTCACAGCAATACCAGGCATGTGCATCGTCATAGATGGAAGGTACAGTCGCATGCCATATACATCTTTGCTCCAATGTATGTATCTATAACATGCCTCCAAAACGATTTTATAGTGACAATGCTCATGCATATAAATGAAACAACATCTCATTACGTTTTTTTTACAAATGAAGCAAAGCTTTTTTGATAAACTGATTAAAAAGATTAGACTTCAAGATGTTGTTGTACATTATATATTTTCCTTAATTTATTTTATAAATGTAGCAATCAATTTGGGCTCACTTTATGTTTAAAACAATTGTGCAATGTTTAATGGTAGCTTCATATTGAGAGTAAATATAATTATGCACTGCCATGGAGAATTATGACAAATACATGTAGTTAAGCATCTATACAATTTGCCCAGAAGTATGGCAGGCACAAACAAATACTGCTGTAAAACAACAATCCAAAAGGCCCAACGGCTAATAGATTAAAATATATTTCTATTTAGAGTGTGTATATTTCATTTGAAGCAATACACATGTTGTATAATAGAACAATACATACAAAATATGAGTGAATATAAGTAGGCATTATATTAAAACTTAGGTTTATTTCAACAAAAATGTCGAATATATGCATTTTTATTTTTTATACACAAGGATAAACATGGGACCTAAAGAGCCTAAAGATAGGTTTACTGAGATACTCCTGTGCTATGAAGATGTTTATTTGCCCGATTCAAGCATAATTGGCAATCCAATGTGACTATTCCATGCATGTGACGTGTTCAGTGGTGACGTGTATTGTTTTAGATCTGCTGTAAAAAATGTGTTATTGCAGAAAAGAATAATAATAATAACAACAACATTGGCATTTATATTATTATGTTTTGAGTAAATTTGCCCGAAATATTTTTCGGCTACGAAGGTAAGAAATAACAGCCAATGCATTTAGAGAACGCACAATGCAGTACATCCACTCGCTGTAAAAGGTGCCAACGCGTTCCCCCTCACCCTTTATCTGGGTGCACGGCGATGGCCCGGGGCTTATCCAGCCCCTGCGAGATGACCACGTAGCGGAAGGAGCCGTTTAATCTGGCCACCTCAATCACGTCAAAGCCCTGGTCAATCCAGTAGATGTTTCCTGAGCACACAGAGGCATGCAGCAGCAGCAGATGGTTTAACAGAAATATCACATTTGCTTTGCGGATTTGTTTTCAATGTTTATTCAATTACCCTGAGCATGCGAATTCCAATTGGAATGTAAATGCTCTTTTTTCAGTCGTGACCTGGGTCACGTGAGGGAACATTTAAATGTACTTTATTTACCTACGAGGAAGAACATTGCATTTTATTTTTAATTATGTAAGTGGAAATAGCTTTTAGATGAAGGCAATTATTGTTTGTACATATTTTTTTTTACATTTCATTTTGTAATGTATTCTATAACAAATTTCACACATTGGGGCTATACATTTAAATGGTTTCCCACGGGGTGTGCTGAATTAACATTGCAGGATATCACACTATATATTCATTTTCCCTCACAGAATTTATCGGGCAGCCGTAGAAAAGGAAAGATCAACAGTGTCAAAAACAGGCTGCGATGCAAAGTACACTGACAATTAGGCCTCAGAACCTTGTATTTAGCGGGAAAAAGCAGATACACCATGTTTTTTATTCTGTTACATACTGTATTCCATACCTCACATTGATACAACCAATTATCTTTACCGACTGTGGATTAGATTGCCAGTGACTGAGGTTTATGGACTTTGGAGGATATCTTTTGTCTCAACATTCTAGATTAATGAAATCAATATTGTGCCCATTCCTTACGGTGACTATTTGGGCAGGATAATGGCAAGTGTAAAACAACACCAATACCAATCACATACCAATGTTCAGCAGTGTAAGATATTGACAGCTGGAATGTTGACTTAGCAATCCTAATGTTGACTTTTATATATAAATACTATAACCATGTTGGTATCACGCAGTATAGAAATTGTGTAATGTACAGACATCATTTATATAATTGTATAATACATGTTTAAACAAAAAGCACCTGTACAATAATGGAAAGATTTTCAAATGCGTCAACATTTACCAAATATGTTTGTGCACAAAAAGAAAGAATACTTTTTTTTTACAAAAAAACTAGTCACTGAACACACAGGCAATTTGGCGTTGAGTCATGTTCATCAATTAGGATTAGGTATAGTATTTTCGAATCAATTATAATTACTGTGAATCAATTGGATTTAGATTACTCTGATGAAAAAAAAAATCTTTTTTCGAATGAACCTCATCTAAAGTAGGGCTCCAAATTGGAATTCGGCAGGCTGGATTTATTATCCCGCTCCATTACATTGCCAGACATTGTGATACTTTCACTGGCCACAGACTGAGGAGTCTCATTCAAACAGGATATTCGATGTGACCTACATCAGACAGGATTACATGTCAAAATAGGTAATAATGTCGAACAATGCAGTTCTAACATCACACGTGGTTTAAAAATTCATGTGACTGCATGCAAGACAGCCTTTAGCTATAAAATGCTCGGCAATCCTTTCAGAGTTATTTGAATATATTAAACATATAAATACAGATTAACGGTGGCCTTTAGGCATTAGTTGGAAATCACATCAGTTTCATTAAAAAAGAGAAGTTTGGATTTCAATGCCTTACTGCTGTGTTTCCAACACTTGACTAGCAGTTGCAAGTTGTGCGTTTATATCCCGGCAGACAGATCAGCTCAACCACATTCATCCATGGGGGGGGGGGGGGGTGGTAAAATCAATGCCACTTTGTCGCCGTGGGAATTCCACAGATGCGATCTGCCGGGCTGCAACAGAAATGTGGAATTTTCACTACTTGCTCAGGATCCCAGATGGAGATCACATCACCTACGAGTGCGGCCTTCCGCGCACGGCCTGGCAGTATCGCTGCAATCCATACAGCGTCCATTGCCGCCTTGGATTGATTGAAGGACCTTAACATTAAACTATGATATCTGACATCTATACAAACTGTTGCTTCCAGCCCCCTGCCCCCACCCCGGTGCCCCCAATCCTATACAAAAGAAGAAGATCGATGGACTTCTATTGCTCGTTTGCGAAGAAAGAAAGCTATTGCTTTTTCTCTTGCCGATTTATCACTTCCCCCCCATGCCCATTACCGGCAATCCAGTCCACAGCAATTCCTTCGACTCTTCCCAGGCCATTGGTGATGATGTCCTCTCTCCAAGTCTGGTCTCGCTTTGCACGGTGAATGCTGCTTAATCCCATGTCCACCCAGTAGATTGTATCGTTTCCTGGACAAAACATCGACACACACTGCACTGATACATAGGTCCAATTGAAGGAAAGAAACATAACTATGCAGGTAACATGTCTCATACTGGTTGTCCATAACACAAAAAAACGGAAATTATTTTGAGAATAAACATTTACAATTTGAACCGCATAGTTGATATGATGGTAACATAAAAGTTAATAAAATAAACATGCTGCCAGTGTACGTGTGTATATATACTTATACATGTGTAGTGACATATAATGGGTCACGACGGCGCCGATAGCCAGCTACTGAGAGGGGAACTGGGAGTGTAGTGGCCCTCTCTGCCAGCAGGGGACGCTATGTCATGGAAAAGGGTCCCGAGGGGGCATGGTTCTGGTGGCTGGAGGAGAGGGGGCATCTTAGGACGTAGCAGCCTGGTTGGCTGGCAAGGGCACGTGACAGGACAAGGTAAGGATGTGGGCCAAAGGTGACAGAAGGGACACGTGGTGTATGGCCTAGAATCTTCTGGTAAGTTCCAGAAGGGGGCGTGGAGCCAGGCCAAGCTGGGGGGTATAAAAGGGAGGTCCCGGGGTCCCATCAGGGCTGTCTGCTGGAACGGAACCCGCCGTGCTGCGTCTTCTCCTCGGTCTCCGATCTTCGTGCTCGGCATCGTGGGTCAGGCAGTGTGTAGTTACCCCGTGGTGGTTACTGGCTATGTAGTTACCCCATTGTGATCGTAAAATGAACGTGTTGCCTCCTGAATAAGTGTGTCTCTCAAGTGAACCCGCTACATATGTATAGACTGAGCTCAAACTGCCATCTAATTATAATTCTTGAATATTGGATTATATATTTAGGTCACCCTGTAACGTGTACGATATCGGACTGCTGTGTATATATATATAAAACGATCAATCAACGTATTTGCTACATAACAGAAACATTGGAGAGAAAATAAATCCCATGATATAAAATGTGCAGCCACGTTCAATTCTCATATTTTTTTACACCTCCGATTAGCACAGTTGGCTGCGTGCGGTGCAAAAGAAGTTCAACATACATACATATATGTGCATGTGTAATAAAAGGACTCAGACACTTCTTGCTGACTCCGTGTCCTTTATTTGGGGTTCGCGTTCTCCTTCCCACACGGCACTCCTCCTGAGACTCTCTCCCTGGCAGCCCCACATCTGCCTTCGCTCCCGTAGCCTTCCACGCTCCTGCAGCTCCGCTGCAGGCTCTTGGTACAGCCCTCTGGCTGCTCCCCCAGCAGCTCCATCTCTGCTCCCTGTTCCTCCGTGCGTGGCGATCTCGCCACCTCCCAATGTCAGCCCTTCGTGGCCTCTATGGCTATCTCGCCATTTCCTACCTCAGCCCTTCGTGGCCTCTGTGGCTATCTCGCCATTTCCTACCTCAGCCCTTCGTGGCCTCTGTGGCTATCTCGCCACTTCCTACCTCAATCCTCCACTCTCTCTTCCACCCCGCTGGCTGGCGCCGTCATGAGCCCCTCAGCCACCAGGCTGAGGCACGGCGACCACCCAACGTGTTCACCACCCTTCACTCCCCCGACTGACCCAGATAGCTTCCTGTCTCCCGGCTATAACTTCTCCCCCACGTCACCCTGACTCCCCCCTCTCGGATCGTCATATCCGCCCCGCCCATTTACGCCCGCATTACACATGCAAAGAATTTTATAAATACTTGTTTTTTTTACTCTTCATATTTGCATGTGTATGTGTGAGCAATGGTGCAGTGATCAATACACTGCACCCGGTGGCCTGAGTTCGATTCCTGACCATGGCTAACTTTATTGACGATTATCTAAACCGGTCCCGTGCATCCCCTATGCCAAGCTCGGCCTCGTACAAGTATATGGCGAGTTGTGTAAACATCAGCACTAAGACAATTGTGACCAGGGCATAGTTCTTGCCATCCATATCATTTACTCGTGTACCATGCTAGCCTTCATAGTTGCTCACTAAGTGCACTTGTTCCAACAATCGAAATGCTATAGGGTGGGTTTGTCTTTGTATGCGTGCGCGAGCGTACGAGTACATTGGCGTGTTGAGTCGAACATGCTGACCTGCATGAAAATCAATGCCAACGGCGAGCGAGGTGCCGGATATTGGCACCAAGGCATCGGTCTTATCGGCTGGGTCCAGGGGGATGCCACGGATGCCTTCGTGAACGGAGTACAGCAGGAAGGCTCCGATACCTGCTTTGCATGGACACAAGCACACTTCAAACCACCTGACCCTAACATGGGAAGCCAGAGAGATAACCAGATCATAGAAAACAGCGGGAGCAGATAAATCAAAAGGGAAGACCAGGGCTCACAGTTGAAAAATCATTCCCGTCATCTCTCCTTGGTCAGTAAAACAAAGCGTGCCTGATAAGCCGCACCGCATTCTGAAACAGTGAACGCAAGTCATCTTTTCTGAGCGTAAAGGCACCATCACAGGAACATGGATTCTTCTACAACCTTGTGCCCCCAGCGGTGAAGCAGTGGCATGAACACAAGAAGCCGAGTTCGCTTCTCAGCCACGGTTAACACGAGTGTTGAGTGATAGTGACCGTCTCCTGGGTAACAACTGCTTCACCAATCCCATGGCTGACACGGCTTGGAGAGACCTTCATCCAGCAGCGGATTGGCAAAGGGTTGCACGTTATTCTTTTGAATTAATTTTAGTGCTCAAATTCAAATTAGAATCCTCAAATGAAAAAAAATTTGAAAATGTATATAAATGAATAATTTCTCATTTGTACTGCACACAGTTTGTGTTCACTCTCAAGAGGGGGAGAATGATTTAGAGGTACGGGAAACCACAGACAAGTGGGAAGGCAGCCAGAACCCGTGCCACCAATTGCCCAAGCTCTGTGGGTCCTATACTGGGATTTTGGCCAAATATACTCATAAGCTTGTATACACGGGGGGAGAACGCCAGAATAACCTCGCTAAAAACCTATACGTGTGAGGAAGGGTAACACTCAGTTCCTGTAGAGATGAAAATAAATCAAATTGCTGTCCTGAAATGCCTTGGGGCAAGGCAGGAGATGGCGACCTCAACCCCCACGGGTAAGGAGGGAGAGCTGTGAAAAGAATTGGGTGCGACGCCACCACAACCCTCGCTGGATCACAGCGCCTCACAATTGGTGATGCAATGCAGCCTAACCTTCGCAGTTGCGCTGGTCAGCCTGCAGGTTGTAGCCGGCCGTGCAGCGGCAGGTGCGCACCGTCTCCGAGCTGGGGAGGCACAGCTGGGCACAGTTTCCGTTGTTCACGCTGCACGGGTTCGTGCCTGGGGGCAAAGGTGGTCACAACATGCCACGTGTTTTGACTTCCTCCAGGAGGGGAGCAAGGCGGCCCACGTGAAACTAAAGCATAACGTGCGCATTTGGTGATTGTCAGCGATTCGGTACATTTAGTATTTGCGCCGTTCAAATAACGCAAGGCCATTTTGAAGGAGCTGTGTTTTCCTGCCAATAGAGGGACGATGCTGCTATGTGCTTAAATGTTTTTTTGAACTATGATGTCAGTACACATTGCCTACTCTTTAAAACATGTGATGGGCTCTTTAATGTCCACAGTAAAGGAGGTAGCGCGTCTAATTATTGATTAATATACCGACAGCATTAACCAGAGTGGCCGCTGGTCTGGAACCACGATCCTCAAGACGCACCACGTGGCAATCGCGCTGCCGTTTGGCCATGTCACCACCTGCTCCACTGGGATGTTAGGTTACTTCTTTTCCTTTTCTCGATGACATTGAATATATATTAATTCTAGATTTGAAGCTTTCGTGACTGCAAGTATTCATATTCTTAGGTTTTTTCCGGTAAAGTCACGTAGGTAAAAAATCTAAATTAATAAAAGTAAAATAAAAATAAAATAAAAATCACGACGTTTCGGAGGCAACACAAGCTTCCGTCTTCAGGTGGAACCGTCACAGCACGATAGCTGTAATAAAGCAAGTGTGCTGTGACGGTGTAATCAAGCAAGCGAGCTGTGACGGTTCCACCTGAAGATGGAAGCTTGTGTTGCCTTCGAAACGTCGTGATTTTTATTTTATTTTTTATTTATCTTTTATTAATTTAGATATTTTACCTACGTGACTTTACCGGAATAAACCTAAGAATATGAATATATATTAACCCAATCTCACTTAGGCTGTAGAAACAAAGGGTTATTTGTCTTAAGAACTGTGATCTGGAACTTAATTCAAGGACGCTTAAAGAGACAAAGTCGTCGGACTTGTATGGACAAAATTCGACTTGTTATGTAAACAATGTTCGCTTAAATAATGCTGAAATAATTAATTAAGTTTATCTTTCAGAACAAAAAAATATAGAGTACAATATGGATTATGTCATCAACCCATTTGGTTTTAGCAAACAGCTAGGTAGCGCAAATTGGCAGGAATAAAAGCATTTTTTTTATCACATATTTAGTTTCATATCCACAATATTGTTAGGATATTTCGCAACTACAATTTAAAAAGGGAAACACATTAATTATTGTAAATACGAATATAAAACACACAATGCATAATTATCAATCTTCAAATAAAATAAACGAGCATTTGCATCATCTGTAATGCACAAAAACAAGATGTGGGGTGTCATGATGGTCGAAAATAAAACTTAACAACTTGATACTTTAAAACCACAAAGATAACTCAACATTTGTCATCCCACTGCGGACACGTGTACCTCTGCCTAATTGCGGTACAGGCCCCCCCCCCGCCCACCTTTCTGCAGGTCCCGGTCGTACACGCGCAAGTGCATCACGTTGGCTGTGGAATTGCGCAGGACGACAGCGTTGGAGCCATCGCGCTTGCTGCAGGTCCCAAGCTGCTCAGAGGCCTGGTCTGCCCACCAGAGCTTCTCTCCTACATGGGGCACAGGCGTCACACATTGGTCCACTTTACACGATTATTATTATTATTATTCTAGTCCAGGGGTTGGTCAACCGGTAACAGACCAAGGGCCAAAAAGTACCCATGAGTTCTACAAAGAACCAAGTTTATATATCTATATATGAGTATATATAGACAGTTTTCGGCACAGCACGGGAGACATTCATTATTCTTTGTAACTATGATAGTACGTTCTACGTTATGCCCCTTCGATAGAGCCGCATGTGGTGGATTCAAAGGCAGCAATGCTGCCCAGGAGACGCCAGTTGGCCACTGCAGTTTTAGTCAAAGTGTTAATCTACTCAAGTTTTTTTTGAGCCAAGACTTTAGACATTTTCTCAGTATGATTGATGAAAGTAGTTGAAAATAGTTCACTCTTTAGTTATTAAATGTCGGTTGTGAAGGGTGTGCAATTTTCCCTCAGAAAAAGTGAAGATTGAATGGGGAAATTACTATTTGATTTGCAACCAGCAATGACAACGAATGCAATGTGCAAATTGTTTAAGAAGTTTAAATCTCGGAAAGGAACACGGAAAAGTCTAGATGAACAAAAAAAATAGGAATGACATTCACTTGATTGTCAGACACATCTGTCATCCGCTAATGTAACACAGGGAGAGATTACAGGCCGGGTGTGACGCAAGAGATACTGCGATATAGCTATAAAGATAACAAATCTAATTACAGGAAAAAAATGAACATGAAAGTTAACATGAAAAATCGAAGTGAAGAGGTAGCAAAATGTAGACAAACTCGAAAATAATTAAGTGCATGTAAGAGGGGCAACATTAAAAGCTCCTAGAGTACAAATTATCTGAAGCTACAAAATACATTAAGTGATGTAGGAAAGAGGTGAATGCCTTGCAAAAAGGTCAGTCAAATGATCAAAAGATAAGCCTACATACACACTACAAAAGATCAGACTATATATGTATGCTTATCAGGGCTGTTAGCAAATTTACAAAAACGCGAGGCACATGCCTACATCTTGCAAACATTTGAAAATGTATCTTCAAAATTATCATGTGTTTTATCCACAATATTAAATTATAAAAAACCCATAATCATTGTAAATTCTCATGTGCTAAATCTAGACAGCATCAGGTATATAGCAGCAGAATTTTGCACGAGGAAATGCAAACCATAACAAGACATGAATTCTGATTTCAACTGATCAGGTTAGCTTTAAACAGGTTATGATGGTGCAATTGTGCAGTAATCAGGCTGCTCAAATGCGTTTATTCCGATCAAAAGGATAAAAATGAACAAGCTTTATGATGTAGCATGACATAAATCATTCAAGTACAGATCACTGTCAAGAAATGTATACAGGTAAAAACTGCGAACATCAAACCAAAAATCAAACATCTCAGTACATGTGTGTAGCGCATATGAAGTGTAAAAACGATAGTGTATGGCAGACAAATGTGCTTGTGAAAATAAAATGTCTATGTTTTCAACAACTCAGGGCTTCCTCCAGTCGAAATAAAGATTCTGGTTCTGACTATTAAGCACAAACATTCCCTCCCACCTTCACATTCAAGACCACATCACATTTGTCTGAACACAACCGTCACGCTATAAACCATAATAGCATTGTGCAAGAAGTCCTGCTGATAAATGGCAATTCTATTTCAATTTATACGTTAAAAAAAAAATACAAGCATTGAAGCCAATTACAATGCTGTTTTGACAATCAGTTTTTCCTGCAGAGGAAAAAAAAACATTGCCTTTATTGTTCTAAATTAAAATCATAACTTGAAGAAAACATTACCTTCAGCATTTCATCACTAAAAGGAGAACACCTTGTTGATGGAGCACATCTTTAACAGCAATCACAAACTCTCTGCACCATGCACTTGGCATTAACATATTAAAACATAAAGCTCTTTATGCATTTCAAGGTTGATGATGTTCATCACAAATCATGTTTACTGGTCTTCATAAAAAACACAATCCCATAGATCGTACTTCAAAACCACGAAAAACAATACATGAATTCAATACTAAAAAATATTTCGTTTTAAATATTTTGCGAATGTAATTCACACAATCAAGGCAAGGTACTGTAAGTGAAAAAGGACATATAAAAAAACCAATATTTTCAGCTGTGGTTATAAAATCTTCAAAAATACCATAATCATTGATCATCAATGCTACAGAGCTTTTGAAACACTGGCAATCACCGTATTTTCTGCTTTGGGCTACTGAAGCATTACCACCCACTGCCAAGAACGTCCATGAAAAGGGATGATTGTCCAATCCAACAGACGCAGGTTTCTTTGTTGAAAACAAGCAATGCTACCATCAACTGAGATGCAGAAGAGAGAAATTGTTTATGAAAAAAGGAGTGAAATGGCATGTATTAGAGCCTGGAGTAACACATCAATGTCGACATGAATTCTACTCTGAGGAGTCAAAGCGCAGCTCACAGACAAAATTGCTAACACAACTTGGGATTGCCCGATGGTGGTCAGCATTTACGCTGGTGTAATAAAGCGAAATTAGAAAATCTTTCCTGTTCCATCAGGATAACATAAATTGATCTTTTTTCTTTTTTACACTGAATGTAAAATACAGGGGAACACCACTTACGGGATTCAATACAAATAAGTTGTTTCTGCTGCACGTCTTAGAGATGATTAAAGCCCGGTCAATAATGAAACAGTTGCCGCTCTGCGCGTGACTTACACTGCAGGAATTTTAAGTAGAACAAAGTTGCGGATCCAGGAAACCATTCTACCCTCCCCGCGGGTCTTTGGAATTTCCTGGAGGTGTTGTTTTTTTGTCTGAATGCAGTAGGTACTAAAGCCAATATTAACGTCCCTAAGTCAAACATGCGTACAACCACCACCAGTTAAGTTATCGGTCCAGAAATGTCACTGAATCTCCTAATACATGCAATCTAAAATCAATAAAAAATAACATTTTGGCACGAGGAATGCAGGATATGGCTCTGATAAAGTCACCACAGATGCAACGAGGTATGTTAATGGACACATGTTAGAGACGTTACAGCTCCACACATGGTGAGCTGTGTGATAGGATGAGAAACCTCAGTACTCACTGTCACAATACCCTGGGGTCAGGCTGAATAAGAACACGAGATGCTGTGCTACAATTAAATTTACCATATTTATTTTAATACAAAAAAATGGAATTCCTGTTCTTTCACAGATGAACATTGGTGCCATTTTCATTGGAGCATGACCAGTAAAAAAAACACACGAACCATAGAATACATGGTTTAACCCTTACTGAATCCAAAATTAAAGCCACAGTTTCTGAAATATAATGTATTATAAAGGACATAAGGTAATATCAATTAAGAAAAAAATTCAAGTTACCATGAACGGTGAAAAATAATAATCCAATGAATACAAAGACGAAGTCAATAAAAATGTAATGAAGTGATTAAATATTTCTAGGTATGCACTTGATGAAATAAGATGTCTGGAACGCTTCTTCTCCCACAAAAAGACAAAGACAAAGACGTATTGTATAGCCTTGAACAGGCTGTTGAGCCAAGTGCTGTTAGCGTGCAGCACTGAAAGCCGGCCCAGAACACGAGGCGGTGGGTGGCCAGCACCATGCTCTACCGCCTTTGTCTTCCTCATGGCGATGTTTACACATCGCACCAGACACTCATTTGAGGCCGAGTCGACCGAGGAGAAGCCAAATACCGGTTGAGACAATCATCGCCGGTGTTGGCCGTGAGCGGGAATCGGACTCAGGTCGTCGATTTCGTAATGCAGAGCGATAATTGCGATGCTACAGCACCCCAAAAAACAAAGACAAAGATCCCCCATATAGCCTGAAACAGACTGTTGGGGCAAGTGCTGTTAGTAAGCACCTATGAAGGCCGGAACGGCACACGAGGGGGTGGGTGGCCAGCACCACGCCCTTTATGCCTTTGTCTTCCTAGTGGCGATGCTTACACACAGCACTAGATACTCATTTGAGGCTGAGTCGATCTAGGGGAGGCCCAGGACCGATTCAGATAATCGCCACTGTTATTGGTCGTGAGCGGAAATCAAACTCAGGACGCCAGGATAGTAGTGCAACACGCTAACAGTTATGCTACAGATGTCCATACAAAGAAAAAAAATACAAAGGTCCCCCGTATAGCCTGAACAGACGGTTTGGGCAAGTGCTGTTAGCAAGCACCTATGAAGCCCGGAACGGTACACGAGGGGGTGGTTGTGCAGCACCACGCCCGACCGCCTTGGAATCCCCGGTGGCGATGTTTACACACTGCACCAGGTACTCATTTGAGGCTGGGTCGACCTAGGGGAGGCCCAGTTCAGATAATTGTTACTGGTGTTGGCCGTGAGCAGGAATCGAACTCGGGTTGCCAGGTTCGTAGCGCAGCACGCGGACCGCTACACTACCGCTCCCCACACACACACATACAGACATCTCTTCCTCACAAACACCGTCACACCTGGCAGTGTACAGTGAAAGTGCCTGGCAAGGAACTAGCTCATATAACACTGTGAGCAATAGGTCAAATTGGAATGTGAATGAAGATGAATGTTATTTGAAAAATCTTTTACAATATAAGCTCAGACTTGTATTGAGGCAAAACTGTATTCCAAGGCTCGAGATAGGGTATGGCTAACATTACAGTGAAGCTTGTACAGCATCATGAAATTATGTTCAATAAATGTATGCTTCTGTTATGGAACACTGTTTCATGTAGAGATAAGCGTAGATTTGCTTCATCTCTAGTTTTTAAAAAAATAGGTCATCCAATAAGTTGCATTCGCATCTACAGCTCAGCAAACGGAAGCACAAATAAATTACGTTTTTGATTTGATAGGATATGTACAAAACAGGTTTTCAGAAGAAAAACGTACCTGCAATTTGCTTACAGCCTGCATTGCATTTTATCTGTGTTGAATATATCCCACAGCTGCGGAAAAAGGCTTCAACTTGGATTTGTTTTTGCTGCTCTCAGGCTGTGCAGAATGTCCCCTCAATCTTGCAGGGGGAGAGTGAGGGCTTTTCATCGCACACCCCTCTCACAAATATCAGCAATAGGCAGTGGCGGCAATACTAGACTGATGCGTCTTAAGAAGCACAAAACTGCCATACAGCTGCTGGTTAAATAAAAATTGCCATAATCTCAGCTCTTTGAAGCAAATAGCAGTCGCGAGAATGTGAGTAGAATGTGTACAAAAATGGCAATGTCATTGTGAGAACGCAAAACGCTGAGATTCCTCTTCTGTTCCGCTCTTGGAAACACATGTTTCCGTATGTACTACCATGTGTATACAGCCTGCATGTATACATTTTTTTCTGGTTGTTGAATTGATAGCTTCCTGCATGAGAAAAGTGAACGGATTTGCTTTTGTTTTTAGGCGATTTTCTAAACAACGGAACACATTTTTGTTATTTTACCAAGTAAGGTCCCATTGAGCTGCGGAGCTCTTTTTAAATCCTTTATATTAAGTTCGCTTGCTTGCTTGCTTGCTTACGACCGTGCAAATCTTTCGCTCGTTTTTTAACCCACTTCCCGTGATCCAATCGAGCTGACATTTTCCACACAGACTCGTTGTGCGAGACAATTAATGTTCGTGAAATTTTTTCCCCAAAATTTTACACTGTTTAGGGAAAACAAATTAAATATTTAATTACCAATTGCTTAATACTGGCAGACAATCATCTGACCCATAGGTAGCAGCCATCTCAAGCCAGAGGACGAGAAGACTCTAGCCGCCACGCATATAAAGGATTTATAGTGAAAAACTTTGTTTTTACGGGTTTACTTGTTCATAAGTGACCTGGCCACAAATGATAGCTCAACGAAGTGGCTTATCGCGTAGAAATGTAGAGTATTTGTGGCCGCAATAAACGCATGTTTCTAAATGTGGAGGGACAAACCTGAGGGCCCAGATAAAAATCCACGTGTCCACGGGGAGAATATACAAACTCCAAATATACAGGCATCTGGGTCGGGATCGAACCCTGACACCTGTTACCTTTGTCCCCAAAGTAAAGGGGGAGAGACACATTATTTGGGTATTTCGGTAAAGTCACGTAGATAGGTTAATACATACATACATGAACCTATCTACGTGACTTTACCGAAAGACCCAAAGAATATGAATTCCTGCAGTCATGAAAGCTTTAAGTCAAAGGAGGAGAGGTTATTAACTTAAAATTCCTCAGTTTTTTTTTCGAGCTTTGAATGTTTGTTTAACGCTTCTTGAATTGTAATGTTATCTTTATTGAATTAAACGTCTATTATAAATGTGTCATGAATCAATTAACCATAATTATTATTTCTCTCACATACAGCAGCAAATTAATGACGGGCTTGTGCATGTACATACGAGAACATATAGTTCTGGAAGAAAATAAAATGTGAATATCTAAATCGCGTAAATCGATGCATATCGTAACCCCCCTGTGACAGAGAGGGCTCGAGGAGAGGATTGGAGTTGAGGGATCTGGGAAACAAGTCAATTCTCGAGCATATATGAAATCGAAGAATTTAGCAGCCACTATAACATCTGTTTAATTATCACGGTTGGCTAAGTACAGTGAGAAAGAACTGCAACATACATATATAAAGTGGGAAGCTACAGGCTGAACAGCAACAATAACAGCTGCATACAGCAGAAACAGTGTGAACAGTGTGCATATGCATATCGTTGACGGGAGAATATGAACGACGATACAACAACTTGTATTGTGTAGATGAGAAAGCAACATATTTACGAACCTTGAGATTATTGACCAAACAAGTTGCATTCAGCCGATGGGTGAAATAGCCGACGGGGACAGCGAATAAGCAGGAGTGACTTCTTATCGACCAGAAATTGATGGGTTATAAAAAGAAAAAACACGGCCACGTAAAACAAATCAATACAAGGCTTATATGTACCCATGATGGCGAGTGCCGACGGCTTGGTGAGCTTGCTTTTCATCGTTTCTACAATTTCCAGCCCCGAGCCGTCCAGCTCACAGCGGTTGATGGTGCCGTTCCCAGAGCTGATCCAGTACAACTTGCTCTCCTCGTAGTCAATGGACAATCCTGCTCACGCGAACAAGTCCCCGTTAACGCGCGAACAAGAGCAGCGCGCAAGCACATGCCGCACGTGTACGCTTGTGTGCGTTGAACTCCTCCTTTCGCACCATACGCAGCCATCCGTCTCAATTGGAGGTGCGGGCAAGGGCAACAAAAGCAAAGACAAAAAGCAGTTGTAAAAAAATTTGTTTTCAATCGAGATGATTTAAAAGTGCATAGCTCCAGTGGACTCCTAACATCGGAAGGAAGAGCGTTTCAGACTGCCGCAGCAGCACATCTGAAAGCGTGCGATGCAGTGACCGTCTTTGTGCGATGGTTAGCCAAAAGCTGCTGCGAGGATGACCTGAGTTGGTGTGATTGTTTATGCGTCTTGACGAGATCATCAAGGTCTTGTGCTTCATTTGTGACAAAGCACTTTGTGTGTAATGAGTGAGACCTTACAATGCATTTGTTCGGCAACCAGAAGCCAATGGTAGCCCCTGGATGCATATGGTTCGAATCTTACATAATATATAACCCGGCCAATAGCAATCCACTGCTGGATGAAGGCCTACCCACACCGTGTCAGTTGTGGGGGTTGTTTGACTGTACTTCACTACGTGATCAGTGCAGATGTGCTCAAGGGGGGAGGAGGGACAGCAGTGATATTGCTCGCCACTGGTGTTAGCTTTGGCCAGAAATTGAACGCCAGCTTTATGTTAAGCCCCTTGAGTGACGACACTGAAATCAAGTATTTTAGTTTTTATTCAATGTGTAGTGACTGTGATTGTCACTGTGTGGTGCCGGGCTTACGAAGCCATGGCGGATAGTGTGTTGGCATTATGAGCAGCCCGCTTACTGGGCGTAGTACCAGCCCTAGCGGGGCTTGGGTGAGCGCTGGTCAGCGCGGAGGCACCACGTACAGTGTGCGGTGCGGGCTCCCGGTGAGGGAGCGAAAGGGAGTGTCAGCCAGCCAGGGTCACGTTGGGGCATGATACGCTGGTTGACCTGCCGACACGTGACCGGATGATATTTGGAGGGGGGCCACTGGTGGACGGGGGCAGCTGGGTGGTCACGTGGTATAAAAGAGCTCTCGGGAGCCTTCGGGAAAGAGCTCGAGAGATCTAGAAGGTGGGCGGGGCGAGGGGCGGAGCCAGCCCCAGCCCAGGCCGATATAGCGGGGCCCCGTGAGGGGCTCGGGGTTCTTAGTGTTGCTGGTGATGAAGATCCACGTCGGGTAAAAGAAGCCTCTAGCCACGCGGTCCGGGACCCAGCTTGTGGTCCGGGCCGGGATAGCGAACCGTGTCTAGTTCTGCCGTAGCGTGGCTAGATGAGCATTCAACACCCAAGTGTAGGTTGTGTTATGTTATGTTGAGTTGAGTTACTGAATAAAGTGTTTCTCCCAGTTGGACTCACTACAAATGCACTTTGATTTATTTTGTGTCTTACAACAAAGCAGATTGTCACTTCGCTGGTTTAAAAAGCTAATGTGAAAAGATTAAAGTTATATATGTAAAGGTGCATTCTGTCACTATTGCAGGATATCTTTTACAGCCATTGATGGCATACACAGAAATGCAAATCCAACAGTTTATGTGTTGAAGTGAATCACAGTAAATGTTTTGGCCTTAATTTATGTTCAGTAGCATTAACTTTTTATTTAACTAATTACTAACGTATTGCTCGAAGGTAGTCCACTAATGAACCAAGGCCTAACCATGCTCTAAGGGTCACGGGGGTTGTTTGACCATACTTCACCACGCTGGTCGCTAATGGCTGGTGAACAGAGGGAACCCAGGACGGGATCAGATATAACTCAATACTGATGTCAGCAATGGCTGGGAGTTGAACTCCAGTTTCTGGATTCAAGCTCAGTGTGCTACCGCTCCCCACAATTATCACGTGTTCTCACTGCTTTACTTAACCAACCCTCCGCCCTCCTTAAAGCCATATCAATAAGTATGCATTTATAACCAGTTTCAAAAAGACACCACATGGTCTGTGCAACTCATTAAACGAGGCAGCATTAACTTTGCATATTTATCTCACAATAACATGCAGAGTTTTTGAAGACCACCAAAAATCTTGGTTCATGCATCATCATTTTTAGTTTGCTAGACACCTGGGAAATGCTTCAAACAGAGTCCAATGTTGCCGATGAATGGCTGGAAAGCCAATGACAGTGCAAGGGACAAGGATCCAGGCAGGGTGTCTCTGTGAGGAGCACTCACCAACAGGGCCTTTCTGTTGGTTGTGGAGAACAGCTTTTTCACTTCCATCCATGTTAGCTACATTGATGGTGTCACCATCTGTCCAGTACATCTTTCTGAAAATATAAACGCACGCACACATATGTACACATCTGCTCACATATGCATGCATCCACTCACAAATACAAATTCATAATCAGACTTGTATACATGCAAAAAAAAACTGAATATTCCTATAAACTGCTGGTGCAAATGCTATTAGCGAGCACCAATCAGAATGACAATTTACCTTCAGGTTTAAAAATATTGAAATGATCTGCTTAGAAATATTCCAAAAGAGCAATTGATAGAGGCATCTTACGTGGTGTTAACAGCAAAAATAAAATCAATTCTCCTCAGTAAATATTTCACAGGAGTGCTGCTTGCTAGCCAACAGGCAATTGCAGATGTAGTATATTTGTTGAGGACTGCTATTTGATTCAACAAATGAGCCCATGGTTGTGTGCCAACTCTACAAGCGTGTTCTTTTCCCCTCATCAGTACACATGCTCCATTTCTGGAACAGTTTAACTTTCTTTGACACTGAAACATGAAAGTGTCTCTAAAATCAGCACACTGCAAACTTTGGTTGTGTAAAGTGAAACGCTCCTATAACCATGTGATTTTGATTTAACCACAACATGAGCCGGCATTGCATATCATGTCGGATTTCATTGGCAGCACCAGTAATCCTGCACAGCAGCTTGGTAGAATAACAGAACAGGGAAGTAATGCAAACAAATTTGGTTAAAAATAATTACAATTATTGCTTGAGATTTAGATAAAGAGGCAGGACTATACTCAGTGTCAAAAGTTAGAATATTACTGCTGAAACATAACAAACATTTATGATTTATGCCCCTGTACCGTTCCCATTCTGTTGTAATGTGTACTGTGACGCTTACTATATTGAGGACGATATTGGCACGTAAAATAAAGATTGATTGATTAGTTTTTTTCTACGAGGTATGTCACGAAACCGAGGAACTTAGAGGAATCCCATGCAGAACAACAGGGGGAGAGATACAAACTCCATGTAGAAAGGTGCCCGAGTCGGGAACCAAACTCATGTCCTTCTTGCTTTGAGGCCCGAGAAGGTGTTACCACTAAAACAAACATTTTTTTTACCATTGTAAAAAGTAAAACCTGCCAAATCGAAAAAAATCACCCCATTTTGTCGTGGCCTTTGCCAGTGGTAATGTATGCACAGTAACGCCGCCCATCTGCTGTGTAACGGGGACTGGCAGGAATTTTATGGCGTGCCAAATATTTTTAATTCGCGCGTCGTTTCCATTCGCGTTGTGGCCATTACCCTTTTATGGGGTGCAGCGCCAGCCCATGGGGCTTGTCCAGCCCTTGCAACACAGCCGTCTTGAAGGAGCCGTCCATGCGAGCCACATTGATCTGCTTCTTGTTCGCGTCGTAGCTGGTCCAGTAAAGGTTCCCGGATATCCAGTCGACAGCCAAGCCGTGTGCGTTTGCCAAGTCTGTACCCAGCAGGAGACACATGTACGGAGGAGAAGAGAAAGGGGGAGGGCAGGCGAAGGGGGGGAGGGTGGAAAGTTACTTGTGTAAAAATTGGACCCTTCAAGTAATGCCTAACAGGTTTCCTTTGTGTGCCTGGAGGCTGCACATTTCCTCGCGATAATTATTTACCATGTCTGTGGATTCAAAACACGTACTGGGAATGACACTAATTGCAGGATTGATCAAACGGCCAGGACTACAGTGGCGCTATAAAATGTGGCCATCGCGCACAAATATTACAGTCGAGCCTGAATAAATCCAGGTGAAAACCCTAATGAAAAACACTCGAGTGATGGGGCTTTGGAATGTTTTGTTTCCTCCAAAAGAAAACCACGTGGATTTTCTCGGCAACACGGCAGCAGCAATTCAGAGTTCCAGGCACCTGGCTCCTGTATGGGTTTACCGTCTCGTACATTTTCGAGGAGGATTAAGCCTTTGCACGCTTAGCAGAATCGATCAACGGGCTCGCGGACGTAGACTTTGTGCAAAACGTGCGCAAAATAAATGACGCGAATGAAACACGAGGCTTCAATGAAATGCGCGGCGTCTTCGCTTCTGCTATTGAAAGCATTCCATCGGGTGGGTCTCGGCACTTAAACAAGGAAAGGAAACCCTCCTCCACAGTGAACGCAAACGAACCCTACCTGCTGAAACGATGGTCTCTACGTTGGTACCATTGATGAAGGCACGCTTTATGGTCTGCGTGCGAACATCGGACCAATAGATGCGCTGCTCCGCTCCGTGGAAATCAACAGCAGTCACATTGTCAATGTCAGGCACAGTAAACGAGATGATGAAGTTGTAGTAAGGGGCATCGATATCCACTCCGCGAATTTCCATCTGCCGGGCGTAGAGAAGGAACTTCCAATGCTCTGCATTCGGTGGAACCGGCAAGGCACAAACACAAAGACACACATACACGCATGCAAAACTTAAGACAATAATCACCATCCAGGTCCAGGTAATAAAAATGTATATCAATATGTAGGAGATCTGCAAGCCATCCTCACGCACTCGCACCATGCAGAGATGAAATCTCCGCACTCAGCATAACACGCACCAATCACACGCAGGGGCATACACAAGACAGGGGTCAAGGGTTAAAGGGCACTGACAGCACATGGACTTGGAGTGCGAAACGGAGATGTGTATTAGGAACGAGGGCAGAGATGTCGGGTTTAAAGGGGGCTGCGTGCGTTCGGGGTTGGTTTTAGGAACGAGTGTGGCTGTGGTTTGAAGAATAAAAAAGTGCATAACCAGTCTCCGACTCCTCTTCAATAGTAACGCAGTTGCAACAATACAGTAGATCCTTTAAACTGAATCCAGAAGTTCTGACCACTCTGCACATCAATGTACATTTGTATGCATGCACAGCGCATGCTTGCACAACTCAAATGCTTTTCCATCGTTCGCATAGTCTTTTAAGTTTGCTGTAAATCACAGTAGTGCATGCAAAAAGATGAATTTGTTCTCATATAAAAGTCAACAGTTAACTTATGCTAACCTTTCTCAAGGGCACATGCATGCATACACGTATGCATATGCAAAGTAAACACATTCTTTCATGCAGGAACAAATTCAAAGAGAATCCAACGGCGCAATCACCAGAAGCATTGAGTGGATGTAATGCATATCGCACAGAAGAACTGAAATTGCGTCAGCACATATTTGAAGCAAGCCAGTCGCACACGGTTTCCCAGGCTCATCATTTTAACTTGGAGGCACATGCTCCTCCATACTAATAACTTAAGTTTGGTACAATTACAATGGTTTGTCAATCCGCGAGTGTTAATCAAGGGGTTTTCTTCAGCACATTGGGTCAGCACAGATTGTTGAAGGTGGAGACCCAAAATGAAATCGGACACAGTAATACCCCGGTTTACATCGGGGATGCGTTCCTGGAAGATGCAATGACGAATATCTAAATGGCGTAAATCAAAGCGATCTACAGGGAAGGTGGAGGCGACGGCCGAGGCAACGGACATGAGAAAGGACGGACGATGCTGTCAGCGACGTAATTGTGGGATTGAGGCGACGCAAATCAGGTAGTGTCATTGATAAAGTGATGACGTATTTACAAAATAACATAAAAGGGGGAGAAGTTAATATTATTGTATCACTCGATGTTGGCCGTGGCGGTGAACACAAACCAGTATCGCTGGGTTCATAGTGCAGTGCGCCATTGTTCAAATAAATGTATCCAAAGCAGGAAGTGCAAAGACCATGTTAAGTTTGACCACCCCAACCATTCAATGTGCAAGGCTAAAAATCCAATCCACTTTGACATTGCCCCCACCAAAGGTTATTTATGACTTTCCCCAATCCACAGCCTTCTTTCCTTACCAGAGCACGTCCGTTTGTCAGGCTGTAGCTTCATGAGGTGTGGACAGGCACAGGCAGCTGTTCGGTTGTAGTTGATGAGGCAGTGATGAGAGCACGGACCTCTGCCCCCATTGTCTCCACATGGATTGTTGGCTAGACAAGAATATAAAATTGGACAGGGATGAACTCGCGCGCGCGTGTGCACACATTCAGTGTTTATTATATTCGTATGCGATAAAAGTGTCTTCTCAAATTCATATATATATACCAGCAATAACCTGACTCTCAAAAATATGAAAGAAATTGAATTAAAAATGCAGCTTCTGCACAAAGATCTTACATTATTTTACTTCAGCTGAAAAATGTTTCACTCCACACATTCAGTTAACCATCATGCAATGTATAAACCTGAACTACCATCAGCATTTTCAAACCATTTCTCTTATGGACTGATATATCAATTTATAGTGCCAAATTAGTACGGTTGAAAACGTACAAATGCATAAAACAAAATTGCTTCAAATACTATGCAAGATTTTAATGGCCGTTAAAATTATCCAAACATCGACACGAACAACTACATACACCAAGAACAGGAATAATGTTGTGTTTAAAATAACTTCACAATCATGTTTTAAACACGTATAGCATATATTTTAAAGATTAACATATTATTCAAAGTCTCAATAAATAATGACTTAGTGAGGCAAACTAATGTCTCGAGCCAGTGAATATTCCTGTCGGCCTAGGTTACCTACTTGTTTACCCCTACGATATTTTGATATTAGAATGAATAACGAAAAGAAAACCAAAATAAGCATACAATGCAAGAACATGATCCTATATTATACTTGATGCCAAAACGGCAAGTGTAGACTAAAGCATTTCAAATGTGTTGATGTTACAGGGACGTATTTGCATGTGTTTTTTTATTTGTCAGACATCGTTTCTTAGTGATGATTGCAAACAATTTAGCTTCGGGATTAACAGCACTACCCAGGCATTTTATTTTGGGAACATAAATACAACGAAAGAAAAACTGTTTACTTTTTTTGGGCTTTTACATCAAAGAATATTGTCAGCATAGTTGTATCATGGCATAATATCGCTGTACACTTCACTATGATGTTTATTTACATTTATGGTAATAAACATAACAGTTTACGATTATTGTCAAGCAGCATACTTAAGTCTAATTACTTTTTCATTGTAACATCTACATATCCACACCTCGTCTAACGCAACTGCCATGAGAATACTTGCTTGTGATAATGTTCTATTTGTTGTTTCTGTTTGAAGGAGCGTATGTGCAAATGTGCAAACAAAATAATAACTATAGACCTTCGTTCATACACTAACACAAGACAACAACAACAACAAACAACAAAGATCCCACGTATAGCGTTAGCAGACTGTTGGAGCAAGTGATGTTAGCGAGCACCTATGAAGGCCAGAAAGACACACAACAACAACCGCCATTCACCACTAAGTGGCGGTGACGTCACCACGTCGCTTGTGCCGCACACACACACGTACACCCCTTAAATTTACCCGTCCTTAGATGGGCACTATTTTGGAGGCAATGGTCCCCAGGCATTATCCAAGCGCCACTATTTTCTACTGCATCCTGCTAGCCTTAATAGTGGCTCACCATAGCACCTGTTCCAACAATCTACAAAGGCAGTTTCCGCCTTGTGCGTGCGTGCACACATATATATATAAGAGCAGAAACCATGGCGCGCGCTAGCGACTCACCCATCGGCTGCCGAGTTGGATGGAAGACGTGCAGGTCGAAGGGCTGCGTGTTGGTGCGCTGCACCACCGTCACGTTTTGGCCCGTCCACTTGTTTGCACGCACCAGCGTGTTGGTGCGCCAGTCGGTCCAGTACACCTCTCCTCCAAAGAGGGTGACGGCGAAGGGGTGCGACAGAAACTCGTGGCCCCGCAGCACCTCAATGAGCTCCGTGCCATCGTACAGGGCAGAGTAGATGGAGTCGGAGCTGTTTCGTGTGTTTGCGGGTCAAGAGGGAGAGGATGCATTGTGAGGTGGTGGCATAAGGCGGGGTACACCTCCTGACTTATAAAAGTCAGGGTTGGTGGAACATGCAGAGAAGGTGCTGCAATGTTTTATCGGGCGCCTGCCTGTAAGGGACAACAAAAATAAGCCCACGTTCCTTGTCGAATTTGCTCATATGATGTAGTTCGTAGACTGCCATGGTAAATAGCAATAAGTCAGTGATTTCCTGAGTATGAAAATTCAACATTCCTATCGCGCAGGCCAACCAATGTTGACTTCACCACAAAGTGGTACACATTTTTAATTGACCCCGGAGAAATGATGGGCTCAGTCAATCCTCACACAAAATTGAACCTTGCGACCTTCATTCAGATTGCGAGCCACTCGCTGTGCCTGCGGAGAGCCATCTGGCTGCTTATCCATCTACACATACACATGTACAGCCCTTTATGTCTATCCACTGCTGGATGAGGGATTCGCCACACCTTTGGGGTTATTTGACCATACTTCATCAAACTGGTCAATGTGGGCAGTGCATAGATTGGGGGAGTAAAAGCGTACGGTATAACAATGGATTTTAAAGCACTGCTCTATGTTGCTGCATAATCCCACAACATGGTCACTCATCCAAACACGATCCAGCTTCTGAAATCTGATAATAAAAGTAATGTACATGTGTATTTCAAAATGTAGGTCTAATTTTTATAAATGAACCTTGCTAATGTTATCATTTACAAAGAAGCTTAATCATACTCTTATTAATCATAAACTTGTTATAAAAAATATATTTTGCTGGCTATTTGGCTGTCTGGCTGGTAGGACGGACAGACAAGTCCAAAGGACGTGTGGCTGCTAGTTTTATATAAAAAAAATGTTTACATGTCATCCAAATGTTTTCCGTGTAATGACAATTATATAATGCGTTTGAATGTGTACTATATATACACACACACGCACATTTAATACTACATTGAACATTGATACACACTTTTTAAGGTAACTATGACATATCACTGTCTGAATACGCCACAAGCGAAGATGGATTGATTATAATCCACCAGTACAGCTGTGAAAGTGGCCTTCCTTCAAAACGTAATGACTTTTTGCAACATTTAAAATTAGCTAGTTAGAATTTCCCAATGTTAATGACGCGATGACATTGACATGTTTAAATGCAGACTACTTTAATGAGCAAGATTAATTTTAAAAATAGCTCCTGAAAAAAGTCTAACTCTTACAGATATGTGACTATTCCATGATAGTGTTTCTGGCATCGTAAAACCAAGTACAGTGTATGGCAGTAGTGTGTTAATGCACGGCTCATAGGTTGGTGGGAAAGGACTTAAAATTAGGCATACCACAAAAAACTCCACGTGCATGCACACCTTAGCTGCAAGCCAGATTTAGAAATAGCATGACTGACCGAATACATTGCTTCCACATTAATACACAGCGTGGAGTCAGGGGAAACTCAAAAGTGCCACGTGCTCTCTAAATCTCTTAAGTGTCTTTCTAAAAATGTTCAAAGCATTCATACTTATCGGGAAGAAAGCTCCGTTTCATCTCGCACTTAAAAGAAACGTGTCCTTAGGGTGCCTACCACTGCCACCCTCTTCCCATGCTCCCACATTGCACGTCCCACTCTCTCCACCCAAACCACCCACCTCACAACTCCCTTGTCAATTGCAGTGCTACAAACGTTGTGACAACGCTGAAGAGAGACAACAGCTGCAGACATCAAGGAACTCTGTCAATAATCGCCAAGCAGAGTGAAAATACTTGTACCCATGAGCTGGTCCAAGAAGCAGGTAATTTTTTTTTTTTACATTTCCCACACTTCCTACGTGGCATATTGTGTAGATAGCTTAATTGTTAGCACACTCCTCAGAGAGCCAGTGTGCATATGCTTGATGGTTCAACTTTCTCATTGATACATTAATATATGAAGAATATTATAAAAAAAATATTATTTCTGCAAAATAATGGGATGTAAAAAACATCCACTTCTCCTTTGGATAAACAAAATAAAAGGGGATATTTTAGATTCCATCAATTTACAAAAGTTACACCATTGCAAGCCATGCCATTTTCAATACCTTCAAGTAAAATATATGACCACAGTTAATTGTAAGCCCATATACATGCAGACATCATTGATACGTATTTTTTAAATAAAATGTTACGGGTTTAACTTGGCCACTGTCACAATGCAATGCTTGATATTATTAAAATATCGGATACAATGAAGACCCCGAGCATAAATATAAAGCAGAAAAAAAGGTTTGTTTCAGTAGTTTATCTCTGAGAATACACCATATGCATGGCTGTTTGTTGACTCCAAACCTCCTGTCAACTTTTGCAGACAGGCCAATATTCTCCTGAGTTACGATTTGAAGGCACTTGACCAGTGTGGAGCTGAAGAGAAGCATAGTTTTACCAAGCCTTGCGAGCGAGACCACACGGTTGTTTTTTTCGCATTCCGAGCTGACAACATGACTCAAGAGTAACACGTTACACATTTCCCACAAGCCACATGAAACTTCAAGGTCAGCAAGATCAAGGGTGCCACTCGACGGCTTTGGAAAAATTGAGAGGAGACAAATCACAATTAATTGTGCCTTGTGCTTAGAGAGCAACTAAGGGCTCCACTGCCACTAATTGAGTGTTTTGTCAATAACCAGGGGGCTTCAGTCCCCCCCCGTTTAAATTATATCAACAGGCTGAGTTTGAGCCATGGCTGTTAAGTGGTAAGAACACACATTGAAGGCTGAATAGGTTAATAGAACTAATAAATCAGTGGCCTCACATTGCGGAACTAGATTTAGGACAGTGAAGAAATATATTAATCAGTTCATTGATTATTTGGGTTCACTCGACTTGGGCAATGTGGGATGTGCATTATTGGGTTTTGGAATCAAGGTCAGACAAATCAGAGCTCTAATACATTCATATGGACACGCTTTGAGAATAAGTAATACTCAAGCAGCTTTCGCATTCTTTAACAAAGTGAGATTTCAATAAACAACAAGCCCACACTATTTAAAAGCCAGTCTCTTTTTAAATTGGATTCTCCATCTCAATAGATGTTGATCTGTGTAGTTCAATGATCTATTCAGCCATAGGACATTACAGGCCAAGTGGAAGAGAGTTAAATTTCGATTTAAAGCTTTCGTGACTGCAGGGATTCATCTTCTTGATTCTTTCAGTAAAGTAACGTAGAATGGAAATAATAAAATAATAAAAGTAAAACATAATAAAATAATTCTCACGACGTTTCGGCCACAACGCAAGCAGCCGTCCTCAGGTGGAGAATAGGTCTGTCGAGAAGACAGAGCTCCAAGCCTGGGGTGTGTCATTCAGACTGTCTTCTCGACAGACCTATTCTCCACCTGAGGACGGCTGCTTGCGTTGTGGCCGAAACGTCGTGAGAATTATTTTGTTTTATTTTTATTATTTTATTATTTCCATTCTACGTGACTTTACCGAAAGAACCAAGAAGATGGAAGAGAGTTAATAACAAAACACACGAATGCATTTTATGAAGAAATTTTATGAGAGAAAAAGTGTGCACTATAACAGAATTATCAGCACTATGTACAAGCAGGATTTGTGACTCATGTAACGATCATAATGCACATGCGCCTTCCAAATACAGAATAACCAAGCTGCAGTACCACAAAGTAGAATACTGTGCTATCTATACAGATTGTTATATTAAATAGCATTCCTTATTAATATGATTGGGTTTTCTCTGGGTATTAAACTTTTCTCCATCATGAACAGGGTATTCAAAATTTGATTTGGCCAAGCATCCCCACAGCAGGTCCTTCCTAAAATAAATTCTAGATTTCATCTTATTCTTGCGTATGGCAATACCAAAAATACACGCAATTACAGTCCTATGGTGACTCAGTTCGAGTCAGCTATTGTACCTTCTAACTCGAACTAGAAATGTTGCAGCGCTCATTTCCATTGGTGGCCCTCAGCAAAGTGCTTGGAGCTGCACATTACCATTACAGGAACCACGACATTCATAGGATGACCACTATTGGCTTCCCACAAAGTGGTACTTATTCTTAGGTTTTTTCGGTTAAGTCACGTAAGTAAAACATCAAAATAAAAATAAAATAAAAATAAAAATCACGACGTTTCGGAGGCAACACAAGTCTCCGTCATCAGGTGGGACCGTCACAGCCGAATTAGCTGCATCAAGTGAAGCAATGATTCAAGATCTTGAATCATTGCTTCAAGATCTTGAATCATTGCTTCACTTGATGCAGCTAATTCGGCTGTGACGGTCCCACCTGATGACGGAGACTTGTGTTGCCTCCGAAACGTCGTGATTTTTATTTTTATTTTATTTTTATTTTGATGTTTTACTTACGTGACTTAACCGAAAAAACCTAAGAATATGAATCTTTGCAGTCACGAAAGCTTCAAATCTAGAATTAAAGTGGTACTTATTTATTTTTGCCACTGAAAAATTATTTAACTCCCTTAACAAATATATTAATTCACAACCTTCTGATCGTCACGTGTTCCAACCACATTGTCACATGCCCATGTGATGCTTACCTGGGTAAATAACGACTCTCATTAAATGGATGCTGGTGGAGTAATTTTTTGCACAGTGGACTTGCAATTGAGAGGTTGCGAGTTTGATTCAACCCCTCCCAATACATCTCACCAGCGTAAAATAGTAGGTTAAATAACCTCAAGAGCAGTGTTCCTCATTGCAAGGCCCGCGGGGCACTGGCGGCCCCTGGTGGCCTTTAGTCCGGCCCCTGACGTACGGTCCAGAAAGTACACAACACGTGACAACACCACCCATCATCGTGCTGCTGTCAAACCACGTGGTTTCAATTTGTGGCGGCCCTCACACTGATGATGTCTTATTGGCGAAAGTGGCCCCCTCTATGAAAATTAGTGAAGAACACTGCCCTAGAAGATTCTCAAGAGCACCCCTAGTGGAGGTCCTTCCGCCAGCAGCAGAGCGAGAAGGCAAACTGCAGGGCTGCACCTTCACCCTCGTCACACTTTGCCTCGAGTGGAATGTATTGCGATTCCCACACACACGTACCGGGCATCTATCCACATGATGCGGTTCTCCAGGTAGTCTACGGTGAGGCCGTTGGGCCAGCCTCCAGCTCCCATCTCATGGTGGATGACGTGCCGCCCTGTGCCACTCATGGAGATGGCCTCAATCCGGGGAAACGACGAATCCCAGTCAGTCCAGAAGAGAATCCTGCGAGGCGGACATAAGCACTGGTGTGGAGCTGGGCGCGGCGGATATATCGTCTTAACCTTTATCGAGAGTGCACTCTTGCTACCGTGTCACTGTTAACCTTATCAATACGATGACAGAGGAATAGCGACAAAAATAAAAGGGAGCAATTGTCATGGCTGCCGCAATAGAACACTGTTATTAGGTAGGTGCTTGTAATATCCCCTTATTTTTCAATAAAGTGCATTTGGTTTCTTTATCAAATGTCGAGGTATTATTACCAATTAAGTTATAGAAAAAATCAATAAAAATGTGAGCATTTTGAGTTTTTTCAATTTCTCCACATGAAAAACATATTAACGCTGAATGTGTATATGTGTATATATAACCAACATACAGATGCGACTATTGTTCAATAAAATACAAACCTTTGAACACATCTAAGAGCATGTCAAATCAATAAAACCAAGTAAACTGTACATGAAGGCACAACTACTGAAAATAATATCCTTATACATATCTTCAGTTACGACTATGAAAGCACAAAGGTTAAAAAAGGCGGTTGTACATAACTAAGAACCTGGCAACAGTGTTCTTACTACTTGGGAGTAAACTTTTCCCGGATTCAACATATAAGCGATTAATCTAACAATAACATTCGCTGGCCTCTGTAAAAAACGACTGACAGTAGATGGCAACTTTATATAACGGAAGCAGAACATAAGCTGGGATTTTCGTCTGGGATGTGACCTAATGAACGACTTTCTTTGTTCTGATAAGTTGTTGTTGTTGTTTGCACTTTTAGTTTTGGTGCCCTTTCTTTATTTGTGTATTCATTTTTTATTTTGCTTGGTAACAGGGTTTTGAATTGCTTGTATGTTGAACTTCTTTCGCACCGTACGTAGCCAACCATGCTCATCGGCGGTGCTTGGTAGTGGCTGTAAATGGGATTTCGTCCTTATATAGAAATAATGTACAACGTTATGAGCATGAATGTCGCGATATAAAATTCAAGTATTATTATATCGCCCAGCATGTGGAGCAAAACGTCGGACATCATGATAATTGGTTTCTTACCCTTTTTTCTGGCAACAAAACTGACACCTTTTTTACAAGGAGTCATGTTTGCATTGACCACAATACCTGCAGTCGGAATGCAAACAAAAAAAATAATCAATTTCAAGGACCAATCAATTTCAAGGACAGTGCATACATTATCAGAGTTATGTTTTTTTTTGCATTCCGACTGCAGGTATTGTGGTCAATGCAAACATGACTCCTCGTAAAAAAGGTGTCAGTTTTATTGCCAGATAAAAGGGTAAAAAAACAATTCTCATATTTTACTACTGGCAAATGAGGTTCCAATGGTGTCGGACATCATGGCGTGCAGCACGCAACAACAATCCAAAGACGCATCGTGGGGGGTGGAGGCGCTCGTACCCGTATCGAGGGTCAAGCGCGATGGCGCGCGGATGCTCGATGCCGCCCGCCACCAGGGTGCTGCGCATGGTCCCGTTGAGTAGCGCCACCTCGATCTGGTCCAGGTTGCTCTCAACCCAGTAGATGTTGCCCGCGATCCAGTCCACGGCGAGTCCCTCCGGCGTGGCCAGCCCGTGCTGCACCACCACCTCCACGCTCGTCAGGCCTGCGGGTCGTGAGCGGTGCAACACGGGGCTTGATGTTGCGGACGAACAGACGCAAATGTGGGCCATACGATGGGGGCCCTCAACTCAGGCTGAATGTTTATTTGAAGGACCTGTAAGAAATTACTTTCTTTGCTTAGGCTGTTAAATATTTAGTAGGCGTGTAATGGAAAACCAATCCCATCCATTATCACCATGAGACTTGATCAATCAACTGCTTAACTGATCCGAAATTATTCTTACGCTCACAATACATGCATCAGATCGTTTGTACCAAAGTGTATTACTTAATAGTCGGCTAATTTTACGTAAATGCTACCATTAGATTAATATGATGCATGAGACGGCACAAATAAGTCACAAAATACAAGGCAGACAATAGATAAATGAAGCAGTACAAAATAGACTAAAGGAATTGATTATTAATTTGAATCATGATCCCAATTTGAGACAATTCATTGAATCGCAAGGGGGTGAACAATTACATGTATTTTTCAGGCCTAGCATTATCAGGCTCATTAGAGGGATTATTGGAACTCACAGATGATAGTGTTTATTGGAGCTAAAATGCCCCCATCACTATAGAGGTTTTAATAATTGAAATCCCCTCAAATTGTGAAGAAAAAAAATCAAAGATTGTTATTTCCCAAGAGTGTTTTAGTGACAATGCATATTAATAGAGTATGTTCAAAATATGTACTTAAAACACCCTCACACGTGCATTTTAAGGCAGTGTTATCAACACGTGTGTTGTACTTACTGCCGTTTATGCTTGTGCGCCACTGCCAACGCAGTATCACCAAATAATTTGCTTACGGTTTAAAATATAGGCATAATTTACACATTTATTTCATTTAATGGAATGCCACCGCCAATCATAAGCAACCCTATTCGTTACTAACACAACCTACATCTTAGTAAGACGAACACCAAAGCAATTGCTATTCAACACCAAAACATTTCTGACAAATGTTCTTCGTTGGGGCTAACTGCAACTGTGACCTTTAAATTCTTTATCACATTTATTTACAGGGGAGACAACATTTACGCCAAATTGGGAAGACGCGGACAAAGAGTGGCCTCTTTGAGACTCTGTGATAGGCGCAAGGTTAACTCCGAGAGTGAATGTACACTTTCTTAATATTCCACGTGCATGGCTGGGTTAAGGATTGTGTGGACCGTGACCGATTACCAGGCAACACACTGCATTCTGATGAGCAAACCCAGTCATTAGTCAATTTTATTTAGGTATTGAGTTTTAGATTCATGCATGTACTCACAGACAAGTAAAACTATTTAATTTCTTTGGTAAGGAGAAAAGATAGTTAAATTGAGGCGGGAATGAAATAAGAACTAAGCAGATACCTCGCATTGAGTGTACTATTATGTTTGCACTACTTCGTTGAATGTGAATTGTCTCTTATCCTGCCTCATGATGACAAAATGTAACTGCTTAAACTCACGAACAGACATACATGGGAACATACACTTTTAAAACAATAATAACCTTAAGTTAATGTTATTTTAATACAAAAAAGAAAATAGTATATACGTAGACCTAAAAATACATCCAGGTGTATAATAGAGATAGGAAACTTGAGAATAGAATATGAACAGTAAGCACATTTGCCATGATAACGTGGATATAATAATTCGACAATTATAACATAATACTAATAATAAAACATTTAATTGTATGAATGGAAGTGCAAGCACTGGCTTTAAGTGGTTTGAACACTATGCGCAGATAGTACACGTTCTAATTTATAACTCTCAAAACATTTATTCTGTGGTTCTTTCAATGAAAGCTACGAAGACAAAAGATTAAAAAAATAATCACTTTATTTTTTATTATTTTTTTCTATCTACTTGACTTTACTGAAAGAACCATAGAATGTGAATTTCTGCAGTCACGAAAGTTAAGTCAAATCTTTAAAAAAAATGTGGCCATTCCTCACACAGATATTAACTGTGCGGGCAATAAAAAGCAAAACCTCAGTGTGATGATTCATAGAGTTCAATCAAATTTTCGCGGAGTGATTTACCCAAACAGGTCACAATAAACTTTAAAATTGGGCACAGCTGCAAGCTCCTGGGCACATATCCAGTCGCAGTCTATCTCCACACGGGACCTGCAGTAGCAGCGGTCGGCAAAAAATAAGAAGCAGCCTCAGCACATTTGTATTTAATCTCCAGCTTAACCCTTTCTCGCTCGTAGACGTCTGCAAGTTGCGGGGTGGGTGCCCGTTCACCGCTGAATCTCGGAACGTGCAAGCAACTCAGCCTAAATTTTATTTGGAGAGGCATAGCGCCGTTGTTTTTAAAAGACATTGTACTCACCACAGTGAACTGTAGAGACATGACCGCACTCTACGATAGCTGGTGCCAGACTCTGTCACATGCCTGCATGGTCTTGTGGGAGCCTCGGCATTGATAAAGTTATTTTATCTTAATTTTTCTTCCGGTTCCGTTCCGGAATGGGCAAGGGGTAAGCGCATGAACTCGGTGAACCCATGGGAGTAGCAGATGGCGCGAGCGCAGGGTGCGGACGGGCCGCGAGGGCGCCAGGTGCGGAGGGAGGGCACTAACCTCCCGTTTCGGAGAGCTTCCCGTGGTAGATCTTGTCCTCCACAACGTCGGTCCAGTAGAGGGAGCTCTGATTGAGGTGGAAGTCGATGGCGATGGTGTTGCGGAGACCCGGCACCAGGACGTTGTAATCGCCCTTGTGCAGGTCGATGCGCCGGATCTCGTGGCGGTTGGAGAATATTATGAAAGGGACGAAAGGGTCTGCGGGCGGCCGTACCACACGAATGGGATTCAGAAGTGGCACGCGAGCAGCAGAAGATGAAAGCGATGGCACGCGACGGCAAATCGGAAGAAAGAAGGCGCATCGAATGTTGATATTAAATTTGAGATGAAAGTGGACCGTATTATGTATTAAAAAAAGAATACCAAAGAATTGCAATTTTAGCAAATAATATGCAAACAAAATTGCGAGGCAGTGAAATAGTCTTCCCGAGTTGCCTGTCTGTACATACTCCCTTCACATTCACTATTTAATGGTTGATTAAAGTTTCAGATGCCAGCTCTTTGAAATACAGGGAGCTTGCAACCTTCAAAGTGATAGTCTTGCTATCACTCAGCCTATCAAAATTCATAGCATGATCTCTTAGCAATGTCATTTGCTTGGAATAAAAGGCAAAGTGTGATGACATGAAAACAAATAGAACGCACATACATTTTTTGAGAACAGACGAGAAAGCCGGGTTACTGTTTCATTTAAATATTTGTCTCAAACTCTAAAGTGTCTCAATCAGTTCAGCACTAAAATAGCCATTTGCGCTTCGCACAACCAGCATAAAAATATATTTGATGGATACTAGCCGCTTAATTTTTGAAAGGCAAAAGCACAGAAGCTGATAAGCGGCTCATTGCAATGACACTGAAAATCATGGCTCATGCCACCAGACGCAACGAGGCATTTTTATCACTTTTCCCACTGCTCCCGCTCAAGTTATCATCTCGCTCACCAAGGCTCTGGCAATTCTCCCCGTCAGGCATCAGCATCCAGCCGTCATAGCAGCCGCACTTGACGATGCTCTTCTCCTGTTCGCAGCGCTGGCTGCAGCGGAGGTGACGGGCGCAGTAGTCCATGAAGTCGCAGCTCTTCTTGTCCTTCCCCAGCTGCATGCCACTTGGGCACGAGCACACCACCCCTTCGCCCGGCGCCACGGTGCAGTTGTGCGTGCAGCCCCCATTGTTCACCTGGCACTGGTCTGTAGGGAAAACAAGGGAGGGCCCACCGTCAAAAAAGTGAGAGCTTCTCCACGTTCTCTCCGAGTGAGGATGGCACGGGTTTTTTTTGTGTCATCTCCATATTTTGAGGTGAGAATTCTGCATTCCTCTGGCATTGGGGGGAAAAAAACAGCATCTGTGTTGTTATTCTCTGTATAGTACAATGTTGCTTTATCCAACCGGACCAATGAACCGCCCCCACACCCAGTGGAGTATTTGTGCATGCTGTAATGGGGATTTTTATACAAATGCTCATGAATCCGACCATATCACATGCAGTAATGAATTCTCGATCTTGCCAAAAAGTCACTTGTTTCAAAAGTACCGTTATGCATGTTCCCAAGTTTGCGGTTTAATGTTGTCCACTCGCCCTATACTGTATGTGAATGGAGGAAGCATCACTTTCTATAGATGTTCACATATAACCGTCTCCTCAGTCACCATGGAGTCACACATGTGTGACGTACTGCACCGTAAACCTAGACTCTTGATCAGTTATTTTACAGTCTGCTGTAAGATGCAGAGAAATCCCAGAAGCTTCATTGTAGCCAGAGAAAAAGTTGAAAATTGAAAGCAAATGTGCAAAGCATCTAACACTGCATGAAGGATAAAAATTGCATAAAGTTTTTGAAAAAACCCAAGGAACTGATTACCATGACATACAATGTAGTAAAATGCCATAAAAATAGCTTTTTTTGCTAAGTAATAACTTGATTTAAAGCTTTCGTGACTGCAGGGATTCATATTCGTGGTTCTTTCGGTAAAGTCACACCTGATGATGATTGCTTGTGTTGCAGTCGAAACGTCATGATAATTTTTATTGTTTAATATTTTTATTATTGTATTATTTCCCTACTACGTGACTTTACCGAAAGAACCAAGAATATATAAGTAATAACTTATTCATAGAAATTTTGACAAAGGAAAACAACACTGCATGCATAGCAAATATAAATCTACATTACCCATTGGCAGATTAACTAGGCTGGTGAAAAATAAATAAAATATCTTAAGAGAGCACTCAATTAATTATTCGCCACTCCTCACTTGTTTAGGGTCAGTGACTCGTGCCCACATGACATAAACATGTCAAGTTATCGTTAATAAAAACAGACCGCACATCTTTACCTTTATTCTACTGAGTTGAGGAAGAAATGTATGTTTTTTTAATACTAAATTGCATATGTTTGGCATTTGCCATGTTTTTATTTCATCTGGACCACCTCTCCCCCCCCCCCCCCCATTTTCATGGATGACAGAGAATTGACTGTGCAAATGTGAGCTAAATATAATTTCGGCGTTCAACACGCAAAGTGCACGGACGTCAGAATAATGTTGGCTTTTCAGTGAGAATGTCTGCGGCTGAAAAGGCAATTGTTTTCTTAGTTTGTTGAGCAGCATGCATACTGTGCCAATGGAAATTCTACCAAAATCCTGCCATGTATAAATCTCATAAATATATAAACCAGCTGAGAATGTTCTTCCATATATCGATTGTTAAAAAAAAAATCACTAATTTCAGATATAAAATTACATTGTGCAATATAACAAAATGAATTGAAACAAAGTGACTCGTGTTTTGAAAACAGTGCTACGGCAGATTTAAAGCTTGGGTGGTCTCGAGGTCCAGGCTGCTTGATATCAAATATAAGATTTTAACAAGAAGTGTGTAGCAATCTCCCCAGGGAAAACACTGAAAAAATACAGCAACATATTAAAATGATTCTCAAAGGACATTCCGTCTGCTCGCCTGTGTATGCAAGAGCTCATCATGGATTTCACAAGCAGGCCATTTGCTGCCCATTTTCTGCAATTATTGTGGCCAAGCGTGCCCACAAATTATCGTACAATTGCGCAAAATTCCTCACCAGAGGGTTCAACAAAATGTTGTTCCAAGCAAGTCTCTTACAGCCATATTGTTTTTAACATCAGGGCACAACCAACATAGATTTATTTTAAAGCACAATTATGCAAGAATTTCCATGACTAACTAATATCAACATCAACTGCTTATTTATCAGAGCATGCTATACTGTTGGTGCAACAGGAGGCAAGGCTGTTGGTATGTAGATTAGTGTTCATTAAATAGTAACAGAGCTGACCTTTAAAAGATAAAATGGCTGTAAATAAGACAAGTAATTGGCTTACTGCTGGCTTAGGACTTATAAAAAACTCCAGTGTTAATTAGATAATGGTTTCACCAGGGGGCATGCCAAAATATTAATAATAACTCAGTAGTTGAAAGTTTGCCGTTAATTCGGTGGCATTAATTCCATAGCACAGCTTAAGGACTTGAACTACATATTATTTACATTCAAGATAAAAAAAAATACATTGCGTGATCAAACACCGTCATGATACATATGTATTGAATAACCTGGGACAAACATTACTTTGGAATCTTAGCTAATCATAAAATGGAAAAGTATATTTGGAGTTAACCCTGCTCGTACATAAAATATGTGCAAAGATAGAGCTAGTAAAATCTTACAACTCATTTTTATAACCTTTGAACTGCAAAAGACAATATAAATGTTAACCTCATCAAGTTTGGAGCAGTTGCACAGTGCTTAGCACACTGCGTTCTGAGTAGCGCGATCCAAGTTTGATTCCTGGCCATGGCCAACATGTACCTTCAACCCATCGTGACCAGTGTGGTCAACGCAATCCATGACCTGACACAACTTGAGGAGGCCTTCAATCAGCAATGGGTTACACAAACGGCTGTAGGCATTGTTTTTTTTACATCTCAAACAAATAACCAATATAATAAACATGCTAGCACGGCTCTGGCCTCTCTATGTATTCGTTATAAAGTAGGGCATTGTTCAAAGGTTGTCTACGATATACTTTATTTATTGTAAGGCAGTGTTTTTGACAAAAAAACATTTTTGTTTTGCTATAACGATTTAACCATGAGGAAGATACATTCATTATGCAGACGCTATCAACATACAATTCAATTCATTATTATTAACAATCTTATTTAGGAATCACCAACACTGTTTGCATGACATTACATTAATATTAGCATTCTACCAGCATGTCCATATACATCATAGCCTAAAGTTGTGTGCCTTGCATTTCTAAAAAAGTTTAACGATGTTGAAGTGTGAAGGGGCTATGCCTTGACACTGCATTTACATCCAATGTGCCAATGCATTCAGACTTTAGAGGTAAAAATATCATATCAGCATGACACAGATAGTTCACCAAGGGTGAGTGCCAATCATACATCAAAATACTGGCAGGTGTATGTTAGATAATGCTTGGAATAAAATATGGCAATTGCATATGATTATTTCATTATCTAGAGTTAATAATGTTGTGTTACAAATGAAGTCAATCTTGATTTGAAGCTTTCGTGACTGCAGGGATCCATACTCTTTGGTTCTTTCGGTAAAGTCACGTAGGTAGACAATAAAATAAATAAAATCACGACGTTTTGGGCGCAACACGAGCGTCCGTCATCAGTTGGGACAACCACAGCAAGAAACAATTGCTGAAGTGAGCAAAAGGGCTGCGGTAACAGGAGGCTATAGAGGTGAGAGAGGGGGGAGGGAGCAAGGGGGGAGAAATAGAGAGGGGGGGTGGGGTAGGGGTAGGAGAGTGCTGAAGTGAGCGGGGCTGGGAGTGGGAAGCTGAAGAAACTGGAGATGTGGAAAATGAAAGCAACACTCATTTATATGATCCTGGATTAACAAACAAAAATAAATGCAAGTTTAGCAACTGCATCAATAACAAATATATACAATAACCAGAAATTGTGTTTTTTCTGTGGCCACTGCATGACAGGATGTGATGATCTACTTTGCTGTGTGAATGTTGCAATGCAATTTCTTTTCCTGTCGACAGGATGTGAGAAGATGAACGGTGATACAATTTGTGGCAACAGAAATAATACGTGAAAATAACATAAATCCATCGATCAACATTAAGTATAGCCGAGCAAAATATTTTTTTTATCATGATGATCTTTAACCTGGCCGTACATATGACTGCACAAGACCTATTTTGAATGGGTGACCTTAGCTTTGCCCGAGGGCAAGCACTGGCCCCGTGCCTCCTGCCGTCAAGCTAACACGTACCGCACAGCATGCCTTCGTCAGAGCCGTCAGGACAGTCGCTGTGACCATCGCACAGCTTCTTGGGTGGCAGACAGATGCTGGAATCGTTGGCGCAGGAATGGGAGGGTGGCTTGCACAGCATGGTTTCGCAGCCCTCCTCGTCAGAGTTGTCCTCGCAGTCATTGTCACCATCGCAGAACCACGTCTTGCTGATGCAACGGCCTGTGGAGACAAAACTTGCTTAACCCTTCGATTTAAAGCTTTCGTGACTGCAGGGATTCATCTTCTTGGTTCTTTCGGTAAAGTGACGTAGAATGGAAATAATAAAATAATAAAAATTAAACATTATAAAATAATTATCACGACGTTTCGGCCACAACGCAAGCAGCCGTCCTCATTCTACGTGACTTTACTGAAAGAACCAAGAAGTTAATTAACCCTTTCACCGTTCTGAGACGTCTGCATGTTGCAGGGTGGGAGTCCTGTTCACCGCTGAAGCTCTGAACGCGCAAGCGGTCAGCGTCAATTTTTATTTAGCGAGGCGTAGCGCCGTTGTTTTTAAAAACATTGTACTCACCGCAGAGAACTCGACCGACACGCCCACACTCTGATATCTGGTGCCACACGCCCTCCTATATGGCCTTGTGGGAGACTTGGTACTGATAACTTTTTTTCTTCCGATTCTGTTCCGATGATGTACGTGTACGTCATCAGAATGGGAAAGGGTTAATTGCGTTGTAAATAATATTGCAGGCTGTCAAGACCAACTGATGCCTCTGTTATCAGAGACCAAGATTGCTTTTGGTTTCCATGGCGATGCATTTTGAGAAGTTTCTTAATGCCTGGTCTACCTCTTTTGAGGTTCTGCACGAGTGCATGCAATGCATACTTGCAAAGCACTGCATATTAAAATGACAGCCCTTTTCACTCGTAACAGATATGCATGGGATTAATCTAAGCTTAGCTTGCCATTCCTCTTTGCTTGCGTGCCGACTGCGTTGGACTGAAATGTAGTGCTCTAGACGATGATCTAGTGGATTTACATGCATCACTAGACAAACACCTGCATTCTACATACATATCTTACCTAATGTAATTATTGAAAGATTTACATTATTTAAATATACAAAATTTCATCATGTCAGCAGTATACACATTGATCTGTGAGGTTTTAGTCAATGCAATGGGTAAGAATAAAATTGGTGAGAAAATCTGATTCATGACCTATGCACCTTGTACTAATATGTATTTAAAAAATCAGAATACTATTGTAATAATGTTCACATTAATACATCATTTTTGAAGATACATTCTTCCAAAAGAGATGCATCATACTCAGAATGTGTAAATTGGGAATCATAAATTCCACAAGAAAATGAATTAATTCAGTTGGGTATCTTTATCTTGAGAAAAAAAGACGACTTCTCACAAATGAACAGTCGCCCGCTCAAACGTTACTTTACGGAAAACATGTGCAAGGGGACATACTGAAAGGTTGACTTCAAATACACGAATACAATCTGATGAGAGACGGCATGACAAGGATGAGACGAGTCACATGCAGACATCCCCCGCTGCACCACGCACCCGTATCCCGACAGGAAAACTGCAACGTGGGGTCACAGGTGCGCACGACGCCATCGCACTCCTTCTCGTCGCTCGTGTCGATGCAGTCGGTGTCACCATCGCAGCGCCAGCGAAGTGGAATGCACTGCCCGTCCGCTTTGCACTGGAACTCGTCCCCGTGGCAGCCACCCGGTGGTCGGGTCGCTGGAACAGGTTGCAGAGACAAACCGTGGTGACGCGGTAGGGATAAACGGGGCGCCAGCATTCTTCGGGCGCCGACAAGGGCCGGCGCTACGCACTGGTGATGGGGGCGACTGCCCAAGGCATTTGGGCAGAGCCTAAAATAACTTCAAAATCTTGCCCCATTTGTGAAATGTCAACAGGGGCATCGCCTCGGCTCCGCCGTCTAGGACAGAGCGCTCACCCCCAGCTAACAGTTCCGATGCCTGCTGTCCGAGTTACGTAATGCAAGAAAATGATTGCTTCGTGGCCCCGTACCGAAATTGTGCTGGCACTTACTCCATGCCTATGCGATGCACAGGCAGGGCATTATTCTGATTTGGTTAAAGGAGACGTAAAGCGAAATTGAATGAAAGTGTCATACGGATAAATGTGGCAAACGCAACGCAACTTTTTCACGGAAAAAACACATGTTGCCTAAACTTCTATTGTAGTATTCAAGCGCTCCAAGGGTAAATATCCTTCAGAAGAATATAGCTTCCTCTTGCCATCACAACATTTTGAGAAAATTCAGAACGATGTTGTGGATTCTCAGAAGCTATATTATGCGATTCAAATTAATGAGAACACATGTAAGGAACTATTACATATATTATTAACCACAAAGTCATTTTATCACCATAAATGTCACAGATCATATAAAAAAAGATCTTAAGGACAACGTTTCCATTCGTAACAATGGACAAGCCAGTCCTATATCGAACGGTGCTCATAAGATACTTTTACAACAAAAAAAGTGAAAACACGAGGTTAAATAACGAATGACCAATCCAAGCACGAGCATCACATTACAGCACGGCGACCTGCGATGGAACGGCGGCCCTTGAGAGCCCTTGGCACATTGTGCTTTACCGAGCTTGGTGCAGTTGGGGTTGGTTTCATCGCTGAAGTCGCCGCAGTCGTTGTCCCCGTCGCAGGTCCAGTGGCTGGGGATGCAACGCCCGCTGTTGCACTTGAACTGGGAAATCGAGCACGAGTGGTTGCAGCCAATCTCATCGCTCGCGTCCGCGCAGTCGTTGTCTGAGGGGTGCACGAGGGGCCGACAAGAGGAGGGGGGGGGGACAACGGGGACGTGAGAGCGAGAAGGGGGCTAAGGAGCGAGCGAGCGAAGGAGAAAGACACAGGGGAAACGTAAGAAATAGCGGGAAAGATGCAGAGAGGAAGGATGTTCGAAATGCGAAAGGTGATTGGTTAGCAGTGCGGAATGCGCAGTGGGTAGAAAATAATACGAGGAGTTGTAAATAGGAACGTAGATGGAGAGGATGGACATATTTAAGATGTTTTTGAAGTCGGTGTGATAGTCGATGGTAGAAAGTGGGTGTGAATAGCCACGAGGAATGGGAGGAGATGACAGAGAAGACATGTGGAGTTGAGGAAAAGCAGGGGGGAATGTGAATGCAAGAATTGGACGTAGAAAGAGATGCTGAATGCACAAGGAGATGGCAAATCGTCAAGCTGTGAAAATGATTGACTGAGCGCAGTGCTCAGCTGGTCTTTTGGAATTGCACAGAATAATTAATATGCATCATGGGGAGGGGGAAAACTGAATTATAACACACATTAGTACCATTAATTTGTTCACGTAAAATGCTTCTGACATACATTTGAATTATTAATTTATATTATTAAGAGGAATAGCATAGATCACACGGTGTACCATGGCATCATCTACATAGTCATTTGTGGCATGAATTCCGAACACAGCATTAGTTGTAAGGCCAGACATTATATTCAAGGTAATTAAAAAATAGCTGCCGTTAGCAAAAAATTAAGTCTTTGCTTATGAAAACTAAGTAGGCTACGGAAAAACCTATAGAAAATTACATTAATTAAAAATAGAATGGCTCTTTATTAAAGAATAAGAACCATTCAATATTAATTTTGGAGCTTTCATGACTGCAGGAATTATTCTTTGTTTTTTTTCAGTAAAGTCACGTACACAGATAAAATAATAAATTAAATAATAGCATACGACGTTTCGATTGCAACACAAGCAATCATCATCAGGTATAATGAAATAGCGACATAGAATCTAACCAGAAAACTATAGACAGTCATATAAGCAGACAGATATCACCAAGATACACAGAGAGAGCAACCCAGGTACAGAGACAGAGGGGGGCGGAGGCCTCCGCCCCCCTCCGTCTATTTAAGGCCACCCCACAGAGACGATCACCCCTCTCTGTAGCTGGGTTGCTCTCTCTATGTATCTTGGTGATATCTGTCTGCTTATATGTCTGTCTATAGTTTTCTGGTTAGATTCTATGTCGCTATTTCATTATACCTGATGATGATTGCTTGTGTTGCAATCGAAACGTCGTAATATGCTATTATTTAATTTATTATTTTATCTTTATACGTGACTTTACCGAAAAAACCAAAGAATAAGAACCATTCAATATCGGTAGGGAAAGTGATTGAGGTTTGTTAATCTTCATAATCAACGTTTTTGGGTTTAGATCGCGTTATTTATAAATGTGTCGTAACCCTCCACCACCCGACACGGCCAATCAGTAAAAAAGTGTCACATTGACAAAAGACAAATAGTTCACTGCTTTAGCCCACCGGTGTGTTGAAACCACAACATTTACAATTTGAGTACGACGTTTCGCTGGTAATTGCATCCAGCATCATCGGGCAATTCGCCAGAATTTGTCTTTTGTCAACGTGACACTTTTTTACTGATTGGCCGTGTCGGGTGGTGGAAGGTTACGACACATTTATAAATAACGCGATCTAAACCCAAAAACGTTGATTATGAATAACATTGGTCGCGAAAGCCTACGTGTTAAACTGTTTATTAATCTGTTAACGCAGTGCACTGCAGAAAATGTGGAAGGTGTGGCTCCTAATTTAACAGCGTCTGACAGAAAATGCCATGCACGGTGATCTATGGACTACCGTAGAACATTGAACAGTGCTTTTCATCTGAGCCATCACCACAATCGTCATCTGCAAGACAGAAAACAACGAGGCTGGACGGGAAAAAAAAGACACGTAAATGACCCAAATAAATAAAAATTACAGAGTGTGCAAAAGACAACGGCGAGATGGAATGGAGGATCACGCGTGGTTCATCACTGAAAATATACAAGCTTGGGGTGAACACGTTTTTCATTTATTCGGATATGAAGATGATAATTTTATTTATTTAGATATATGATAATGCACATGTGCCAGCTGTGAAAATGGTGGTGGATATTATTTATGGTGTTATTAATATTCTATAACTCTTAGGCTTTTGTGATTGGTTCAATATACCATGTGATCAATGTTTTTTAAATATATATTTACCTATACAAGTAACATATGCATAATTCTTACACATAGCAGTTTTAAATATCTAATTTTGGAAACATGTGCAAGTTGCACAATGGCCAATGAGAATATAGTTAAATCTTGACTTTCAAGCTTTCGTGACTGCAGCAATTCATATTCTTTGGGTCTTTCGGTAAAGTCACGTAAAGTCACGTAGATAGGTTCTTTGAACCTATCTACGTGACTTTACCGAAAGACCCAAAGAATATGAGAATATAGTTATGGAGACTGTAATGCCCCTTAAGACTTCCTACTGAAACAAATCCTTAAAACTTCAAGCCAGCACAACCCCGCTGAGACAGACTGAGCTTCCTCCAGCACGTATAACACAAGAACAGGATACAGTGTTGATATTGCAACTGATTTAAAGCAGGAGGATTCTTTGGTACAAAGTGTATTGTTGTGGAAAATTGAACTCAAAAGTGTAACTCAACACAACTAAAACAGCTGGTTTGTTACTCTTACCCTAACTCCAACCCTTCAATACTAACAATACATGGGCATACATAAATATACAAAATCATTTCGAAATGAAAAATGTATGTCTCCATGCTCAAATATCCATTTATGCAATTGCCCTAAGCCAGCAGTAGAAATTACACATTTACCGTGATGGGGACCAGTATCTCCATGGGATATATAAATTAAATTACTAAATACAGACACAAAGGTAATGTTTACACATTTGATGGATTTCTGCGACCGCAATCAAAACCAATGGTTCAAGCAGAGGGAAACTGGTGTGACGATATTTTAAATGGCATTTTCTTTATCACTTTTAAAGCGTACAGACACACACACACGACCCCAAGCTACCCAGTCAAAGCTTTTAAAGGTAATAGGAGATGAAGCCAAGATGAGAGAGGGTAAGACATATAGATGAGACAGCAGATGGACCCCACAGCAGGGTACGAAATGAAAAGCATTGGCAAATTTACGCAGACACTAGAGAACACGTGTGTCCCCAGTGGAAGCCTAATCCTCATTCATGTATGCTGGCATTAAACCCTGATTACATGGTGTTTTTGGACCAGTAACTATTCTATAATTCTCACAATGTGCAAACAATGCCAGCTGTTGAAGCGTATTTCCTTTCGAAGACTCACAAGTCGAATCGCCTTAGCTTGATAATAATACTAGATTTTAAAATGTTTTATGAATGTATTTTACATATAGTAAAAAAAAACTGTCTGAATAAGAATGTGGGCATTCACCCACTCATCTTAGGAATTTCATTTCTGAACAACGATGTAAGAAACTGGCGCAATTTTTTTTTTAATGAGATTTGCACAATGTGTTGCACGTCATATTCGAACGACAAAGGATGAGGGGGGGAGCAAAGATTTGACGCAGCTATTTTGGCCATTATAAAATCAACTTCAGTTCCACCAGGCATGCTGCGCAACAAGCAATGTGTCACGGCTCGAAATTACCTGCGTCGCAGCGCCAGTTCATGTTGATGCAGCGGCCGTTGTTGCAAGCAAACTGCGTGAGCGGGAAGCACGTGGGGTATGCTGGAAAGGGGCAAAAAAAATATCCATTGAGATGCGGACACTCCAGCAGAGGCATACAAATGTGAAAATAAATAAAGTTCACTTTCAATAAGTGTGTAATACTACACGTTCCTCTGTGGGGTGCCCTTGCCAAGGAATGACTTCTTGAATAACAGTTGTCTTTTTTAATAATGTCTTTCCATATACTGCTAGCAAATCAAAGACTTAAAGTAAAAAAAAAATCTTCTTTTTTACATAAAAATACATATACTTCTTAGATCTGCTCGTAAATGTGATTTTATGGAGGAACTTGTCATTCACTTTGTGTCGGGCATGCACACATTACCAAAACTAAAATAGGTCTCAATGTGACGCGTGACATTCCACTCAATTGCACAAATCAAGTTTTAAAAAAGCACAATTACGGCCTTATATAATAAAATACTTTTCTGTAGGTCTCCATTGGTTAAAATGTGACTTGTCTATAGTCACTAATTATACTCCAAAATAAGTAGACTGGGCAGTCAGGGCAACAGCACTGTAACATGCGATAACCTTGCACAAATGTGATCCTGTCAACTGCATTTAAATATGGAGTTCAAACGGTGATACGACAGCTAATTGACAGTGGCTCATGGTTGCTATTATTGTGGTATGCATGGTCGTAGGCCCCTTGCTGGGTTAAGAGGACTCCTCTTTTCCATTAAACACCACTTGTGCTCACTTTCAGGGGCCCCATTTCATAACCTCAAGTCTTCTTATAGTCTTGACTCCCCCCCCCTCCCCAAAATTCCATCTTGACACAGAGACCAGACTCATTCGAGCGGCATTTTTTAACCAATCCTCCTGTGACACCGTTCTCTCAACCACCCCCATGCCGTGCACGAATGTGCAGTTTTACACCGACTACTCACCACAGGAAGGTGGCTCGTCCGAGCGATCTCCACAGTCATCGTCCAGGTCACACTTCCAGGACATAGGGATGCAGTGACCACTGGCACAGGAGAACTGGTTTGGAGGGCATGTCCGAGCTGCCACCACGACATATGCAGGAGAGGATCACATAGGGTAATATAAACAGGAGTATCAATCGCATTCTTCCTATGAATGCACGTGTACCGATCATAAGGATTATTTTCCTATGAATTGTGATAACTCCTTTGTACATACAGCTCAGTGTGTGTGTGTACACATGTCAACGTGTGTACATAAATGCAGAGTAGTGTAGCGGTTAGCGTGCTGTGCTGTGCTACGAACTGGTCCTGGGCCTCTTCTAGGTCGACTCAGCCTCAAATGAGTGGGTAGTGCGGTGTGTTAACATTGCCACTCGGGAAACGGGGCCGCCAGAAATGGAGTTGGGCACCCAACGGCGCTACTCCTCGCCTTTGTGTGCTATGCCGGCCTTCATAGGTGCTCACTAACAGCACTTGCCCCGAAAATATGTTGAGTCTATATTGGAGATCTATGTCTTTGTCTTTGTACACAAGGCCACTGTATATATGCATGCAATGCATATTTCTTATCTAAATATGGATGGGGAAAAGTCAAAGGTTATCAGAAAACGCTGCTGAATTGTACTTTTTACAATGGAATAATTGAGTTCTTTGTGACAGCGTTTTTTGCTATACACATTGAATGTGAATTGCCCTCACCATGACATCTAGTTTATATATCAGTTTAGGACAAACGGCAGCTGTACGCTTGTGCGCAATGACAAAGACTATGAAACATAATTGTGTTTACAAATCACAACATATAAACCGTGCTGACCTCCACAATCAGGTTTACGAGCCTGCAATAAAACTAACTGGAATGTGGTTTTAAAAATGTCATACGTCCTGTTTTCTAAGGTAAAAAAAGAGGTCAATAGCTGGGATGAATGTGTTGACATGAAATTAGGATTGAGAAATAACAATTTTTGCAATCACATTCTAATAGTTTGGAAGAGTAGGATGTGAACCAACAATACGATGTCGATTAATATTTATGATTTCTAAACTGTACATATATGTACTACCAAGCACACAATATAATACACAGACGTGTACACCCACATATTCCCAAGTCAAGCACATTTCTATCACAGTAAATCTTTGTGCGGTGCAAAAGGAACAATCAATGCAAATGATGTTAGCAGAACAGCTGTTATTGTTTAATCCAATAAGCATACTTTCCAGTCGATTTGATTTGTGTTGAAAAATGCTTATGGCCAGCAGTAGAACAAATTGGAAAAAAAAATAGAATGTTCTGCAGCAGCACAGGCATGATCCTATAATTATATAAACAACATGAATGCAGGCACAAGAGCCAACACTTTCTCCCAGCCCCAAACGTCGTATACAAAAGCAGCAATGCTTTCTGGCTGCCTGTCTGAAGAGCACTTTTACAAGGCTGTGGTCTGTGGAATTATTTATGTCAATAGCACCCACTGAAACTGAGGATTGCCAGAATTCAAGTATGTCCGAGGAAATCAAAGACAAAATAATTACTGCTGCAAAATGTATTCATTGGTCTCAATACAATATCATCACATCGAAAAGGTTGGAGTTTGGCAATGCGCAGTCCCTAAGACGATGGATATTGTGAAATGGGCTTTGAAAAACAAGAGCCTTGAAGTCACCGCTCAAGCATTTTTTTTGCCGAAAAAAAGAGGCATCTGCAGAATACAAACCACCATTGCAAGCAATAAAAAAACGTATAAATATTCCATAGGAAGGCATTGCCTACTTGTGCATATATCGCAGCTCTGGCTCCAAGTCATATGTTTTTGGTGTTAGCTTGTGGAATGCAAGTCTGTCTGCACAGCTGCGTAAATAAATACACAATAAAGGTGTCAGCTTTTAATGCTGGCAATTAAGCTACAGGCATATGGCTAAGGATGAAATTCTCCTGGATTCCTGGTAGGCACCCCCTACAGATTTTTTTTAATTAACTGTAGCCCACTTTAGTCCGAGATGCATGTTGCTAGCACTCCCTCTCTCAATGCCAGTCACTTGCATATCCCACGCTGGATACATGGATTTGCTTCCTACATACGAGCAGACACTTCTATTTTAACTTGGTTCTCATTAAAAACCAACTTGATTCATGAATAGTGGCCTATTCTCATTAAGTAAGGTTTCCGTTAAAACAAGATTTTTTTTGTGCAGCAAAGTATAGATTTATTCTGCCATTAGATTCTAATTAAAGGTAAAAATGTATCCAATTTGACAAGAGTTCCACAAAATTAAAGGGAATACAAAGGAGTGAACAGGCTTAGTTGAAGTTAAAAAGAGTTTTTAATGAGAAAGCGTAAAACTAATACTAAGTATAAGATCATTTTACTGCCAGGGCTTATTATGAGAAGGAGGATATGTGGCTTTTGTGGCTACTGCGACTGAAGCCACAAAAAACGAAATAAAATGTCTCATCAACTAGCAATGCAAAATTACATAAAAGCAGATTTAATATACCAAACAACATGTGGACAATACACATTTCATTCATATGCAATAATGAATTTCACAATTAAATATAAATTACCACACTTTGCTTAAAAGGTGGAGGGATCAGAGGATGTGATTGGTACATTATGATATCTGAGCCAGAAGAAACGAGATAAAAATATGTACTATCGTTTTAAAGCGCAAGAACAAGAGATGAAATGGACATTGAAACAGGCTTAGCCTACAAGATCGAGAGGAGTGTAAGAGAAGATATTGGACTTGAAAGTTACTTGAAAGTGAAGTGCTTCTAATAGAAGTGAGGAAATTGAACACAGAAAATTATCACAGAACGGTGAAATGCAAGGCCAACTTTAACGTTGCCAGAGGACAAAGCGTATCACGGAACAAGAACAAGGTGGTTAACATCAAACATCTATTTAACGAGGTAAGGCAATTTAGCTCGGTTCAAATCCCAACAGAAGCAAAATTGGGCCACTTTTAATAAAATGACAACTAATTATTGTCACGGACAGTAAACTGATAGTAGGTGGGAAAAAAAGTGTAAACAAAAAAACCAGCGGTTAGTGATCCGGAACAAAGCAAAACAAAATGTAAGCAAATGTAAAATAAAGCCGTAGGTTAAATTCGACTATTATATTTGGGGGGCAGGGGTTCACTTTGTCCCTCACATTAGAACTCGTGGGTGCATACACATTTATTTATTTATAATCTTTATTGTAAACTACTAAAAACAAATGCATAAATGTATCCAGTTTTGGCAGGGCGTTGCCCCCCTATTCCATTCCTCCACCCCGGAAAACTCCACCCATGAATAAAACGAAAAATACACATAACTGTACAATCATTAAGAAATACAGGGATTCCTCTACTTACGAAAGAGTTGGGTTCCAGAGGTCTGTGTCCAGAAGTCAATTTGTTCGTAAGTCCAACTCTACTCCTGTCAAGTCCTACCATGTTGTATGGCATGTACACCAAACACGGGGAATGGCTTTAAAAGTTGTATAATCTCCTGTAGATGTAGAGGCCACTGGTTCATCACGTTCTGCAGATGTAGATGCCACCACCGTCATTCTATTACGCGGCGGTTTAACTTACGACTCTCGGTCCGAACAGGCAACTGGACGTATGGACAGGTTTGTTTGTATCTCTGAAAGTTCGTAAGTCAAATGTTCGTAAGTAGAGGAATCCCTGTACCTATATAAGACCAAAGCCTCGTAATATTACGGTCAATCTATAATGTTCACCTATCTAACAATGGCTTCACTGAAACTGGTCACTTCTCAGAGAAAACACACTGCACCCCGCACCATAAACATACCCAAACGGTATGTTCTACTCTCGTTCAACTATCACAAAAAATAGACTTCCCCTTTAACCAATGAACCAATAAATAAAAATGTATGGGTCAGGCCCAAGAGCATCGACCTGGCAATGGGTGAGAATGTCTGAAAAATAGCAACAATTTGGGAAATAATATTTTTAAATTTATTTTAGAGATCTGGAATATTTTTGTATTAAGTCGAGCCCTCACCCTCATCTGTGTAAAAAAAAGTTATTTCTTTCTCACATGAGCTTTGAGTCAGCGATGGAAATTTGCATTCCTATGGCGAAGATGAGTCTATCCATTGGACAACCACTGCTGACTTCCCCACCAAACAGCACCATCGTCCGTGTAATATACCACAATTACGTTGTCTGAGGTGAAAACAAGCATTCATCAGTTTACAAAAGGGTTGCATTCTTTAAAAAAAACATGCACAAGACAAAATTTCGTAAATCGGAAAGGCTTTTCCCATAAAAATGTATAAAAAAAATGAGGTATGTGTTTCAGACGGGCATTCCAACGTTACTCCTAACCTAAAAATATACACCAATATCACTTCTCACAAATAATGATAAAGTTTGAGGCAAACATGGTTGAGACCTCACAAAATACGGCTTCATAATGAGATACTGGGGTTAAACACATCCTAAGAACTCAAATCATTGATGATGCTTTCATATCGTCTAAACAAACTAAGCACGTGCATCAAGCTACACTATATTGTATTTCTTGTAGGATTTTCTACACACTTATTAATATTTCCTACCCATATACTTTTCAACCATCCATTTTTTGAGCTTGGATACGAGTACACTTGAGGCTAAAAAGCACCAGTGGACTGGAAATTGATCCCAGAATAACTGTCCTGTTAAACTTGCTTTGAAATTATGTCATCATTCATTAATTTCAACTGTGAATCCTCAAGAGACATTCAGTAGTGTGGCCGTGGTCTAGGAATCACTCGACAATACCGATGTGAATTGGGAGGGGGGGAGGTTATGCTCAGGGTTAAGGTTGCTGTCTCATAAAGAAAGACAATCTACGATGAGTGAGGATTTACTTGAAGGCCACTGTGCTACAAAGTAATGAAACACCAAAAGGCACTGTCATGTTGCAAGGTTGCAGTTTATTTTCTTTATGGAGTCTGGGTAAAAAACAATTATGCAGGGACCTGCCACGTTGTTTGATTGCCAAAAAAGGCACCCTATGAGCCTTAGATTAACTCAAAAACCAAGGTGTCGTCTCCGGTTCAACTTTAACAAGAGGATGGCAAATGCCCAAGGATAAACAAAGCTGGCAAGGCCATTTTTCTGCCCTTGATTGGGCACTTGTGGGCACAGCATCACCTGTTGGACAACTCCCTGACAGGTTTTCTGCAGAGTGCAGTCAATGTCCACATGGTAGGCGCGTGACTAACCGGCACAAGTAGTGTTGGATTCATCCTCGCTGTTCCCACAGTCGTTGTCGCCGTCGCAGAGCCAGCGCAGTGGGATGCAGCGGTTGTTCTGACACTTGAAGCGGTCAGAAGGGCAAGTGTGTTGGTCTGCATTGACACACACAGAAGCATTAAAGCACACAAAGACACAGATACCTCAATCAGCCTTACAAAAATCTGCAGCAAGTGCTGATGTGAGCAACCATCAAGGTGGGAATTATACACATGGCATATGGTGTGGTGAGCACCACACCCCAAGCAGTACCCCCCCACTGCCCTGTGATGTAATTTACGCACCACATCAGGTACTCACATGAGACTGAATTGACGAAGGAAGCCCAGGGATAGGTTAATTCAACACATGCCACCGTTGTTACCTCTGGCCAGGAATCAATCTTAGGTAGCTTGGTGAGCTTAGTTCATTATTTAAATAATAACTGTGGACATTACATTTTTATTTATTGTTACCGCCAGTCTAGTGTATGTGTATTTTGAAGAAACAAAGGGCTATAAAATACCTATGCAAATCAATGAGACCCACTTAGAAATGCAAAATAGCTATATACACAGGTCATCAACATGTATTGTTATCACCCTATTATAATAGGACAACTTCGAAAGTGTTGTAATATAGCACTGACGCATGTGCACACATCGACATGTGTGCAACAGGCAGTGTACATTCGTAGAGAAACCACGATGCAGTACCGTTAAGAGTATAATCATTATAATCTCCACCTCAAGTTGGCAAAAGTACATCAGAGATGACCTTAAAGTTTGGATGAAACAACCGAGTAAGTCAATTGTTAATTCAATGCATGCATCACCAAGCAAACCTCTTGAACTAATTGCTTTCCTGGAAATCCAAAAAGATTAGCTAAATATTTCTGAGGCTTAAGAATGCATTTTGAGTTGTCGAGAAAACGATCGCCTAGGAAATAAATAAATTAATAGATTGCATTTTGCCAAATTAAATGACCTTCAATATAAAATCTAAAACTTGCAGGGCTTAATTTGCATTTAATTTAACCTCAAAGCCCAAAGGTTTCAGGTAATTTAAATAACGGTATAACAGCATAAAATGGAGCGGACCTTAAGTTATGCGTTTTTTTATATTAAAACTATGTAAGAATATGTAAGACCATATTTAATGTAATGTTTTAATAAGTTATTTGAAACGCTGGTAGAAATCTTTCCATTACAACATTATCATAAACATAGTATAAATGTGTTACATTTTTCCCTCATGCAATAGCAATTTTGACACTGTGTGGCCAATTATTACGTACATTATAATCAATCATTAAAATACGCCAATGCATTAATCATTTTAAAATTAGAACAAATCTGCACGACAATAAGGTTGTCTTTCAAAAGCTAGGTTTAGAAATTGCACATCAATTAGCACGAATAACAAACAACACACCACCAGGGTAGGAGTGTATGTTTACCTACCACACAGTGCCTATAACCCACACCTTCAAATGCAAAAACACATAAAATCATCCATTTGTACATGGACAAAAGTATGCACACAGCACAAAATTCCGTGACCAATTTCCGTATGCGTTACTGCGGAACAATTCTGGGCAAATGTTGATCATCAACCGAACTCAATTCTTTCCTGATGAGATTCACAAGCTCTAAAACAAGTCCAGAGCTGGCGTTCGTAAACAATGCTGCATGATAATATTGGGATGGAAGACGAATAAGCCGATGGACAAATAATGTTTGTATTTATATATGGAGACAGAATGGAGTTCTGCTTGTACTTGTAAACAGATAACACTCATCCTCAAAACACTGCACACTTATGGAACACAGTTCGTAAAAAAAAAATTTGCATACCATGTCAAAAAACATAAATACGTTTGATTTTAAACTAAAAGCTAAAAAGTAGGCCATTCAATGTTTCATTCCAATGCACTTGGCTAAACCGTAATTAGAGCGCATCCAAATAACCGCATCACAACTGTAGCCAATGCATTTAAAATATATATATATTTTCATAGCAATAAAGCAGCACGAACAGAAGAAATTCTTATACATACGGCAAATCTCCGGTGCTTCGTCGCTATTGTCCAAGCAGTCATTGTCCCCGTCACACCGCCAGCGCTCCTGAATGCAGCGGCCGTTCTTGCAGGCAAACTCGCCGGGATGGCACTGGGGTGGAGGCGTGTAGTCTGGGTTCGCTGCACAAACGATAACAGTCGTTAAACGCCTTCATTAAAAACAATTCGCTTAGAATGTGGTTTGGTGGCTGGTGGAGGGGAGGAATAGTGGCACAGTGGTTAGCACACTGCGCTACAATCTCAGCGACATGACGTCGATTACCGGTGACTGCTCGACATCAGCGGTGATTATCTGAACTGGATCTGGGCCTCCCCCATGTGGACTCGGTCTTAAATGAGTACCCGGTGCAGTGTGTAAACATCAGCACTGGGGAGACAAAAGCCACAGGGTGTGGATGAACCAGCACGACTCCCTTGTGCGCTGTGCCAGCCTTCATAGGTGGTCGCTAACAGCACTTGCCCCAACAGCCTGATGGAGCTATATGGGGGATCTTTGTTTCATTCTTCTTTTGTGTAGGTAGGGAGTTATACGAGTGCACTTTTCAAGAGTTCCTAAACTCTTCCGATCATAGACTCGATTTGCATGCTAACCTGTTACCCAAGGTTGAAACAAACATATACGACAATTTGGAATGTACAACAAGTTTGAATGCGTGCAGAGAATGTATTCCAGCTGTTGTATAAGACATAGGCTTGAATGATGTTGACCTGCGATATAACTTCAAGGTAAAAATACAACATTATGAATCTCGACGAAACGTCGTAGTTTTTAATTTTCTTTGAACCTATCTACGTGAAATCTCGACTTAAATCTTTTCGTGACTGCAGGAATTAATATCTACGTGACTTTACCGAAAGACCCAAATAATATAACATTATGAATTTTTTGATTTCTATAGGGAAATAGAGAAAATGGGACTTAAAAAAAAATACTGTCCTAAGATGTCGGTTGCATAATTGGGATATAATTGGTGAACAAATGCTACAAAAACAACACCACACTTCATTTACCGATGCCAAGGGCTCATTGTGAAACACTCTCCCCAAGGCATGACAATCAACAGGCCAGGGGGTGAGAGCGAGAGGGCTGCGCGTGTAATAAATCACACGAGAACCACAGCTCCGTGGAAATGTGCAAACAGATTCATAGCCAAGGTGTACGCTATATCGCAAGCAAAAAGAACTTGAATAAGCGTATTCTTGGTTCTTTCAGTAAAGTCACGTAGAAGGGAAATAAAATAAAGAAATTTTTTTTTCCCTTCTATGTGACTTTACCGAAAGAACCAAGAATATGAATCCCTGCAGTCACGAAAGCTTTAAATCGAAATTGAATAAGCATCTTCGCAAAGGCATTGTGCGGCCCAAACAAATTCGAATATTTGCTCGTTATTAAGAAGTTAAAATTTCAGGACTTTTAAATGGACAATTAAGGCAATTTTGATAACCCCGCGTGTTAAAAAATAAATACAAATGCAATGATACTCTTTGAGGGTACAAAATGACAGTTTTCGTGATTCATGTGTCGTTTTTTTATTTGTAGTGGCAATTAGAATGAATCTGTTAATACAGATACCATGTCTTTTCTTGGACTTGAGAAGATAACATATTATAATTACATATTCCCAAAGGCCAAGGGAATTTTGTCCTACGTAAAATTTTTCCACCCGAAGAAAATGAATGCAAAGTTAACATTGAAAAACGTATATGTTGTGGCGTACACACTATGCTGTTTGCTTAATACATTAAAACGTCACTATTTAAGTGACAATTTGTTTTACAGTAAACGACCGTGTTGCCTCCACAGTGGTTAATTATAATGCAGCTTGTTTTAATATGTGCACTCATCCAAACACGGAACACTTTTTTTGACTTGTTTACTCCGAAATTGCAAAATGTAGCTAGACCAATCTAAAAGAAAGTTATCCAGGATAACACACAACCAATTATTCATGTAAATAAAATATAAATATGTGCAACGTCCCATTGGCAAGATGTAGCAATGTGAGAATGGGGCTAGGGTTGAACCGGGATAGAATAAAATTCGTGTTCATGGAACGAACTTGTCAAGTCAAACAAATTTCGGATCAATGTCGACTGAAACATTTGTAAAGGCTGTTCGTGCACGTGTTTCCATGATTGCATTTGTAATAGAAATGCACGCATTAAGTCACATAGGCCGTGTTGTTGATATATGTAGTCAGACATTTTCTCCACGCTTTGCAACAGCTGATGTGGAAACAAGAGTTAGGGTAAACAAGATGCATTCATGTCATAACTGTAACAGCAACCTATTTATTACAATTAAAATAAGCATGGCCTGAACAGGTTTTGGGGTCATTTCTGAGAAAATAAGAGAGCTGACGAATCATTTTCTCATCAAAACATTTTACTTACTTTGGGCTGTGGATTTTAAAAAGTGCACAAAGCATTCTTAATGCATGACAGTATCCATGACAGTTTCTATTTATTGCATTTTTTTATGATATGCAAAACCAAACTCAGGCTGAGCAACATCACAGCACACATAACCACTCAAACATATCAGCTGCGTGCTTTGTCAAAAGATATAACAATCATAATGATGACATGCAGTCAGTGAGCTAACCCAATGTGCACATGAGTGTCATTAGTCCGTGTTTGTCTTCTCAGAGAAGTTTATTAATTGTGAGAATAGGCATTTAATCTCATTAACTAATTTCTGCCTCATTTGCTTGATGAACATACTTCTATGTATATCGTCAAGAGCACTAAATGTATTAAAAGTCAAATACATTTGCATTTTACTTTCATGACGTATAATTTTACTACTTTTATCAATAATTTTTCTTTTATTTACATGTTTAATTATTAATGTTTACATATAAAAATGTAATTCACAAGAAAAACAAACTACCAAAACGAAGAACCAAACATTACCCCGTACTCAGGAAGGATTTTTATTTATTTAACCGTTTGAAAAATGAAATCTCACCCATGCCCAGAAAGACAAAGACCTGGCTTCGTCTCCTTAGTAGCAATGTTCACACACCACACCAGGTACTCATTTGATGCTGAGTCGACCTAGGAGAGGCCCAGCACTGGTTAAAATAATCGTAACTGGTGTTGGTCGTGAGCTGGAATCAAACCCGGGTTACTGGGTTCGTATCGCAGCGCTCTAACATATCGCAGCGCTCTAAGCTACACTACGACTCCCAATACCTAAAAACAAAGATCCCCCGCATAGCCTTAATAGATTGTTGGGGCAAGTACTGTTAGCGAGCACCTATGAAGGCCGGCATGGCACACGAGAAGGTCGGTGGACAACATCACGGCCGGCCGCCTTTGTCTCCCCAGTGACGATGTTTACACACCGCACCAGGTACTCATTTGATGCTGAGTCGACCTAGGAGAGGCCCAGGACCGGTTCAGATAATCGTCACTGGTGTTGGTCGTGAGCTGGAATCGAACCTAGGTTACCGCGTTCATAGCGCAGCGCGCGAACCATTACACTACCGCTTCCCATGCCCACACACACAAACACACATAAAACCAAGCACACTGGGCGCTGCTTCACACTCAATAGGCGATTTCCAGAAAAGAGTATACAGTGATCATTATCACATCACACACAGTCTCATAAACACATGGGACTCTGGCCAGGGCTTTTGTTTAGCGGCACCTGCAGTCCTTGAAAGTCAGCCAAGACACTGTCCATCAGTTATCCCAGGCGCAGGATAGCATTCTAATTAAGTACGTTCTGTTGACTTGTGATATCTAATGCAGCTTAATTTTCTAATATACCACACTACAACGTGATGATGCAGGATGCAATGTGCCAGCAACTTTTTATATCACTTTTTATACAAATTAGTTTATACTTGTATATATACAGTTACAGTTCAAGGATTTGCATGTTGCTCAATATCTAGTAAATTGATTCAATGTGTTAATCTAGAAAAAATTCTTAAAATGCCATTTGTATCAAGGCCCAATGGTATACAGTGCAGTCTCAAACTATTAGTCACCATCTCCCTGGTCTCCCTGAGAAGAGTCATTGCCTAAAATCTCACCTTTTTATTTACATTTAAGGCACTTATTGATGATGAATAAGTTGGGTTTATGTCGTTTGTGCTCGTGCACCATTGCCAACGCAGCAGCAGCAGCGCCAGATCATTTTATTTTCCTCGCCTGCGTTATTTGAAAATGTTCAGCATTTTCTGTTTGCTGCACTCAACATTTCCACCCAAACGCTGGGTATTTTGACAGAATTCAAGGCATGTCGAGGCTTGGTGCTGTACTCACAGTAGCCTAGGCAGCAGCAGTGAAAGCTATGCACACAAATAAACTGAGTGCTCAGCAATAGAGCATGTGTCCAAAGCAACCGCTGCCAAGAGGCTCGAAAAGAGAAGGCAACCAATGCTCCCACGGCTTGCTACCCCTGGACACAGAATCACATGGGTCTGTCAGGTCTCATGACAGTTGAAACAACGAGTGTCATGCATCAACAATGCGGATGCTGCCACGGCAGTGTAAGGACGGCACACTGGACTTGCCAATCCAGAGGTCGCCGGTTCAATTTCGATATCCCAGCGTAAGTTGCAAAAAAAAAAGTGTATTAAATCCCCCCCCTCGTATGTCCACCCAGCTCTAAAGGGGTACAACGCCACAGTTGGTTCATGGTGGACCACGTGTGGTGGGGCAAAGCGTGGGTACTCTCACCTCTTCCAAGATATCAGGCCAGTGTAGAAGAGTCGGCGAACATACCCTCTATAGGGGCTCTCTTATCACGCATTTATATAGTGCCTTATAACCTCTCCTCTCTCGCGAAGGCCCTTCTGCCAGCAGTGATGTGAGTGTTGAGTTGCAGGGCCACACCTTTATCATTCAAAATGATACATAATGCGATTGAAGCCTGCCTAAACAATGGTGCATGCTACCATTTATGTGAACCCACCGACTGCATGAAACATTTTTTTTAAATAATTTTAGGAATATTCTTTATAACAAAAATGTGAATTGACTTTGAACATGTTCCAATTTCCAAATTCAAAACAAGCCAACAGGATTGATGAAGTCAAGTTGTGTATGAGAAAAGTAGATTATTTGTGCATTTTTGAAATTTGTTCAGTGCAGAGACTATAATATATGCCCTGAGAGGTTAAATCACCTTCATATTTCATAACAATGCAGCCTCATGCTAGCTATGCTATTCTTAATGTGGTAACTCATAATACAACCTAGAAAATAAGTAATATAGCTCATGAACAACCATATTATTAGGTTTATGAGACGAAGGCATTTCAGTGTAGAATGGTTTAACTAAACCTTCGATCATCTGGCTTAAAACATGTATTCAATTTCCTGACAGTAGTGAATTCAATTTAATTCCGGTGAGTGCATTGTGACGTTTGGTCTGCATGCTGTTGAGGGGATCCAATTGTACACATTCATAGCTGTGTGAATATCCGTGCATACATTTACCTGTGCATTTAATAACGCGTACCATTCCTCAATATGTAAATGACAATATGTGTTTTTGTGCAGCAATACATGTTATTAGCACATTATCCAGGTAAAACCCATTTGTGATGTGCATCATGTAACCCTGACCTGGGTCTCTCTTACAATTTACCTGGTTTGAAATTAGTAAATGGTACAATGTGTGCATGGAAAGAATGGGGATAGAAAAGTAATCACAAAACAGTTGCTCGCTAACTGTATTCACCTCCATAGTATATAAATTGACGTGGGATATTTGTCTTGTTGTACTTGTGCACAGCCTCAACATTTATCTTAATATAAGTTGTTATTTTTTGTAAAGCTCTGTGTATAAATAAGTAAAACAAATGTCTACTTAAGTGAATAAATATTTTAGATTTTGTGTTGGATCCACTTCCGTTGTTAGTTCAATGGTAAAACTGCAGGCTACATTAGCAATCGCAAACAAAAATGAATTTCGAAGAGCAAAGTACAAACGTTTACTAAGCACACTGTCAAACAGTTTACACTGCATAATTGACCGAGAGTTCTGCTGTAAAAATTTTTTTACATTTCCACGATCAAGCACATACAGAATTGAAAACCCAACTGTGAATAATACATTATTCTGCATATTTTCCTTTCTCTAAGATCTTACGACAATAATATTTAGAGAATGTTTCCGTGCAAAGGTGGCGTGAAATTGGCTATAGGCCCTCGTGATGGATGTTTTGTAAAGGTAGCACAATATATCTCAACACGAGCCTTAAAGCTATGAAGGCTACAAAAATGTTGTCCATCACCGTCATTAACCATTACGCATAATTATGCTCTGCACTGCTGTACCCCAAACACTAATCTCTCATACCTAACACACGTCTCTTGATTCAGGCTATTCTTAAACACTTTCCCAAATGCACAGAGATACGTAGACGTATTTATCAGGCGACGTTCTATCCTGGCCAGGGACTTGGCCATCAAGCGCCATGTGCCACCGTGGCCGGCACCCCGAGCCAGCGCCCGCAAGCACGCAAAAGAGAGAGCGTGCGCACAGCTGCGTGTGTGTGCGCGAGCCCCAGGTGAACTGTGCCGTCACTCACGTTTGCAGGTAATGTTGTCGGCGTCCAACAGCTGATCATCAGCACAGGCACACGCGCGTCCGTCGGGGATAGCAAGGCAGAGGATGCTGCAGCCCCCGTTGTTGACGTGGCACGCGTTGGTCCCGGCTTCAGAAAGGAGACAGGGGGCACAAGCCCAACATTGCACGTCCATTAATAGCCCTGCCAGTTATCCATTGAAAATTATATTCACATTTATTGCGGTGTGTATTTAGACAGCACACAAAGTGATTGTTGGTTATTTGAGCAATGCTACCAAAGTATTACAATTTTACGTTGTCTGAACGCAGGAGGGTTTCTGTGCAACATATCAATGCCAGGTGTCCTGCCATGAGAAAATTCTGGCAGCCATGAATCCAAAAACATGAGGTTGCCCACTCAATTAACAGCCACATCACGTTCACTGTATTGGCAAATTAAAGCAACGCCATTTTTGTTTTACTGTTGAACTTATGCTGACTGCAGCTTATAGCCAATTCAGCTGCAGAGTTAACATTACATTACCGCTTTTAAAGCTGCAAGCACACATTTTTTTGTTAGACTACAACCCGCAATTAGAGAGAGGTTGATAGAGATGGCAAAGCATACAAATTGTTGACAATTTAACGTGCTAATTGCTCATTCGCTTTAGATGTACTAGTCGCTAGTTACTCGGGCTGACGCACAATAAACATCGCATTCATCGCTCATAGGCAGGGCAATGATCTGTAATGATGTGCGAGGGTTGCGTGCCAGGTTGCATTTTTCAGGTGAATTCAATTACACCTAATTAGTAACAGCAGGTTACACTTGCAAGCTGTAAGGGGTGCATTACATTTGGCTGAAAATCTGTGAAGTCTGTCCATCAAATTTTAATAGATGCAACTGCATTCTAAAATGTAAATGTTTTTTTTATTGTATATATGTATAAAATAAATACTCCGAGTATATTCATTTGCATTAAAAAAACAAGGACTTGGGCAGGACGCATCGCGAGATGGGATAATAGCAAGCGGATGAGACTGGTGATGGACCGTCAAACAAAGGATGGAACACGAGAATGACCACCACAGACAGAGCGATGAGGTCGGCTTATACACAGGTGAGATATGGATTGTGGCATTGCAGGGCATCGAGGGATAGTGATAGCAAATGTGGTCTTCATACAAGCCGCAGACATGCGATGACTGCTGATGATGACAGAGTATTTTCCACTGAAATCAACAAAAACATTTAAGGAAACCAATACATTCATGTGACTAAACTTCATTATAATGCCAAATTATTCCTCAAAAAAGTATGAGAAACATAGCGAGTAATATTTATTGCGATGGCTAGTAAACTTATGAATTGCATCTGAGACATGGTGTCTGAAAAATCTGGGCTGGATTATTTTAATTGCACGAAACAGAATTGAAATTGAAGACTGCTTAAAACACAAAGCATTCTTAGGATATATTTTGCAGTGCCACATTTCCCACCGTCCCATTACAGGCAGCGAATTGAAATATTGCAGACAAAGTCACCCCCCACCCCATTATAGTGTGCAAATATTCTTGCTGCCACTCTTATGCATAAATATTTATCTCGCTTCAGCCTTACAATATTTGTTTGTAAATGCCATTCATGCCCTCTTTTAGAGAGACAGTTTCACCAATTTATATCTATTTTATCAAGTACAGAATGGTAACCACATTATTTATACTTAAACTCACTGGGAAAAAGTTCAGCATAAATCCACATCCAGACATGTCTAGACCTTGATTACTGAAGAAACCTCGAATGCAAATAATAAAAATGTATTTATGATATGCAAGGCAGCAGGTTAAATTTGCAATGTGTTGTTCATTTGAATAATTTTCTGCAATTAATGAGTCATCTATACACATGTAAAATAACTAAGCACAGCACCCAATTTTCATGTCAATGCTGGTGCATAATATATCTATTTGAGTAGAACGGAAATATGTAGACGTGCGAGTCCCACATATGTGTTGTATGTGTTCACAGTTTTCTATCATAAACATAGCAATGGAAAAAATGTATACAAATAGCATCCAACCAATCAAGGTTAGTCCACTAAGAATCAAAAACCAAACACTCGCTTCTACCATAACGTGCTCAGTCATAACTAAGGGAAGTAAAAAAAATACCTAGCGACTCAACCCCACCAAAATAGTACATTTTAGCCAACTATCCTTACGGCACGGGATTGACTGGGAAAAGAAATATGTCCTAATGAATGTTGAGGCTGTTATTTGTGTCACGTCTGGACTGCTGAGTTCGAAATTCACTGGGAACTCTTGACACTGGATTCAGTATACTTTACTCAAAGAGGCTCTTTGAGAAATTTGCATGTCACAGACGGGGAAGCCACTCTCTGAAATCTAAGGTAAAAGGCCACCACTGGGCCTTGGCAAGTGACAACAGCCACGGATTGCCATAACAACGCACTTTAATCCAGGGCTGGCAAAGATGTGAGCTAGACATATACAATGTGAAAACGGTTAACTCGTTTTTTTAAATTTTACTTCAGCAGTAGGCAGCAGCTAATTAATCAAACACAAGCATGAATCAATTTAAAATCTGACTTACATACTTTATTACAGTGGCTCAAATCAGCCAATTAAAATATTACTCGATTAACAGAAAATAAATGTGGCAGCATCAGCAATACTGTTGAACTGCATGACCTCTATCGAATCAATCATTGCAGGCAAGCAGTCAATGCACCTGGGTCCTGTGATTATGATGACCCAGAGCACTTGCTTCTACAGTGCACCTGTAGATAATTAACTAATTAGAACAAATTTTGTTAATCTATCATCTGTATGCCAACGTTTGTCTTGTGAAAATAGCATTAAGGAAACACGTTGGTTTTTTTAATTTGTTTTGTTCATTCATTCTAGTGTTGAGATGCATACGACTAACAAAGAAAATACTCATATCATGGTTATATTCATAGTAAGAGGCATTATTAACCTGTTATGATGTTTTCTGACCTAATCGCCAATGGTCTTATACAACCTAATGCTTGACGCTCATAGTTGATTCAAACGGATCAGCCGAGAGCCATATCTAAAAAAGTGGAACCACTAACCGCATAATGACTTTCAGAACATGCTGACATGACCAAATCCCGACCTCTGGGAGAAAGTGTTCCCTTTTTGCTAAGCACATGTCTCAGCTGTAGCAACCATATTTCCTCGACGATCAAAAGTTCAAAATGCAAAAATTAACAAAACCCACGCGATGACATTTAACATCTGGAATCTCACAAAATTCAAGCCAAGCCGTCATTTTTTTGCTTCTTTCGGTAAAGTCACGTAGAAGGGAAGTAATAAAATAATAAAAACAAAACATAATAAAATAATTCTCACGACGTTTCGGCCACAACGCACCGCTGTCTCCCCGACAGACCTGTTCTTCACCCGAGGACGGCTGCTTGCGTTGTGGCCGAAACGTCGTGAAAATTATTTTATTATGTTTTATTTTTTATTATTGTATTACTTCCCTTCTACGTGACTTTACCGAAAGAACCAAGAAGATGAATCCCTGCAGTCACGAAAGCATTAAATCGAAATTTTAACAGTCATTGTTCCACATTATTGGTGCCTGCCGTGAAGAAAGAGCCTCACATTTTTGCTGCTCGCGGTCATAGGTGCGGATTTCGAAGATGGGCGGTCGCTCGTTGCGCAGTACGGTGGTGTTGCGGCTGATGGTGTCGTAGCGGTACACGGTGCCCAGGCGGTATTCGGTCCAGAAGATGTTGTGGCCATGGTGGGTCAGGCCAAACGGATGGCTCAGCTCCTGCCCATCGTAGACCACCTAATTCCAAGTGTAAATGACAACAGGATAAAATGAGCAGGTACAATGCAATTACAACATCAGTAGGTATGTAAACCTGAAAGTTTTTTGTTTTGTTTTTAGATGTGGTTTTCCAAAAGCACTCCAACCTGCTCTCAACCAACCTCTATGTGGTCATTTTCAACCGAGTCTGCCTTCAATAAATGAGTTATGTATATACACGTATGCTCCAGTGTGTTTTGCAGTTGTGTCCCTTAAAACATTCGTTTTCTTTTGTTCACAGAATAACTTTTATTTTTCTCATATTTATCTCAACTTTAAATCTGCAGCATTCTTTAAGTTCTTAAATCATTCCATGTAATCCATTTCTATTGGTTGTTATAATGACTATGCTGCCAGCGAATCTATGATAGTTCATACTTCAGCTATTCATTGTCTGTTATGGCAAATGGATCAGAAACACGGGCACTGACAAAGAAAATTGACAAAATTCGAAAAAGTACACACGAGCATGGATGCATGTACGCTGGGAATTACACAGAGACAGGGAGAGGAATACACGATTCAGAGGACAATGCATATTAGAGAAATCACGTATGTATGTTTAACTTCTTTTGCACAGTACGTAGCCAACTGTTCTAATCGGAGCTGTGAACAGTCGATCATGTTGACTGTTGATAAAAATCAGTGGGTGTGGGCAGGATGCATATCTTTATAAGAGCCTATTGCCGATTAAAAAGACTGGTGACAAAACGGCCACACGCCCCAGAGGGCAGCCACGATTCACAAGAAGATTGGCTCGTGTGCACAGGAACTATGCAGTTCTAAGACCATGAGGAATGGTGACATGGGGAGGTCTTCATTCAGCAGTGGATTGATCATGGCTCTTTATTATAATCAACCGCTAAACGTGACTCACCACTAATGTAACACCTATGGACAATGTTGTGTACGTATAGCTACTGTGTTTCAGCAGTGACATCTGCGCATTTTCCCAAGTAACAATGCGCAATAACAAATGTTCCCAGATGGTCTTTACAAAAAAAACGTAATCAAACTAGGAGCTTCTCTAACAGGCGGTTGGTGGGTGGGCGTGGGGGGAATACGGCCAATCAATACTAAAAGCCCAACGAAAATGGATTGCTCCAATTTTCTCTGCAATCATTGAATATAAGTGCCTTTAACGGTTGCACACGCAATAGCACTCGTGAATCTAGGGCAGCTTTTAGAAACAAACTGTGACACTTTCTGTTCCTCCACTGATATTTAGCTTAAACCCCAGCCGACTAGTAAAGCCACCAAATCGATAGTAAACAGGACTTGTTTGTTCTCAATAGCAGTAGCGTGCGCGCACACACACGTAGCAACAGCAAATACCACACCGGCAAATGATACCTATGGCACCGGGCAAACAACGGCGAATGCAAAAATAAGGTGGTTGTGGTTCGACCGACTAAGTTACGTCATTTCCAACCTTGGTTTGGGTTGACCATGCTGCTTATACAAGGTTTGTGAAATGTAAAGAGTGTACATGCGCAGGGCAATGAGCCAAGCACTCGCGAGTTTTGAAAACCTGTGAGAAGGTTGTTTGGAGAGAATGGATGTACAGCATCAATTTGAGCAGTAGCCTCAGAGCAACGTGCATTTCAACATCCAACATTGGATCGGTTCATCTTTAAAAAAACAATATATGTGATTTGCCATTTCCACAAAGAGTACCATGCCTTTGAGAAAAGCTTTTACAACGTTAGATTTTACAGCTCAATAGAACAAATAAAATTCATTTATTCAAATTAATGGTCTAATGATAAGTATGAGACAACAGCGAATACAATAAACAAACTGTTGTTTACTCATTACAAGCTTCAAAATAATATTTCACTAACATTTTTATTATAATATTGCAAAAAAGATAAAAGGTTCATTTAATTTGCATATGGTCTCTGAGGTATTTGGTTACAAACATGAAATAAAGACAGTATTTAGAATGAGCAATTGTATGAAAATGTTGGAGGCTGGATGTCAGTGAAATTATATTTTAATTTATGCAGACTGGCAGATTAATTGAACCAACACATATTTGCAATGTTAATTGGTTCACATGAGAATACGATGCCTCCTAAACCCATTTGAGAATATGCTACAGAAAGTATAATGAGAATTCTTGCGACAAAAAAAATCTATATTTTCCCAGAATCCGCAAATGTATTTGGTACACGTGTCCATCAATAATGCATTGGCCTGGTTCCAAAAGTAGCCATGTTTATAGTGGACAGGAGGAGACATGGTTATAACAGCCATAAAAAAAAATGTATGCGGATCCGTCTGGGGAGCAGTAGTGCAGCGGTCAGCGCGCTACGCTACAAACCCAGTGACCCGAGTTCGATTCCCGCTCACAGCCAACACTAATGAAGATTATCTGAATCGGTTCTGGGCCTCCTCTAGGTCGACTCGGCCTCAAATGAGTACCTGGTGTGACGTGTAAACATCGCCACTCAGGAGACAAAGACGGCCGGGCGTGGTGCTGGCCCAACCACCCCCTCTCGTGTGTTCTGCCAGCTTTCATAGGTGCTCGCAAACAGCACTATCCCCAATAGTCTGTGAAGGCTAAATGGGGGATGTTTGCCTTTGAATGGGACTGGTATGGTGGGTAAAAGTAGGAATGTGGATACATGTGACTGAGAAGAAAGTTGAAGGCTTTCAGTCAAACTCCATCACAAATTAATTAATCAAGAGCTTTAAACTGAAGACTTGGGCAACCTCAGGTCATTACGTCAACCGACGTGAGATCGATGGAGGCATCCCCACTCGAAGGCTTTTACTGTCAGGGATGTCTCTGCTAGCGTGGATTCGGTGAAGAAAACCATGTCAAAGAACCATTCTTTAACAAAAATAAATGTCCTCTGTCAAGACTTTCAGGATGGAATTTAAAACCAGACCTCTGAGATCACCAGACTTGGCACTGCTGGCACACGTGAAGAAAGTCCTCCTGAGTTTTTTTTTGTCCCCCTTGTGGTTTAAATTAATCGACATGGTCTACAGAAATCGGCAATATTTAATTTGGCACCATTTCCGAATGTTTCAAAATCTATACCAAATGTGGAAATGTTCTCTCTCTCTCTCTCTCTTTTATACATACACATCGATATACATATACATTTATTACACTTTTGGTAAATTATCATCATCCCCACTATCACCTCATTCCCTGATAATGATTACCGTAGTCATGCCCATAATTTCCCATACATTTAAAACTGTCTTACCAAAGACTTCTTTATTTATGGAAGAAAGCCAGTTGGATAAAATATTGAAATGTTGTTAATCTCAAGCGAACAAAAAAAACAACTCCAGTTTATACTGAATTCAACTTATTAATTGCGAAAGTTAACCAACACAGAAACATTTTAATTGCCAAATTGACAATCAAATCTCGATTCTATCATAGCTCACTGGTACAATGCATGCTATTCTCGGCGCGGCTCAACAGAAAAATCTGCATTCGACATGTAGACACAACATGTACGTATTTGCTCTCATTGATTGTAACATATATTCACATCAACCAATACTCAAGGTACAGAGTAGCAAATATAATTTTCCCGCAATGCGTAGGATTACCCTTCATATTCAAAGTGAAAGAGAATGTGCAAACCTCAGTGGCCAATTTTGCAGAGTTGCACACAATTTTCTTGCAATGTGTCCACGTACATTGCTCAAACCCATTAGGGAAGAAAACATGCTTAGAACATCCTTGATGGATTTATTTTTCGTACCAATTTTCTCTCTACGACTGACCACTTCACTTGGCTTTCATTTGGATGTAGAACCCAGACAATGATTGCAGAGCACACCTCACACTGTGGATGTGTTTAAGAGAGCTTGAAGAAATCCTACTTGATGGGTACTTATACACACTTGTGCTCGCGGTTGGAAGGTTTAAGTGCTTCTCCACGTAATGTAATCAGATGCATATTATTGCACAGTTGAGGATGTGATTGTAGATTGCCTATGTTGAGAAGTTGTATTTATTTTAAAGGATAAAATCGTATTTTAAAGTTTCATGGCCTACATTTTCAATCAACATGAATGTGCTTCCATAACAGCACGTTCAATATGTGTTGTAACAAGATACTCGACTGGGCCACTATGTCACGGTAAATCTGTAGTGCATGGGGGGCAAAAGATAATAAGAGGAGAGGTTGAAATTAAACTAATAATCATTGTTCCAGCACCACATTAGAATGCAGAGGCTGTGCCTACTTTATTGGTCTAAAATAACACCTTCCTCGACTGTAGATTAACCTTTCACTCCAGATGTGCTAAGCATTTTGAATGAGACAAATATTTCGATTTAAAGCTTTCGTGACTGCAGGGATTCATCTTCTTGGTTCTTTCGGTAAAGTCACAACGCAAGTAGCCGTCCTCAGGTGAAACCAGGTCTGTCGAGGCGACAGACCTGGTTTCACCTGAGGATGGCTACTTGCGTTGTGGCCGAAACGTCGTGAGAATTATTTTATTATGTTTTATTTTTATTATTTTATTACTTCCCTTCTACGTGACTTTACCGAAAGAACCAAGAAGAGACAAATATTAGCTCGGAATGTCGCACCTTATTGAAAGTACTTGCACAATATTCCGAGTCGGCATTGGCAATCCACACATGCCAGGGATTTGCATTAGTGAGGTGGCACCAACAAGTCAGATGTTTAACAAGTGACACGTCATACCTGCAAGGGCTGTGAATTGTCACGAACCAGTTTTTATCAACAAGTTGGCTCTTTAATGAGGGACATGTCACACATGGAAGGACTACAGATTAACCTCAAGCTAAAGTCAACGAGCCAAATCTCCTTTGGAAGACAAAGTCATTATTTTCCCACTTAAACCTTAAACTCCCACCAATATTACGATGTACGAGCATAGGGTAGTCTATCACTGCCCGAGTGAAATTTAGAGGATGTTCTTTCTCATCTTACATGCTTTATAAATGAACTACGAGACTTAGAGCACCCACAATTCCCCCACCATAAGTGATATATAGTGCTTATGAACTTAATGGGGTGAAATAATTTACAGATGGGAGAACCGAGCAAATGTCAGGTGAAGACATTTGTCAAATGTTTCAACAGTCTTGCTCCAGGTGGCCAGGTGGCTCAGAGGTCAGAGTATTGAGATGGCACAGCTGAGAACCTGGACTCCAATCCAAGCAGCTGGCTGTGACTAAACCGGGTTCTCATGTGCAGTGGAGGTTTTGTTCTCAGCTAAGTTGCCAAAGACTGAGGGCGGGCATGCGCTTCACACTTGCATTCCATAACTCTGGAGGCAAGGATCGATGGATAAAGTGGACATTAACGAATATCCGAAAGCCACTCGGCAGTGAAATGGCCACCAGAAGACAGTAGAGCAATTAGATTTTTGAAGCTCTTCGTGTCGACGTTTGGGTGTTATTTCCCAATAAGAAAAGTTTTTTTCTGGACACTGGAGTAAGCCTCCTCATGCATAGCCATCTTAAAAATGAGTCTTAGGACTCAATTATGCCTTCTCAGGAAACTATATCGTCTTCTGCATTTCCTTCATCGTAGTCAACAGCAGCAACAAAAAGCAACAATGGTAGCAGCAAAAGCGGTAATAACATCATCATAATTGCCACAATAATCAGCTACTTTGTCGTTATGAACATCGTTGCCATTCTTTGTCTTCTTTTTTGTCTCGATGCTCAGTTTTATTTTCTTCCTGTGCATGTGTTGTCGACAATCTGGCAACTTTAGAGCACCGAAAAACCTCAATCAAAATTTTGTGTTGAAATTCCACCAAGAAATTTCCAAACGAATCCAACAAAAACACGCGTGTAAATTAGGGAAGAATGGGTCACTCTGCCCTCTCAACACTACCCACACAAGTCATGCCGCGCCAAGCATTATTTATGCCATTCCACACGATGGCGGAAACCCTCTGTAACACGAGAGACCTTCCCCCCAAAACCTGCTCTCGCTTTGGACCATTGTGAAATTTTAGCTTTAGTGGTATTGCCATGGGTGCATTCCACCAACATTTATGGTCCACACAAGTTAAAAAATGTGGAATATGGACAATTTTTATGCAAAAATGGAGTGATCTTTTTGGCAAAAGGTGGTTAAATTATGTATAAAAAATGCAAAATGCCCATAACATTAACAAGAAAAAAACACATCGATAGCATATTTTTGCCAAAAAATTGTTAAATTATGGTAACAAAATAAATGCACGAGGCCCATAACATTAACAAGAAAAAAAGACCATCTACTACGACCAATTAAAAAATATATATGTAGTTGAAGTATTAAAAAATTCCTGGATAAATGCATATCGATTTTTTTTAAAGATAAAAGCATTTTGAGAGTTACTATTCCAGACTTCTCCATCAAGCATGCAGTAAGATGTGCATGAGCAGCCAACTAACGGCCAGAGAAAGCAAATGGCATTTTTCTTTTTACATTTACGTGAAACACTTAGTGATGCGAATATAGGATGCATGGAAAACCCTATTTGTTCATAAAAGGTCATACGCTTCTGTAATACAGTTAAAAGCCATGCATATAATTGGTACCTTCCTTGTAGAGGATAAGGTTAGTTGAGATGTAGAATCTCATTTGGAAGCAAGGAGACAATTTATTGATGCTAATTATTTATTTGATCATTTTGAAAATAAATAAATTATTATCATTAAGAAAATGAATAACCATCGCTTTTTAAAAAATGAAATGGACTAACAAGTAAATGTCACACAAAACTTGAAGAAGACAAGTGGTGTGTTATTGGCAAGTGCACAATTTTCGATTACGTCATTCAAGATTGCTGCAATTTCCCACGCATTGCAACTACAAATAAAATTAATGTAAAGTTTATTTTCAACAGCAACAAACTATGCAGAACTGTGCCTTTTTCTTGGAAGAAATGAGCCATTAAGACAGGAAAAGCAAGATTCAAAAACACAGCATGGTCCAGTGAACATACAGCTGCATATTGCACATAATTGCAATACATTTTGGGCGGCATGGTAAAACTCGTGCCCCATAGAAAGAAGTTCCTGGGTTAAATGCCCAACTTAGGCACCTAGTTTCTGTGTGGAGTTAATATGTTCGCCCCCCCCCCCCCCTTGTTCTGCATGGGTTTCATTTGGATTCTTAAATTCCCTCCCATAGCTAAAAAAAATATTCATTCAAAGATACAACTACTTTTGTTTTGGGCTCATCACCCTGTATTTCTGAATTCTAATGATCGACATGAGTTGAACGTCAAGGTGTGAACACGCTCCTTTGGAAACATGCCATTTTACTGAAACGGCTGCATTTGTCAATTGAAAGGCAATACTGGGTGACTTTCATTGTTTCCTAATCCAGTTTTTCGAGATAAATCAAATTCTGTTTAAAGACTCACTTAAAAAGAAGTACACCAAGCCCAACTGTATAAAGTAAGTTCACTGCGTGGGCCACCATAGTTGTTTTCGCTGTATGAATATCACCTTTGATGTGGCCTCTGACACTCCTTTAACACTCATTGTGCAAAGTAATAACATAGACTGTGCGTAATAAACACCATTACCTAAGCTACACATAATACAAGTGCTAGAGTTCAGTTAATTTACATGTAACCCGGCTACCCTGAGTGTGGAACACACTGCCTCCAAAAGTCACACTGTACTAGAAGGGTCACACGTATTTAGTTTTAACCATTACCACGTTATATCGCTTTCAAAATGGGCCAAGCAGAGAGCTGCCTGGACACCAAGAGGGAAAAACAAGGTTACATAACACATTCGCTGGAGACATATTAAGACCGTGGCTACAGAAGGGCCATGCACCCAGTATGTGCAAGAGGACACTGGTTCATTAAGTTACGTGCATATTGCAAATTAAAACAATCAATGTGGCTAGTACTCAACATAGACAGCAGGTTTCACTAAAGTCTAAATATTATCTCCAGAGATAAGCCCACAAATTAAAAAGAGGTCTCTTGAAAGATTATATTTGCAAAAAAAATCGATCATGTGGCTTATGGCTTTAATATTTTCGTTACTTTTTATATCAGTTTAATATAGTTTAATCTAACACATTTATGTAAAAATCACTAAATGACTCATAAACCAAGACACCTATAATACACCAAACCAAAACCAAATATATTGAGAATCCAGGGTGGTCACGTGGTATACTTGGTTAACCCCATATTACGTATTATGTAGAACTTCATTCGCACCGATGGTAGAGAACCAGATCTAGCAGGGCCTCTCTGTGATATGATCACATAATTACAAGTTTCACAAACATGTCAATAATTGTTTACACAAGGAATAGTCAAAACAATCTGAGTAGAGTTGAAATAATGTAAGTGGATAAAGTGATGTGCCTATACAATAATAACATGTGAAGTTAAGAGTGAACCGAAACATTAAACTAAATGTGTCAAGGCAACATGCAAAAGAGAGGATTCTGTTGGCCTAACTTTAACTCATCCTACTTCAAACATAAAACAAAATAGTTGCCGATGCTGCTATGTTGGCAGTGATGCACAAGCACATAAAAAAATAACACCACCATTGCATATGAACATTAGTGTCTGAAAATGATATGATATTGTGAAGAAAGGGGTACACTATAGACCAATCGAACCATCAGTGAAAATTATCACGATTTATCAGATCACTGTTAGCGGGGTGGTGGCAGTGAATCATCACGCGTCTAATAAAATACGAAAATTGCCGAACATTTAAACCCACATTCATCCAGGCATCCGTTATTTTTTACAAAAGGCAAAGAAAACTCTTGAAATAATTCATACTTTTTTTTTACATTACGAGAAATACATTAAATATTCAAATCATTCCACGCTTACATTCATTTCAGGTTGCATTTCTAAAGGTAAATAATACTGAATGTGCATGTGTATGCACACGCAGCTGAGGAACTGCGACACTATAAAACTATTAGCATTTTTTTTTTTACCAAGTAAGGCCCACTTAGCTATTGAGCTATTTTTCAGAGGCGACCTTGGCACAAACGATGCCTCAATGAAGTGGCTTATCACGTATAAATGTATAGCAGCCAACTACTCTAAATGCGTGTTTCTAAATGTGGAGGGGAAATAAGTATAACCCGTAAAAACAAAGTTTTTCACTATAAATCCTTTATATGCGTGGCAGCGAACTTAATATAAAGGATTAAAAAATATATTCGCCTGTGGAGGACGCGGGGATCGATCCCGCGACCTTTGGCATGGGAAGCGAGGGCGCTACCAACTGCGCTACTCCGCCACGGCCTGTGGAGGGGTTACGCTCTGGGCTCTTATACTGTGACGTTCAGCCGTAGCCAAGAGTGAGTTCTTTTGAATATATGTAAAATATTTTTTTTTTGCATAAAAAGTGTAATATTTTGGGAATTTTTTTTCACGAACATTAATTGTCTGGCACAACGAGTCTGTGTGGAAAATGTCAGCTCAATTGGATCACAGGAAAGTGGGTTAAAAAACGACCGAAAGATTTGCACGGTCGTAAGCAAGCACGCAAGCAAGCAAGCAAGCGAACTTAATATAAAGGATTTAAAAAACGGAGGACCTGTAGAAAAATTCACTTGACCACGGAGAAAATATGCAAACTCCAAATATGCAGGCATCAGGGTTGGGAGCAAACCCATGGCCTCCTGTATACCAGGCAAGGGAGTTAACATCTCGTCACCGTGGCGCCGACTCTGTGCCTCCACACGCCTCACCCGAGCCTCAATCGCGGCTGCGTGGGAACTGCCGACTCACCTTGCGTTCGGTCCCATCCAGCTTAATGCGTTCAATTTGGTCGAAGTAGGCGTCACACCAGTAGAGAATGCCATTGGGGATATCGAGCGACAAGCCATTGGGCCACAGCACCGTCTTGGAGGAGACGAAGATAGAGCGGTGGGTGCCGTCCATCCAGGCGTGCTCAATTTTCCCTCGCTTGGTGCCCTTAGGGTCCTCCTCCCAGTCAGTCCAGTACATGAATCTGTACTCAAACACGTTTAAGTATAGACCAGGCAAACGGTTGTCAGTTGAGATATTTCTGTATTTTGGTTTTGCCGTCAAAAATAATAATAATAATGAGACATTGTAAACAGCTCATTGCTGGTTCATTGCAAATTGGGGGTTCGGATATCACTTGCCACTGATATTAGCCTTGTTCAGGGATCAAACTCAGGTCACCGTGTTTACAGTGCTTTGACCAATAGGCTACCGCTGCAACCTATAATCATGCTCAAATATCATGCATAATTAAAATGTGACATTCAAAGCGAATATGTATCTTTTGAAAACCTTCACTGTGACAACAAACTGTCCCGAAATATAGAACGGTAGTACCATCGGGGAAGCTCAAAAGTAGCTACACTGCTTTCATTTGCACTTGATGAATACACCCTGCATAAGGCGACAGGAATCATTTGCCATCTCAAGGTTCAACGGAGCTATTGCGAATCCCCAAACGCGGCGGGGGGGGGGGGGGGGGGTGGGATCCTGACGTCAAGTTAATACGAACAGACACACAATGCGCAATTTACCCGTGCACAGGATCGACAGCGATGGCCCGTGGATGAGTCATGTTCCCCTCAATGAGTGTTCTCCGTGCCTGCGAGGCCTTCTCCAAACGAGCTACATTGATGGTCTTCAGACCATCGTCGGTCCAGTAGAGATTGTAGCCCATCCAGTCCACGGCAATGCCTTCCACATTGTTAATGTCTGCAAGGGTAAACCAACAAGGCGCAGGATACAATAGGCGTAGTGCTACCTACTAGCTCCATGGAGCGTTGCCCCGAGTGCTGGTGGGAATGGTAAATCATCATGTTATCACGCGAGATGATAACTTGCTTGCCTGCCTGGTATGCAGGAGGTCAATGATTTGTACTCACATTGTGAACCACATGGGAGCAAAGAAGACGTGAGCCTGAATGTGTGAATGGACATGTTCTATGTATTCAATACAGATTTATTGGATCTCAATACCTAACAGAGAACACTTTTTGTTTGTCTGTTTAGACATAAGCACATCGTTGCAAACGTTTAAAATTGTTGTTGTAATAACTTGTCTCTTTCGCTGTATGAAATAAAACATCTGTAATAATTTAAAAACGACAATTTTAGAATATATCGATTCAGTTTAATGGTGTCAAGCGATGCCAAACGTATAGCCACATATTGCGGTATTAATAATATAGTTTTAAACAGTCATTGTTATAATATAAAAAAATATGTGAAGTAATAATTATTATCAGAATATCAATTAATGTTTGAAATAGATGTTTAGGAATGAAAATACAAAAAGACCTCTAAATAAAGGAATAAAATATGCAACCTTCGGCTATAATGTTGATTGGTAAAAAGAGTAATTGCGAGCCCAAAGTGTTCAACTGTGACATCGAGCTAATGATTTCAATGTGAAAGTCGGTCTAGCGCGACTCATTTAAACGATGCAATTGATGTCGACATTTCTTTTGGAGGGATGGGAGTTGGGGGGGGGAGGTCTATTTTTTACGTGTTTTTTTTTTCAGATTATAGTATCAAGCCAGAACCAGCCTGAGCCAAAAACAAGAAAAAAGTGAAAGAAGTGAAAAGTTCAGCAGGATTTTGGCAATTCAAGCAGACTTTAGGCACAACAGGGAACTGGGATTTAAAATCTTGGGGCCATAGGAAGTGACTCATAGATCACTGGCAGACCCAAGGAAGGAGTAAAATCCGACAGCAGACAGAGAGGCTGAATAACTCCTGCTGCTCCAAAATTAATGATTCCACCTGTACACCCTGTACCAGCTTTCATTAGAAGCCAGCCACACGCTTATGATTAGCAGTGTGGAAAGCCCCACATTTCTTAAGGGACATTTTAGCGTGTGGTGCACTTAAGCAATGGCAGCATATGCCACAAAATTGTACCCTGTCTGGCATCAGGCAAAGGAAGATGTGTGTTGGCATCAACACACGTGTTGTCGAAGGAAGTGCGTAAAGTGTTAATCCAAGAACATAATTGCGCAACTTGCATTGCTCGGCTCGATAAGCCTTTGGCATTTATGCCACCATCACAGAACAGTGGATCTTTGCAATCTGTGTGGAAGGTCGATTTTGCAAATCTGCTTAGGTTAAATTTATATCGTCTTAGCGTGCTTTGTGGGGTAGAATTTTTTTATTTGTTGAATATTTGATGGCTTTTCTGCACAGTTCTCTGAATGTCAATTGTGAGTGAAGCAGATTAGCAATGATTTCGTGTTACAGGTTTCAGTATTGGATATGGCTCGACATAAAATTACAAGTGTTGCGGGAGAAAATCTCACCCTTCCGTGAAAACACACCACTGGTAACAAAACGTCAGCGGAATCGTCTTTTTCGCTCTCAAGAGGGTTACAATTTTCTATCTGTGCACGAATAACCAGATTAAAGTGATTGACAATCATCGTATGACAAAACCAATTATAAATATGCAAGCTCACGTCATTTGACTGCTATATTGAAGACAAATTTAAAAGTCTACCTGCTCAAAAAAGCACGATTCTTGCATGACACTCTAGGTCGAGTGATGACGTTCTTTGGTGACCTCGAGATTAAATGGTAATACTGGTAGGAACCTCCTGGTTACACCAGCCCACAGGGGATTATTTTGTCTATCCGTCGTGCATCCAAAAATGGAAGGGGTGGGGCTGAGTGGAGAGGGGAGGGTGGGGAGGGGCTGGTTAGGGAGGGTGGGGAGGGGCTGGGTGGGCAGGGTGGGCCTGGGTGAGGGGGTGGAAGGGGTGGGGCTGGGTGGGGAGGGGCTGGTCACCCCGTGGTGCCCTTATAAAACTCAACGTTTAACCTAGTCACGCCGGCTTGTGCCCGCCCTCACAGTCGGCCATATTTGCAGAATACACCACGCCGCCGTTGACCCTGGCCATTGACCGAGCAACCCAACGTTCCTACCAGCTCCCTCCGCAGGAATGTGTTAATTGTATCAAGCCTTGAAGGATGCTGGGCTAAACTGACCCCGACTGGAAATTTAATGCTCAACCTTCCAGTTGGAAGCTAAATGGAATTCACAAGACTATTCATACTGCCAACACGAATGCGTATTTGTAATAAATGTACAAGTAAATATACATCGCGCGCTTTCAGATGCGCGCTTCTGCGGCCGTCTGGAATGCTCCCCCTTCCGATATTAGAAGCCACTGGAGCTATGCATACTTTCACATCTACATTGAGAATTCATTTCTTTAGAACTGATTTTTGTGTTTAGTTTGTCGTCCCCCCCACCCGCACCTCCGATTAGCACAGTTGGCTACGTACGGTGCAAATATAATATAACAACACGCATACATACAATACAAACAAACATTTTACGTTTGAAGCTTTCGTGAAGCTTTCCTGACTGTAAGGATTCATTACCGAAAAAAACCTAAGAGTAAAAATTCTACGTACTGGTTTTAAGGATAGTCTCCCGCTCTGTGCCGTCAATCTTCTGCCGCGCCACGAGGAAATTGGTGGTGTCGGCAAAGTAGACGTATCCGGTCTCGGCGTGGAAGTCAACGGCGCGAGGGTTCACGAGGTTCTCGATGGGGATCATGAACTCGTCCTGCACTCGCCCCGTCACATCCATGCCGCGGATGATGCCCGGGCGGCCCTTGCCATACAAGAGGAAGAGCTCGTGGTCGGGCTCTGCACGCACACACACACACACGCGCGCACACACACACGCGCACACACACACACGCGCGCACACACACGCGCACACACACGGACGCACACACACGGGACGCACACACACACGCACGCACACACACGCACACACACACGCACACACACACATGGACGCACGCACACACGGACGGACGCACGCACGCACACACACACACGTCCGAGAAGGCACAGATGGGTTATGCACAGCACATAATTAAACTATTTTCATTTTATCAGGCAAGGCCCACTGAGCTATATAGCTCTTTTCTCAGAAGCGACCTGGCTATAACAAATTATAGTTCGATGAAGTGGCTTATCGCGTAGAAATTTATAGCAGTCAAGTATTCTAAACAAGCGATGTAGATTCTAAATGTGGAGAACCCTGCAAAAAATCCACGTGACCATGGGGAGAGAGAGACTTGCAAACTCCAAATATACAGGCGTCAAGGGTCGGGATCGATCCCATGACCTCATGTATAGCAAACGAGGTAGTTAACATCTCGCAACACGCAGCACTTGCGAAGCTCGGCACACCATGACATCTATTGCAGATACTTCTTTTTACTCATCACAGTTTCCGAGATCAGGACCAAAAGGACCAAAATTAAAAGTGGCCAGCAATGAGTAGCGCTATTGAAGATAAGATGAATACATAATGGGTAAAAGTTCGGGCATTTCTTGAATTGAGCAAGGTTATAATAAGAGCTTGGGAGAAAAGGAGACAATTGAAACAAATTTCCAAAGTCCGGCAGTGTGAGAAAAGAAGAAGAATGCTTTGTTCTGCAGTATAGAACATGTTGAAAGAAGACAGACCGGTCACTTTGGTGAACTATAGTCCTCGGGCATGAGTGGAGGAGTGAAGGGGCTGAAGTTCATGGGACCGGTAACCATAGTAGTAGCGCTAGAAGAGTGATGGTGTGATAGTTTCAACAGTTGCGATGGTTGAGGAACGCTGAAATGGTTTATTGCTTCACAATCGTTTTTTACATTCATGTCACCGCATATCACTGCTTAATTGAGCATTGGGGGCAATGGTTAACCCTGTTGTTGGCCTTGCACAAGCGGTGGAAATTCGACATTGCTTTGGAGGGGACAAGTCTCCCCACGAGGAAAAAAACCCCAAAGACATCTTTGATAATGTTCTACATAGCAGTACTTATTTTATTCAACCTGGAAGGGTGATAAGATTAGTCAAATGCCTTAAATGAACTTGATGTTTTGGCTCGTTAAACCTTCCTAAAAAAAGACGGAGAAAGATGAACATTTTTGTATTTTTAAATGTATCAACATATAGCATATTCGTATATACTGCCATTTTATAACCTGACAGATGCCAAGCAGTAATGGTGATTGCCAGATGGTAAGAGTCCATCAAAAGGTGATTCCTGTTTAATTGGGAAACCATCAACGCAGATTCATGCGCTTGAAAATGTGGAACAATATTTACCAAATATTCACAGCAGCCTGTTTTTTAATGTGCCCCTCATTCAAATTGTTAAATTTATATATTATGTTGCAAGTGAATGTTTTATGCATGTGTTCAGATTCAGGATGGAATAGGCAATCCTCAATGCAATATCGCTTAAAAAGCATGTAAGTTTTAGCTCAGAACAGTCATTTAAAATTGGAATGCAGCAATCGTATACATTTCCCAACTACTTTTTTCCTTTTGCTGTAGGATTAAAGGTTTGCATTTGACATTTTTATACTGCATATATACACCCTTACGCCTACAATGACACATGATATAACACACTTCCAACTGTGCATGAAATGCTCACAAATCGTGAGCTTTTAACCATTCTGTCAAAGAATTGTGACCGCAGGTGGCAATTAAAGTAACACATTATGCCACGAGTGAATGTAATTCTGCAACCGACATAGTTTTTTACTGCAATTATAACAATCCTATCTGATATCAACTTTTATGCAGTTACTATATGCGTGCTTGAATTTTATATTAATTCCTTTGCATATTAACATTTGTAAGGCAATGCTACGGGTGCAAAAGAGACGGCCCCAAGATAAGAAAAATCTCGGGACTCGTGCAGCGAAACATTCAGCGACTTCTTCTTGGTTCTTTCGGTAAAGTCACGTAGAATGGAAACAATAAAAATAATAAAATAAAACATAATAACATAATTCTCACGATGTTGTCTCCCCGATAGACCTGGTCTTCACCTGATGACGGCTGCTTGCGTTGTGGCCGAAACGTCGTGAGAATTATTTTATTATGTTTTATTTTATTATTTCTATTGTTTCCAATCTACGTGACTTTACCGAAAGAACCAAGAAGATGAATCCCTGCAGTCACGAAAGCTTTAAATCGAAATTCATTCAGCGACTGTTAAACAGGCTGACAACAAAGGGGAAGCTAAAGAGTGGGAGGTGATGGGGGAGGCAGGCACACTTCGGTTCACTTGAAGAGGGCAGCGTTAAATTCAGCCACTAGTCGTTTGTAACCCTGACAATACATATGGTCGGGGAGGAATGTGCTTCCTTTCTTGCCCTCTACAACACCTCCCCGTCAATCCCCTAAACCTCCCACAACAAATTCAAACTCCTCACCCAACCTCGCCCGCACATTTTCTATGAAGCCCTATATACTTGTAGAGGGTGCAACAACCCACAGAAGAAAGCATGAGGTCATGAATCGGGTTGAGCCCTCATGCGCACGTTCCGCCATACTTCACACAAACTCCACGGAGCATGCGTCCCGTGCTAACCGCACACCCTCATCCGTTGCATCTTAAAGCGCCCAGACACAGATACCCCCCCCCCCTATTTCACAGTTGTGAACTCTGTGCTAAGTCTGATGGCATAGAAATTATAAAGTAATAGGGAACTGACAAAGGTGTTGCATAATAGGCTACAATACAACTACTTACTCGAGTAATTCCGTATTCAAATTGTGGAAAGGTGTTACACGGGCAATAGATTCGTTTTCTCAAAAATAAAGTCTGCAACATATATATTCGCTAATATAACGATAGATGTTTTTTGTATCCCCCACTCCAGTTGTTAAATCTGTGTGCATATGTATAAGTCAAGTTCTGAAACAAAGTAATGAGCCACACAAGACATTATGAACGATTTCCTTAACTGCTTATAAATCACTCCACTCTGTCTGCAGTACCCAGGAATGTAATTGCTTTCTTTAGAATGTCTTGTGTGTGTTATTTCAATCACATCCAGATTTTATTGGCCATGTATGAGCAGAGAACTAGGTTGATATAATGAGCAATGGGGAGTAGAATACCGAGCCGCTGGATGTGATGATACAAGGAATTGTGGAATGAAAAAAACATTTCAGCACATCTGGCTCATCATTTCTTCGTGACTTCATTAATTTCCATCAGGCTCAGAACACATGCACAATGGGCAATAAGCCAAGGTTATGTTATGGGCTCAAAACAAAGTGTATCCTATCCTGTACAAATGTAACAGGCTCAAAGACGCCACAATACATACCTACAATGGTTGTTGATTCAATAGACCCTGGCAGCATATGTTTCTTTAATCTTGATAAGACCCAACACAAACAGTGAGGAAGGCCTAAAGAATGCCCACGGCAAGCACTCTGGAAAACCAAGCCACAGACGACATGGTAATGTCACGTCTCGGCTTGCTACCCTTGGTATCTGGCCAGCTCTTGCTGCCGTTCCCTCGGCCACCTCATAGTCAACTTGCCTGGCTTGCAAATCTGGCAAGTCGACTGAACCCGCATTCCCCGGGCAACACGTGCAGCTGAACCCCGAGCTATGCGACTCACTTGTCTTCTGGGCCATGTGGCTCGCATTGCCAAGGAGGCTCGGACCAAACACAAAGTCAAGACCGCCCCCCGCGGGAACAGTCACAATGTCTCTCTGCAAAGGTCATATTTCTGGCTGTGTTTTCATTGCGATTAGAAAACACTGCAGAAAATAACAAAAACACGCATTACTTGGTATCGTTATGTGCGGAGGACGGGGGGTGGCGGGGGGAGCAAGGTTGATTAGCGTCAGCGGCCAAACAAGTTTAGTTTGTAATTGTTAGTGAATACAGTAATTTTACGCCTTCATCTCAGTCACTTCGGTAGGTCCAACCGGGCGGGGTGACTTACTCTTGCAGGACTTTCCGTCGCTGCCCAGGCTGAATCCCGAGCGGCAGCGGCACGTTCGAGTCTTGTGACTGCTGGCCAGCAGGCAAATGTCAGAGCAGCCGCCCGGCTTTCCGTACTGGTCTGGGGCGCAGGCGTGGCTGCGTACTGTCGGGAAAGAGGGGCACGACAAGGAGAACGGGCAGCTTGTCTCCAACAGCACGTGACGCGCACGTGGACGAGCATTGTTACCGCTTTACCCGGTGACAAGGAAACACAAATGAACTTTGGGAATTATGCTCCGCTTGTTGAACTGACGTATTAAGCCTTCCCCCATTCTGATGACGTACTCTCATGTAAAATAAATTTATCGGTATCGAGGCTCCCACAAGTCTATGCGGGAGGACGTGTAGTACACATTTGGTGCCAGCTATTGTAGAGTGTGGTCTTGTTGCTACAGTTCTCTGCGGTGAGTACAATGCCTTAAAAAAAAACGGCGCTACGCCTCTCGAAATTAAATTAACGCTGAACCGCTTGCGTGTCCCGAGATTCAGCGGTGAACGGGACCCACCCTGCAACTTAGAGACGTCTCGGAACGGGAGAAGGGGTTAATTGTGCATGAGGCGGCGGTGATGATAATAATAATGCCAGTTATAAACACGCTGCAAAACATTTCCGCTGACAAATGACCGAGACTGATGGTGCGGAGGAACCCGGTTCGGTGTCACTTTAAAGCCTGGCAAAAAACGTGGAGGGGGGGGTCACTGGGGGGGTCACTGGAGGGGTCACCCCCCCCCCCACCCCCAGGTGTCTCTGCAAAGTCGGTGTCGCAAAACAAACGCCGCGAACGGGCAGCGGTGGACGGGACCCACCTGTGGGTTGCCTACGCCGGTGGTAGATGTGCAGGGCGCCGCCCTTGACCACGCGTGTCAACACCTGGTAGTCGGTGCTGTTGAAGCGGTTGACCCGGATGACTGTGGTGTTCTGCGGCGAGTTGCTGTTGTCGATGCTGGTGGCGTAGAGGTAGTTCTCGAAGACGCTCAGCCCAAACAGGTGCTCCACCTGCATCGCGTTGGGTGCCCCACAGAATGTGTGGTACGTTTTGTTAACACGCCGTGCTGTTGCGCAATATTCATCGTCGTCCCCATAAAGGGTGCGCGCGTTAGGCTTAACGATGGCGATTTAACGAAAGATCGAGAAAGCAATTTTTGACATGGTGTAACACGTACTCTGCTGACCCTGATATTTATCCACTGCAACTTGACATATACACACACACTCCTTAGTGGTGCATGGGCCACAGCAGAATTAATCACTAACCAATAAAGTGACCAAAACGTTGGTGGTACTGATTAATCTAAAAAAACAACTTTCAATGTAGTAAGTTATACATAATTCCCTTTGAATTGCCACAAATAAATGTTGACTATACTTTTACCATTTCAAGTGGCCTTAATAGCTATCATAGTTAGTGTAGGCCTGCGGGCTATATAAAATCTATGCACCAAACAAATAATTTACGATTTTGGCTGTCTTCAAGCAAAGCTTTGAACAGATTAAGTTAACATGACATTCATGAGTGGAATATTTCAACAGTGCAATGTGGTTCTAGTGAACTGGCTTTTTATCTTGACTTGAAGCTTTCGTGCCTGCAGGAATTCATTTAATTTTTAGATAGGTTAAAAAATAATAATGTAAAAACTACGACGTTTTAATCGCAACACAACCCGATGACGATCGCTTGTGTTGCTATCGAAACGTCGTGACTGCAGGGATTCATATTTTTGGTTCTTTTGGTAAAGTCACATAGAAGGGAAATAATAAAATAATATAAATATAAAACAATAAAAATTATCACGACGTTTCGACTGCAACACAAGCAATCATCATCAGGTGTGAAATCCACAGAGAATTTTTATTGTTTTATATTTATTTTATTTTATTATTTCCCTTCTATGTGACTTTACCAAAAGAACCAAGAATAAGAAAAATAAGAACAAGAAAAAACACCATGGTGGCACGTATGAATAGCATGGAGAGATGGAATGCAGCTGCAAACTTGCAGAAGCAGTGTTGTCAAATGAGGCAGTTTGGATATAACCAAGTCGTCTATGAGGATAGATCCCCGTTTTACGAAGAGAATGTGTTCCTGGAAGACTCTGAGCAGTGGCTACTTACGGAGGGCCCCTGAATGATGGTTCTCCTGTTACGACCCTCGTAGTCCACGACCTCGATGTAGTCCAAGTAGGCGTCTGCCCAGTAAACCAGCCGGCTGACCAGGTCAAGCGCGATGCCATGCGGAAAAACAATCTTGCTATCCACGAGCTTGCTGCAGTTTCCTCCATCCATGTCACAGCGCTCGACCTTTGGGATCTGCCCGTAGTCGGTAAAGAAAAGTTTCCTGTGGCACAAGACACAGCGCATGAGCACACGCGTGTGCATGTACAGTCCTTTAGTCGATCCACTCCTGGATGGGGGGCATCCACACACAGCGCAGGTCATTGGGGCCATTTCATCGACATTTCACCACACTGGTGAGGGTGGACTGGCGAATGGGAAAGCATATAAGTGGGAGCACAGGAGTAAAGTGCAATAATTAATTTTGCCAGACCATAACTGTCTACCCATGCAGTTTACCCCATATTCTTGTACAGGGAAATTGCGTTTTCAGGTCCATACGGTGTACAGCCGTTTCAACAAGGGAAAAAAATTCTCTATTTGTTTGTATCTCTCCTTTATGATGGGACTTTGTAGGATAAACGCTGAGATTTATAAGGGCACGGGGTGACCAATAAGGTCTGAATTGGTCTGTAATAAGTTAGGCACTGATAAGGGGTTGACAGGTTTGTTATACTGCCTTCTGCTGCCCACAACCATACCCTGTATATATTGAAGCCTGGATGTATGCACACACAAAAACACACATGAACACAAAACCATTGACGCACACACACCAACTCCTCATTTCCCATTCAGCATTATAGACATTTAGAGCAAGTACCCTTAATGAATACCATTTAAGGTGTGTGGGAAAATACCACATCTGAGTCTGCCTGTACCAGACTGAGATTTGAATTGTCGCAGGTATGAAAAGCTTCGGGTTTAACCATGATTGCACTGCAGGGAGAGGATGCCTCTGCATCCTCTCTCTGTGAGCTCATCTCTCTCGCTCTCACATGTACATTTCAAATCTCAAAGGAATGTTTTGTTATGGGGGAATTGTTGAAAAGGTCACAATGACTTCTCTTATGTAATTCGAGGAGGCGCACCATTGCCTCGTGTTATTTTTCGTAAGATTCTGATAAGCCACAGACCACTGTTATTGTCTATGGAATATAGTAATTACATTGTCAACACTTTATGTGATGTATGCTTTACTTCTTCAGCAGCTTTTACAACTAAACAGCAGTGAGCTATTGTGTGCCTGTATCACATACCAAATGTAACATTTTAAAAGTGCTTGTAATTATGAAAATTGTATAGTAATTTGTTCCTTCCTTTTAGCAAGCTTGCTGGGATAAAATTCCCCTGTGCCAAGGATAGGAAGTTTTCCTTGCGCACAAACTGGCTGTAGACAAATAATTGGCAACATCTTGATAAACGAATGAATGCACAGTGCAACTCAACATGTTCCATTAACTAAACGCATTGCCGGCATGAACTCATTATTGCCTTCTCGATGTCCAGTAAACTATTTTCTTCACACGACCGTATATCCCTCAAGCGAATAGCCCATGTTGAAACGATTTACGGAGGAGACATGAAAAAATACACGAGCCCATACACAAATTATAACTGACCATCTGCTGAAATGAATAAATGTCTTCATTGGTATCACGTTTGGGGGTAAACATACATTGCGTGATTAACGTGAGCACCACTTCTTGAATGTCGCGGCTCTTGTGATTGGTCGACTGCCCATTCCAGGCTACATTGTTTTGTAATCCCCACTGGTTTGCTCTCAATTACAGCCACTGTACCTGTGTTGTTCTTTAAATTCCACAAGTGTAATGCACAAATACAGTGCAGTGACAGATGCTTAAACCAACATGCATGCAATATTATAAAAAGAATTAGAGACAATATTGGCAAATTACAAACAGTGTTCTTCAACCTCAGACTCTCGATGCTTTACTATTTATTGGCTCCATAGTCTGCATTACTGAGAGCAAATATAAGACCGTGTGTGCATGTGAATGTGTGTTGAACTTCTTTCGCACCACAACGTAGCCAACCGCGCAAATCGGAGGTGTGGGGGAAGATCGGAGTTGAGACTTCACAGGATAAAAACTAATTCTCGGACATTTTCCACAAAATGGCGGCACGTATCCAGTTACTGTACAAATGGTGGAATGAGTGCGACCTCATTAAAGCAGATCACAGGTTTACAATTCAGCCCTGCATGTGTAAATTAATGATGTTCACATTTAAGTTTCATGGTCGACTAGTTGGGTTTGCACTTCCCCCCAACAATAATTTGAAGTAACACTGACCAAACATTTAATATAAAAAAATTGTTTCGCTGCCCGTTACAGATGCTGCTGGTTTATACCACGCTATAGCACAGGCATATAATGTGAAGTTTGTTATAAACTATTAAGGAATACGTGTTTTATTTATTTATTTATTGGAGGGTGATTATATTTACTTATAAATGCAACAAGAGTTAAATAAATTGGGGAAATCAATGTATGAAAATGCCAATATTGTTTTTACCTAAATAAAGAGAAATGAGTTTTGTTGGGACAATACGTGTACAGTTGTGCAGTCCGGTGGTGGGGCAATTTGTGGCCAAATGTTGAGGTCAATTGGTTGGTGCTGAAATTATACCCCACAAAGCAGACACGTTGACAAACATGTGGTGACATTTAAACAGAAACGATGGCAATAAATAATAGATTAATAGCTAATGTAAGACTTTCTAGCACAACTCCAAAGGCAAGGGGCTGAGTGCACCAAGACATCTGGGGATGTGATTACTCCTCTGGATAAATAGACTGCAATGCAACTGAAGCCAAGTGTAGTGTTTGTTGTAGAAAAATCTGACTAGCATTAAGCCAAAGCCAACACAACTCCCACATCTTGTGGCCTGAGCCAACAAATTGGTAATGTTGCCAAGAGCAATATATTTGATGGCAATGGGCAACGTGCACAAACATAAACAGAGGAAGCTGTTTAAGTTCTTTGCACAAACAAAGCAGTATCCTGGGTTATCTGTATTTGGGAAATAAAAAAAATTATTCTTCCGATCTGAACAGTGTTTCCAATAAAAATACGCACAAGTTTCTGTTTTTGTACGAACATATGCATGACATAAAAGAACAAGGCGTGATGATTTCCATTCAGTTCATAAGGGTGTTTTGCTGTATGGCCTGAAGTTATGACATCTGCATTAGCAAAACAGAATATTTGTTTCTGTGTCCGATGAAAGCAGATTTTATTGAGCAATTTGACATTGTAAAGCTGTACCAGGCACTGCGTGCGTTTGCTTATGCAGTCACAGGAATGCATTGAGTGCTTATCTCCAGCAACTTTTTGTCCCCAAAAATGTCTTGCACACGCACGCAAATAACATTTCCCAAAACATGCTCTGGCCTTTGCGACTGCATGCACAGACACTGAAAGTCTGTCTCTGAACTGTTGTCTTGTCGGGGAAAGATTCCAATCGCTTAAGTCTTGGCGCTAGGAGCAGCAGTTGGAAAAAAAGCCCTCTGCAAAAAAAACATAAATTGTGTTGTTTGTTTTGTTTGGCAAACAAATGTCTTACATTCCCCCAAACCCATGGTCCCCCTCTGCAGTAAAGCCAACGAAATGCACGTCCAGCACTAATGAGCTCACCCCATGGTAGGGTCCAGGGCGATGGCTTTCGGATTGTACAGCTCCAAGTCGAGAAGAGTAACGCAGGTGTCCCCCTGCTTGTTGCACACGAAAATCCGGTCGTCGACATCATCCATGAAGTAGAAGTTTCCTGTCAGCCAGTCAATGGCCATCTGCTCAACATCTGCCAAGAGATGTGTGGGTGGTTTCAGATGGGGAGGGTTGTGGAGGGGTTATTCATTAATTAACCAGAAAGAGAATGAACAATAGTAAATAACAATACAAAAAAATAACTTGTGTTCAGAGAAAATGTGAGAACAGACTGTTTCGCCTGCCAATTAAAGGCTATAATTGTTGCCGAGATTGGCATGAACAATACGAGCAGAAATGCAAATTTTTTTATGAAAGAGGATAAATAAATTAGAAAACAAAATCATGCCATTATCTTTTTTACACTCATTTAATACTATAATAAGAATGTGTATGTGTGTCCCGCGCATGACGTCACTCCACATGAGACCCACCCCCCTCATTAATATTCATGAGTGGGTGGATTTTTACACGAACGCAGAGAGAGGAAGGTCGAGCTGAATTTAATAAATTATTACGCAAAGTCGCTTTCAAATACGACGTTTCTTTACAGAAAGGGACAGTAAAAATTAAATCTACACAGCACAGTGCTACATCCGTGCGTGACGTCACTGCAAAAGAGCCCGCCCCCCCCTTCATTAATATTCATGCCCGCGTGGAAATTTACACTAATGCACAAGAAGGTCGTGTACTCCACATGCCGCACCCCTCCCCTCGTTAATAATCATGAGCAGGTGACGTCACTCTATATGTAGTACTCCCCCCTCACTAATAATCATGAGCAAGTGACGTCACTCCACATCGACCAGCCCCCCTCATTAATAATCATGAACAAGTTACGTCCTCCACATAGACCCCCCCCTTATTAATAATGATGAGCAGGTGACGTCACTGCACATGGAGGACCCTCCCCCCTCATTAATAATCATGAGTAGGTGACGTCACTCCACATCGAACAGCCCCGCTCATTAATAATCATAAGGTGACGTCCTTCAAATAGACCCCCCCGCCATTCATAATAATTAGCGGGTGACGTCACTCCACATGGGGGGGGGGGGGGCGAGGCGCCTCCTCCCCCCTCCTCGGCGTCAACTTACAACCCTCACTACGAAGGCAGAACCCTCACGTCACGCGGTCTCCGTAACGCTGTTGAGACATCAAAGTAAAAAGGACGTCATGATGAACAAGGGATTATAACCTTAAAATGAAATAGGTCTGTGTCACCGCGCCCTTACAAATTGCACACGAATTGATGCAATGAATATCACGTGGCGGTCTGCTTTTCGCTTGCAAGTTTCAGATTTACTGCAATACACCCGTCCTTGGACGGGCGTAAGGCTACTAGTTTATGTAGAATGTACCACAAGAAGCTAAAAACTATTTCCTTCAAATAAGATAACTCAACTACCAATTGATATCCTGTTTTAGGCTCCAAAAGGCAGAAATACACAATGTATGTGTGACCTCAAGGTTTTGGAGTACATTAAAGTACCGTTTTTACTCAGCTGTGAAACTTGGTGAAAATAACATTGGTACTGACATCAACAGTATGACATAGATACCAAACTGGCCCTCTTGTAAAGCATTCTGCATTCATTTGCCACAGCTTCTTCAAATAAGTCAGTGCAAAAAAACTAAATCTCACAAAAATGGCCCACAGTTAAATGTATATTAAAGAACCGACATAATCTGTGTGTGTGTATGTGTAGACAGTTATGAATTTAATTCAATTTGAAATACAGTACACTCAGGGGTGCCTTGTCATGCAGACGTCAGTTATGATAGCAACTGAAAGTGTCACACCATGTGGCCCTATTTGGAATGGTTGGTGTTTGGTGCTTCCTTCCTTTCAAGCACCACAATCTTGTAATATCAAAGAACAGTATGTCATAGTGGACCAAAAAAAAATGCAATGACCTAACACCACCTTACTTTGAAGCATCAACGTGACAGTCGTTTCGAATGTACAGCAAGCAATGTGTGTGACTGCTACTTATGTTTCCGTGCGGCCTATTAGTACCTATTATGACATTTTCATTATTGAATTATAGAAAGTATAACCAAAGAACGTGCTCTAAAAATGAGGCTGCTTGGTGATGGTGAAAAAGTAGCTCATTCATGAACAAAATAAAACTAAACAAAAAAATAAACATTTCCAAAAGAAGCCTGGAGTGATGCATGCTCGGAATTTCGTTGAGATACAGAAAGGGAAAACACCTGGATGAGAGAGAAAGTGTGCAGGTTAACTAAACATTTTTCAAACTGCGAAAAAACATTAAGTGGGCTTGGGCAGGATGCCGATCGAAGGATTGATGGCCCGTGGTTAAGAATAATTGTGAAGTGGCAGAAAAGGAATTTAACGTTCTCAAGGGGAGATGGAGCAACGAAATAATGTGGGGCACAAGTGCTAGGTAGATTAGGATTATCATAACTGATGATAATGATGAAAATGATCTAATTCGCGAAATGTATCAACTACCTTTCACAAATATAGATATTTGAATAGACAAAACAAATAAGCTGCAATCTAAATAAGCAATGATGTAAGTTGTTTCAGACATGAAACACGTTTGATAGCATCTGCCACACAGCTGCTAAAACATGTACAGCAGTGAAAACACATTTGAGGTGTGTAACACTTGAAGTATAAAACTAAACCACAGGAAATCACAGCTAAATTGGACGGCCAAGTGCACGTTCAAAGCTACTCAATCATTCTCTAAATTGTATCAGTGTCACTGTTTTTATGAAAATGATCAGAGATAGAATAGATTCAACAAATAAAAAAAACATGTACACAATGATAACATTCCAGAATGGGAAAAAACGCTAAAACATGAAAATATAGCAGCAACAGAATGTCTTAACAATTACATCTTGACACTGTTAATATGCATATAAAGGTGCTTTTCCCCTTGGTGTTAAACCTAGGGCTTGATAATAATTCGTGGCTTGCTTTATACGTGTCTGCATTAAAATTGTGTGGAAGAGATGAAACATTTAAAGTTAAAAGTATGTTATGGTTACATACAGAAAAAAATGCCAATATCATGTTGTGAAATGGTAACATCCATCATGCGTCAAATGCCGCGTTGAAAAAAAAAAGAACAAAAAAATGTTTCAGCGTGTATCCACAGCATCTCATTTAACAGCCACACTTGGAATCATCTCGGAAGAGCCCTACATCTTTCATTGCCATCCAGCGGACTCAACACTGGTGCAACGTCCCCTAAAATAACCCGCAGAGCAGCTGGGATTCAACATAAATTGGCCCTGGGGTAGCCACAGTCACAAAGCGTGAGATTGGATTCTGAGGCCTTAAAGGAGAATCACTGTTGGTGGAATGTGAGCGTGTTATGGTCGCCAGGAAGCAGATGTCATATCCATTGGATTATGACCCCGTTCACGTTTCATTGGCAATGACACAACAGTTTGTCTCGGTGCAACATAGCAGCCCTCTTTGTTATCGCTTAACAAGGGTCAAAACTCCAGGTCACTCAATGTGTAGCAATTTCCAAGTACATATACGCCAACGGGAGTCCTCGGTCTCAACGTCGTCGAGTGCACACGGTTGATCAGTGGCAAAAATAAATAAAGAAATAACAAGCTGCCCATTTGTCGCCGTGAGTTTAGATTCCAAAGAACACAGGATGAGATGTTATTATCCTTTGTGCAAGCACTTCCAAGAGTTCATGAACAGTGAGCCTGGTGAAATTTGGGGAGCGCATCGTCAGTAGTGAACCTTTGGGTCCTAGGGTGTTTCGGCCTTTCATACTATACACCCTCCCCAAAGGCGGCCAGCGACAGGGTGATCAATCCTACGCTTGCGTCCCATTCCCAATTAGTCATAGGAGTTGCCTTGTTGTTGGTAGCCAACATCCCATGGGACTATGCATGGCAGGGGCGTCCTCCTCCCTGAGTCAAGCATTGTTGACTGCATACCTCCTGGCCCTCTCACTTTGGGGCCCAGCTGGGGTCTTTCCTCTTCATCCAGAGCCACTGACTGCTGCCTTCTGCCGCCTCCGATACAGCTTTGATTGCCGAACGCTGGCTCTGGCCCTTAATTCCCAGGTCTCTAAGCAGTCTGGTTGTAGATGTTGCCACAAAACCTCTGCAGCCCACCTCCACTGGTCGGACTTCTGTGTTCCAGCCATGATGCCGTGCTTCGGCAGCTAGATCGGCATAGCGCAGATGTTTTCGCTCATAAGCCTCATCTACTGAGTCCTCCCAGGGTACTGTGAGCTCAATGATGAAGACCTTCTTGAGTGAACGGGACCAGAGCACCATGTCAGGTCTTAGGGTGGTGGTTGCGATCTCCGGAGGAAACACAAGTTGCCGGCCAATGTCAGCTAGCATTTTCCAGTCGCGGGCCAAGCGCAGCTGGTCTCGCTCTATTGGTGTAGAGCCGCTCTTCGGTGGTTTAGGAATGCAGAGCGGTAAGCGATCGTTCGCATGGCTTCACAAAATGTCTCGCATTTGGGACATTCGCCTTGTTATCTCTCTTGGATGGTTGGCGGAAAAAAAAACGAAATACTGTAAATTCATATTTCAATGATACTTTGAGCCAAAGATTGTGTGGTTCCATGCTCACAGTAAAACATGTATTACAGAAGCCATATTTGCCAGGTGTTGAAATGACATCACATTACTGAAATTGTCTGTATATAGTTAAATAGCCCCTGGGTATACCCAATGTGAATAATTAATTAGATTATTGGTAGAAGTCTCATTAAATTTTAAGACGATCCACACATCACACTTAAGGGTTTGTGGTTTGGCTGAGCCTTTGTGGATATTTGCATTAGTCAGAAAAATCTTGTTACGTAAGCTCTTCAAATATGAGCAAATTAATACAGTTTTAAAACATCTGCAGTCCAAACTTAGCATGCATACATGCTGAATAAATGACATTGCAAAGTTATCAACATCTAAGAATTGTCAATGGAAATGTTTTTGTTATGGTTTTTCCAACTCCTCATTTGTTTAAACATGTAATAAGAACTAGTTTGCAAGCATGACGATGGTTATTCGATATAAATAGTAACTTACATGTTTGTGTGATGAAATTGAGGCTTTAGAAGTATTATGTATTTT